ATATATGACGGCGCATGAGGAGTTAGGCCCGCGGAATAGGACTAACCCGATCTGCAATGTCAACAGGTTACACAAATGATAGATATAAACAGGTTTAAATACTTGTATAAATCTTATTAAGTGTAGATTTTATATACCAGTTCAATGCACGCTTTGTGGTTCCCAGATACCACACAATGTTTTTAACTAAATTAATCCATCAAATTATTGTAAACCACTGGTGCTCTTAACATTTCTAAAATAATTGAGATTGGTAAAGGGAGTGTTTGCGAAAAATTAGAGGGGTGTAAAGCTGTTAAAATGTATTGAAATATACTTATATAATTATAGACCTGTTAAATGTTTTAGGTTGGGTAGTGTTGCGAAGCTCCCACTTTAAAAACAGGCACTTTAAAGGGAGTGTTCACGAAAAATGAAAGGGGGTATATAGGCTCACATCAAAAAATATTCGATGGTGATTGCTACTAATCTTGCTTTATCTGTTGCGTCTATAAAAAAATTGTTAAAAACGAATCATACCGAAGAACAAGACGTCCTTACAAATTTAAAAAGTTGTAATATTCGACTCGGATCGTAAAGCATCAACTTAATTCCAATCAAATCATTCGGATATTACAAATTATAATCATCGTTTTTTTTGACGGATTCGTACATATTTGATATTTCATAACATTTTAAATTTTTTTAGTTTTTTATTAATGTTTTGCTTAAAAGTTGGTCTGTTGCTTTATTTTTTGTCTAATAGTTAACGGTTTGCAAAAGGCAGTATTGAAAATTTTTGTATGCAAATTTTGTATTAATTTTTTAGCAACAAAAAAGCGTTACTTTAACTGCATCTTAAGATTTTTTTGTTACAGCTAGAAGTAGTTGAGCTATGTATTATACATCGACTTAGTTAAACCACTTTTCTTGTTTGCTAGTTTAAGATCAAAAGAAGTGGCTCAACTCGGTATACATAGCACTGGAAATTCCGGTTCATTTTGAATACCAGACAGATCTATAACCTTCTAGAGCAATCTGTGCTGTACATATTGACATACAGATGTTATGAGGCAAAACAGGACGGTTCATCAAACTAACAATCCTCTTCTAGCGAAATTTATGTGATGGTTCCGCTATATCTCGCTAATTAATTTTGGTTCCTATTTTAGTCTACCTGATGAAGTTTACCGAAAAAATTCAGGGTTGGGATTTGAAAGAGAACTGAATGATTTCTGAAGTTCTTTTAATCCTCATCTCCCTGCTCTTAATTATCAGAGCAACCCAAGGAGTATGAAATAGAAGGGAGATACAACGGACGCGGCCCGACCTACCATATAAATATACTTGCTTTGTAGACGGTACTCTATTTGTATAAGAAATATTTGTCTGATGTACAATTACCGCGAATACAATAACCTATTCTGAATATTTCTTATACAAATGGAGTACCGTCTAAAAAGCGTGTATAATCTTATTCATACGGAGCAACCATCAAATTCCAAAAAATTTTAAAAATTAAATTGAAATTATTTTGATTTATATTTTGGTGTTAATAATGCTCCGAACCTCACAGAGTAAATAAAACAGGTGTCAGAAAACATGATTTGTTTGGAATTAAATAGATTTTTTTACGGTCTAAGTAGTATGTTGCATCTTTCTGAATTTGTATGACCACTACGTTCTTTGGTATTTGTCGTCTTTAACAATTTTCTCCTTATAGACGCAACAGATAGAAGTAAGATTACTTGCGATCAAAAGCGCTTTTTTATCGCATTAAGCCTAAACCCCCTTTCATTTTTCTCGAACACTCCCTTTAAATACGTATAATTGCCGCATATTAAATCTAAACCAGAAATCTATCCAACCGTATCTTGTAATTAATGGTTCTTCATAAACCTTTTATTGTTTTTTATTTTATATTACGTTGTTATACTGTTTTAAGGGGTTCCACGTCAGCATATAGGATTTCAGAAATAAAATAAAGCTTTTCAATTTATATATTTATAAAATAGAAGAAATATTTTATTTCCAAAAGAAATTTAATTTAAAAACTAAATCCTAGTTTTTAGTTAGGTTTTGGTTTCTCTGCAAAAGCAACTTGCAGATTTACACCAGGTCAAGGTCAAGGTTAAGGTCAAGGTCAAGGTCAAGATCAAGGTCAACACTTTTCAAACTTAAAGTTAACTTTTCTTAAAAATGTTGGAATATGAAAACAGAGTAATTATTGCAAGTATTTGTCAATGATTTGTGATTTTTTAATATTTGATGAGTTGCCTTTTTGCAGAATCATATATGGGTAACAAGAACACATATTATTGAATAATTTATTAGTATTCGAAAACAAAGTTTTCAGTGCTAAATAGTTTCCTTCGGGATTTAAATTTTATGTTGTAAAATTTTTTAACTTTATTTGTCTCTTCTGGTTTTTTATTTTAATATTTGTTAAGGCTATGTAGGGACCTTTAATTAATGTGTTATTCAATAAACAACATCAGTAATATTTCTAGTACAAAATTGCAACTGCTTTAGAACTAGAGGCCAACGTTGTACAAGGTATTCAAATTGAAATACAGATTGTAATACTTAAAACAATAATGTCGTTATATTGTGATACTATTACTCAGACTAAATTATTATTCACCAATTGGTTTCCAATCTAAATGATTTTTGAATACTGTTTAAAGATGCAAAGTTATGATTTTTACCGCCTTTTGACCAACAGAGGGAAGTTAGGTTACTTAACGCCCCTTGGGGCAATTATCTAAAATAACCAACTATTCTGCGAAGTTTTCGGGAAAAAATTCGCGCTTTTTCATCTCAAAAGACAATAAAATTGTGTACAACTACCTTTTTGGCAAATTAAAAATGTTACTTAACCACGGGTTTCCTCGACCAATTTTGTCTACCAAACATCCCTCGCTGCGCTCTGAATGTTTAGTAGACTAAATTGGTTTGGGAAACCCTTGGTAAAGTAAAATTCACTTAACTGCCCTGTTAAGTAGTTGTAAATAATTAATTTTAAGAGTTTTGGTTTTAAAAATTATAAAGAAATTAACTTTCTGAAAAAAACGTAAAGGATGAGACTGTAAAGACGACCTGAAACTTTTTGGATGAAGATGTCTTGGTTAAACTTAGACTTCTGTCTAGAATGTCTAGAATGTCGTTTTTTGGATTATTTCATGATGTGTCGAAGAAAAAAACAGTTTACAGAGAGCCTGTAAATCATAAATAAAAGGAAACAGACAGTATACATTCAGTACAGTCTTCTCTGAAGTCTTTGATAGTAACTCTGTATATACGGTAAAGCATTCAAACGTTGATAACAGAGCATGAAGAACATTTATTTTGTTCTTAAATTTAAACAGATTTAACTGATGTTTTGTGGCGGATACGTTTGCTTTTTGGAACTTTTAAACTTTGAAATTTAAAATAAGTAAAATTCCCTGTAAGAGATTGCAGACGCTAATCAAACTCTGTTTATTAAAAAAATGGCAGATTTTTAACTTTTTTTAACTGATTTTTAACTGAAAACTGATTAATTTTATTTGTGGAATTGCTCTTGCGGAATTTACAATCGATATTGAAGTAGTGATTCTGCGGATAGATAACTACCATGGAACCTACAAAATATTGGCCACAAAAAGTAGTTAATTCATTCGTAGCATATTCAAATTTATAAATTCTGAACTTAGATTTAACTTATTATCAAGAATCAAGAATGAAAATGTTTGGTTTTCTGTTTTATATCCTTTTGCTGTTTTGTCAGGAAATCAGGTTATATCCCTAGTCACATATCTTAAAGTGGAAGTGCAGGGGAGGAGGGTGGGGGGGATTATCAGGTTATATCCCTAGTCACATATCTTATAGTGGAAGTGCAGGGGAGGAGGGTGGGGGGGGGGATTATCAAAAATTCATTATTTTCAATTATCTGTAAAATTCAGAAAATTGGTAGATTTTAAAATTTTATTTGAAATCTCTATTTTCTTTGGATGATGATTATATGTCCAATAAAATCAATTAATACTGAAAAAAAATGAAAAGTCAAACTTCCCTGTGATTTTCAGGTCTCAAATAGCAACATACTCTCTTGAAATTAATGAAAATGTGGCGGATGGTATATTCGTTTTAGATTTTCAGGTCAAACATTATTATTTCTTTGCTTAATTCTTTTCTAATTTTAGTGTGAAATTTATACGGGGTATCCCAAAATAACGCCCTTTAAGCTCTGATCATGGTTCAATTTTTGGTCATTTTTGGTCATTTTGCAATTTTGGTTTATTTTTTATTTCTTATCTTTTGTAATTCGTGTAAGGTATATGATTTCAATAGGTCAAACCTGTAAAGGCTGGGGGGTCCGAATCTAGGGGGGGCGTTTGGCGCCCCCCCCCCCTAGAAAAAGGCCTCAGAGAATAGGTATAGGGTTGAAATGAATGTTCATAGCCCAAATTTTCATGGCCAGCTCAAAGAAAAAAATTAGACCGATAACTTTATTAGTTTACGTACTATGGAGGGGGAAAAAATGCCTAAAAAGGTAAAAAAATGAAAAACATATTTTTATGTTTTAAACAAATATCAAAGTGTGACACATGTTTCTAAATGCATTTTTAAAGGGCTTTTCTAAAAAAGTTTTTAGATCTGTAGCTTTAGTCACAAAGAATTGTTATGGGCTATTTTAGAGTTATTTGTTCAGACCGGACTTTTTCCACCCTGTACCCAACCCTATTAATAAATTAAATATTTTTTTTTACTAAAAAACCTTTAAATTACTATATTTTAAAATTCACAAAATTTCACGGTGATANTGTTTAGAGCTAAAATAGAAAAATTCTTTAAAAATATATGAAATTTAAGGATCATCATTCATTACACATTAGATGAAATTAGATGAATTTTACTGAAATTCATTTTTGTCAATATTTCTAATATTTTACCATAAATTAAAGAGTGTTTTTGGAACAACCTGTAGGCTGTATTTTGCTGAGTTCTTCATTCAGCTAAACGAAAACAGTTTAATTCTTACTTATGGGTTAAAGGTTGTATCATAAGGGTGCAAGTTTGTACAAATACACCTTTATTAATATTTACTTTCCAGCCCTGTTTGCAATTACAAAAAAAATATTTTTTTTGATAAAAAAAGTTTAAAAAAATCTTTAATCGGTTTTAAATTTAATTAAAAGTGTAGAAAGATGGGTATGCTACTACCAGTTCCTGGGCAGAATACAACGGAACACTTAGCAAAGAAAAATATATGAATACAAGTGGTCTTCTTTCCTTTACATACTGTCACAGGTATCTGTATCTTTATCTGTATCTGTATCTGTATCTGTATCTGTATCTGTATCTGTATCTGTATCTGTATCTGTATCTGTATCTGTATCATGTATCTGTATCTGTATATGTATCTGTATCTGTATCTGTATCTGTATCTGTATCTGTATCTGTATCTGTATCTGTGTCTGTATCTGTATCTGTATTTGTATCTTTATCTTTATCTACTAAGGTTTAAGCTGTACTACAACAGACCAAGAATGTTTATTATGACCTATGCTTACAATGACCAGGATACAAATGAGCTTTACTCAGGTTGGATTTAAACCCAAAAACCCAGCAAGAACGGGTAGTCTAAAATTGACGGGGATACGACGTCCTCAAGATCCACAATTACTCCTACCGAGGTAGTCAAATTTAGACCGATATGACGAGGTTCAGGACGCTGCTCATGAACCCTGGGGTATCGGGTTACTAATGGCATTTGACTTTGCAGGGGTCCCTTGTGTGTGTTCGTATTTTTGTCAGTGTGTCGCCAAATTTGTTTCTCTGGCAGCTGTCAAGCTGTTCTCCACCCCCCCCCCTTCCCTCCCTCCACTCATCTTATATTAACTGACTTAATTCTTTAAGACGTCCTGACTGTTCTTCACAGTCGCTGTCAATTAAGGGCGTACACAGGGTCCCCCTCCCAAAAAAATCTCTTCAGTAGGATGTCCTCAAGAAGCATCTTCAGTACATCCGGACTGGGTCTTCACAAGATGATGGCATACATCATCCTGCTGACAAGAATATTAAAAATGTATTAATTGTATAAAATTGTACTTTTTACCTCAGAGTGGCAGATAACACAGTACTTTTGGCCAATAGTAACTTCAGATCTAGGTCTAGGTTTCCAGTAAGGATCTGCAGCTAACTGTACAAATTCGACTACAATCTCAACTAATTATATTATTTTAATTTAATATGAGAAAAAATTGGGCTTTTGTGAACACTCATGAGTGGCTGGGGGTGTAATAGGCCTAAAAAATCGAAATTTTATTTTTTCAACATTTTTAAAATTTTTTTTTTTAATTTAAAAAAAATATTTCAATGTCCGGTCCTTTAGCTATTATCTCAATATTACTAGATTTTGATATTTTTTGGAAAATAGAGGGTTTTGGGGAGTCTTCAGGACGTCCTCGACCTCGTCCAAAACGCTCTCATTCTTGCTGGTTAGATTATCAAGTACAATAGGGGGCAACAGAGAAATGGACAAATTATACACAACTTCACAAGTGTCAAATATAACAAGGAAACCGAAATGTTCTCACATTAGTTGACATGTTATCCAAGATTAGATAAAAAAAAGTGTAAAAACAGGAAATAAAGAACACATAAAATTGCAGTAAGCAAGATAAGCACTTAACACTAAAATGTTTACTTATATATTGTACTGAATCTATTCACTTAAACCTAGTTTTGAAATGGTGTCATGATTATAACGTAAAATCACAGGAATTTCATTATCAGTCCTGCCTTGGGACCTTTTGAGCAGGAAAAAGCTCTCCTCCTGAGTCCCGGGAAGGTTATCCGATTTGTTATTGGTCCGAACTTAACAGAATTCGGGTTAAACTGAATTCAACGCATTCCGTCCTACGAGGCCTTTTGGAAGAATATTTAGACTCTGTGCCAAGATTTTTATAGTTTTAAGAAGTTGTTTACTTGTTTACAAGGTTAATGGTGTAAAATGTAGTCTGAAATCAATGTTTAGAATATCATCTTGGAAGATCTGCTTTTCGAGCCTGTAAGATAGGAACCAAGTTCTGTGCTTGGCATTATGAAATGCCACAATATTACATCTGGAGACATACATGTCTTGTGAGTAGTTTTTATTTATTATATAACCCTAAAAGGCTGTTGGGAAAGGGAGATGTACATGGTGTAAATGTGTAAAACCTNTCCTCTTTATTATTGTTAATTATTTTTTATAAATGATAAAGCCATGTTAAATGACATAAAATCATATTTATAAAATCATGTTGAACTTGTCTGTAGTAAGATGGCTAATTTACATAATGGCTTTTAGCTTAATTTGTCAATAAAGATATTAGTGCAAATATATGGATTCGAATCGTGTTATTGTATCTTTGGTCTTTGATTTAAAGGAAAGTCATGCAAATTTTTTATATAGAGAACGCAGTTTCATTGTTTTTAAATTATTTTTAACTTCTGTCAAACTCTGGATCTCATTAATCCTACTCTGATGAAAAGCTTTTAACTAAAAGAGTTATTTTGTAGACCTACGATGCATACAGAGATACGTGGAAGCTTTTTGTAGATGGAGAAAAGGTTTTTTATATTTCTATTTTCTTTTTGTAAGTTTTGGTTTTACTTTTAGTGAGACAAACAAATATTTTAAATTTTTTCTGTCTATAAAGCTCAGAAAAAAATTTGCTTAAACATTTAATTTTGATAAATAAAACTATGCTTTTAGACGACGATATGATCGTTTACTTGAAAAAAAAAACAATAGTTTTTGAAAGTTTGTCATTGATAAATGTTTTTACATTTAATTTCGAATATAAGAAAAGTTTAGTCGTTTTACTTAGGTTTTCAAATCGAGGAAAATGATCTTGATATTTTCTGACCTAAGTTTTTTCTAATCTATGAGATTTCAAACCAAAAAATGTATTATGTCTAAAAATGGTTGACATGTACATGCCCCGAGAGAAGTTTATGAGAGTTGCCTGGCAAGTTTTGACATTTAAGCAAACAAATCAACATTAATATGATAAATATTATAGAGACAAAAAGATACATTTTTAGATTGATTCTGGAGCATTCGCGAACGATAGAAGAGTTGAACCTATTCGGTCTGGTGGAGTATTTATCTTAGGACAAAATCAGGTTTTAAAAATAATATGAATTTATTTATCCAGGTTCCTAAATCATAGATATATAACTGTACTCCAATAAAAACTATTCTTCGTAGTAATTTCGCGCCAATGATAAAACTCTTTCCTGAAGTAGAGGGATATATGCAAGGTAATAATGCAAGGAAATTTATTTCAGAGGTGTCCGTATCTTTTGTACTGCAGTGTACTGTCTCTGGGCGGCAATATAAACTCAAGACATAAAAAATCAATTAAATATTCTGGTTATAGGAAACTGTTATGTGAATTATCAAAACTATCAAAATTAAAGGCTTTTAACCTCCTCGGATACTAAACGAACTTTCATGCATCTTTTCTTGTTTACAAATTCCGCCAAGAGAGAACTGGTTTCAATATGTACGCAGAGTATACGCCACTTCAATTAACTTTCCTTGCATTATAACCTTGGATATATGATGATATGTACAACATTTTGTTTAAACAATTTTGTGATTCATTAAATATACAGTAATAAATACTCATACCGTAATTACCAGAAAACTGTGGAATACGGAGACGACATTAAAGTAATAAATAATTGTATTTGATGTTGTTACAAAGCAACTAGACTAACTATAGCATACACCCGAGTAGAATCTATGAGTCTGAAAGGGTCTGAAATGTGCTCTTAGGCGCCTGGCAGACCTTCTCAGACCCTATGTATTTGGAAAAAAATATCAAATTTCACCAAATATTAGTAATTGGAGAAAAAACATTAAAATATTTGAGCATTCCTCTCCCCATCACTTTCTTCAAGCACCCCTCCATATATGTGTTATATGTCCCAACCCCAGTTTAGGCTGTCTTAGGCAGGCGCCTGTTTTTGGGGTCTTTCGAGTCTTTTTCAGACTCAAATCAGAGTCTTGGGTTCTATGCGGGCAGCATGGTTCATACAAACCTCGTTCCATTTTTCGCAAACACTCTCATTAAGTTGGAGCAAAGAGGAGGATATGACCCTCGTCAAACCTGGAGCGGAGCTGTTACTCAACTCAACATCTGGGATTTTCCTATGGAGGAATACCACGTAGAGGTAAACTTTCATTAATCAGAGTTGTAAATTAATAAATAACATTTAGTGTCTAAAACAGCCATGGCTTGTTACAACTTCCTATCTTTCGTTCATTAAACTCTTTGTGTCATTTTAGGTGAATTATATTTTAATATTCTTTATTAGAATTTGGCCAAGTGTCGATCTGATGCTTATGGTAATGTTGTTCGGGTAAGGTATTTTTTATGAACATTCTTTTTAATATTGGCTTCTAATCCATCTTTGCAACCTAATATTTCAACATATGAATTGTCTGATATCAAATAGTCAAAGTTAGATTAAACATAGTGATTAAAAATTAGAATTTGAGTTGAATAAAAAGACCTATTTATGAAGTGGGATGAAGCCTACTGGATACTGGGTAGTGTCGATGTCAGCAAGGTTCAACAGTATGAGCTCTGTGCTGATTCTAGAACAGATTCTTCGTAAGTTAATTTACATTTCAATCAACCCTTATATGCCTGAGATGGAATTTAAAGAATTTGAGCCGCGGTTTAAATCCGCCAAAACCCGGTTTAAATTCAGCGCCGGCTTAAATCTTGAAACCAGGGGTCAATATAATTCCCAAAAAAGCTGATTTTCTCGATCCCAAAATAATTTTTTGCCCCCAATTTTGAAAAAAAATGCCCCCAATTTTTAAGAAAAATGCCCCCAGTTAAAATTTTTTTTTCAAATTCCACTCACACATTTGCCCCATTGCCCCCAATTTTTAAATAAAATGCCCCCAATTTTCAAAAAAAATGCCCCCAATTTTTTTTTAAATTATCATATAAAAAAAATTTGCCCCCAATTAAAGAATTTGCCCCCATTTCTTTCAAATTTGTCAATCCCAAATGGGATTGAAAAGGGAATTATATTGACCCCTGCTTGAAACATGTGATACAATTTTAAGTGGAACAAACCATATTTAAACCGCGGCTTAAATTTAAACCGCCGCTCAAATTCTTTAAATTCGGCCACTGGTGTCTCAATAAACATGGGAATTAATTGACAAATCTTTGATCTTTTATATTAGTTTTAGAAACCCGTGTTAAACAGTTCCAATTTTGTGAATCAATTATGAATATTATACATACATTACACACTGATTGTTATTCTTTTAATTCATTAAGAACGTTCTAACATACTTAGATAATTATTATTATCTTCGTCAACTAAACGTTTTTAGGTAAAATATTTTTCATTCATTAACTACAAAATCTAATTCAATGTATGAGATTAAGTCGTCTGTATAAAGTTCCAATATTGTGAAACACCTTGTCGATAAAAAAAATCTTTTTTGTTGCACCAAAAAGTGGTTGTTTGCAAATTGTAGTTGCACTGTTCTTTTGATTATGACCATTGTAAATATTTAAGCATTATTTTAACTTTTTACTACACATTGAAAAACACTGAATGGAATGAATAGTATACTTATCTATTTTTTAGATTTTTCCTGTTTCCTGATCCTTTTGATTTTAAATTTTATAATTCTTTTTGCAAAAGCTTGGGAGGAGAAATACCATTTCCAGTGAGTATTCTTTTTTAAAATTTTTTATTTATCTCACAAAACTTTGATTTTAGACTAGTGAGGATAATTTCCAAGAGATAATGGATACTACAGAAAATCTTGTTTCTGGAGAAATCCATGAAAGATGTATGCATGCGTCAGGTATTATATTTCCCTTCTACACTGCTGGACTAACCAGGACTATATAGAAATCAATCGAGTTTTCTTCAATAATTTAACTATCTTTAAATTAAGTGGTTTGTCCAGTGTCCACACCTTTTCATATGTCGAGATAAAAGTGTCGAAGAGGAAGTTAAATTGTGATGAAAAATCTAATAAGATAATTGTGATGAAAACTCACAGCTTGGTGGAATATGATCAGAACTGGGAACTTAAGAATGGTGGATATCAGGATAAATGCTTAATCCTCTGTTTTTGCTAATCTCAAGACTAACATTATCTCGAGATTATGTTAGTCTTGAGATTAAATATTTAGATCAACAAATTGGATTCTAAGAACGCCAGATTTGTTGGTTTTCTTGACTGAAAGAGCCCTTAATTAATTTCTCACCCATTTATTTCTTGATACATTAGTTAAAATTGGTTACAAAAGAATCTCAAACGTATTATTAAATATTTTTCTTCACCGATTAATTTACAAAATGACCGACACTAAATTCTTGATTTGTTAGAAATTTGCGGATTTCTCTCATGGGATAGAATTTATTTACAAGGCTGTCATTGGTCAATACAATTTATGAACTATATTCCTACACTTTCATTGGAGAACATAAGTTAAGGATATCCAAAGAGAGAGAAAAAGAGTGGATTAAGGACTAAGATTAAAAGTTTCCACAGTGGATATTCGGATTAAGTAGTTGGGATTAAAGGTTATCCATTCTAAAGTTCCCAGCTCAGAACTGTTAAATCCGCATAGAGAAAGCAGTTTACATATCATTTTGGTTTGTAATTTTGATCAAAACTGCAGTGGTTTCCGGAAAACCTTGTAATTGGAAGATGAATGTTAAACTTGAATCATAATTTTAGTCCCAATGATCAGCATCAAATACACATGATTGCTCAAATGTTGTTATATAAAAAGCAATAGATTATATTGGAAATAAATACAGAAAAAGTTAGAATGATGGACGAAGAAGAAAAAAGGAATTTTTAAACGTAACATAAAAAGTTAAATTGTGAAATTAGAAAATTGAGCTTGCATTGCACTAAAACTTAGTATTTTTACACTTCTCTCAAATATTAAATATCGAAGAAATTTTTTTTTTAAATGATTAATTTAAGGAAACGTGATTGTTTGGCTTGGAATAACTGATGAATACTCTGAGGGATTATGGGTCAGCTCATTCACAGGGTATCTCATTTATCAAAAAATATTTAAAATGATTTATTTTGAAAAACACTTTCAGGGAAGAGCTTTCATTTCCTGGTTATTGGGAAGTAGGTCGACCTCTAAAATCAGATCGAGATAATTGTGCAAGGAAATTACAGATTTTTATCAAAATTACAGATTTCAAACAAAATTACAGATTTAAAAAAAGATAAAAGTTTTAATAAAAATTAAAGATGTAGATTTTAACTTACAGATTTTTAAAAAGCTACAGGCTTTAAACAAAATTACAGATTTAAAACAAAACTACAGATTTAACCAAAATTGCGGGTTTTAACCAAAATTACAGATGTAGATTTTAAATTACAGATTTTAACTAAAATAGCAGAGATTTTTAATAAAACTACAGATTTAAAAAAAAATAAAAGCTTTAAACAAAATTACAGATTTGAAACAAAGGAATTGAGTCTCTGCCACAAACTCTGATTTTCTAACTTCTATATCTTTACAACTAATTGTCGTAGACCTTTGATATTTCAAACTATTAATTCTACTAAAGCTTATAATCTAAGTTTTAAATATTTAAGATTTACACCATCAGGCTGGATAGATATTGGGGTTATAAAATCAGAGTTTGTAGCAAAAACTCAATTCCATTACAGATTTTAAATAAAATTACAGATTTTAAACAAAACTACAGATTTTCAAAAAATACAGGTTTTAACCAAAATTACAGATTTCAAACAAAATTACAGATTTAAAAAAATTACAGGTTTTAACCAAAATTGCAGATTTCAAACAAAATTACAAATTTGAAACAAAATACTTTAAAACAAAAACTATGTAAAAAAACTCGCTTGCTTTCAGCAAAATCACAAATTTGCTACAAAATTTTAACATTTTAAACTAAATCTCTGTCTTTTACCAAATCCTGTATTGCAACAAAATTACAGAAAAGAAATAAAATTAAGATTTTAACTAATTTTCATAACAAATACTTTATATATTTGTACTTTTCTAAAGAACTTTTGTCGACCGACGGTGGGCAGATGTGGAATGCAAAGAAAGGTAGAAAAATCTTAAACAGTAAATAAAAAATATTTAAAATTCCATTTTTAAGTTTTTGTTCTGTTTGTAAGTTTGGAGCAAGGATGAATCTGACAATGCGAGGATTATGTAAACGTGGTCAGTTAATTTATTCCTTTTTATTCAAAAAAATAAATCATTCTTGATAAATAAAGCTTAAAACTATAAAAGGTAATTTTTTGTGAACTATTCTCTTCTGTTTCAACGATTACATATTGTTTTGATTGTTTAGCGTTCAATAATTAAAACTATTTTTTTTCGTAATTGACGCTGCCAGAGGCTGGGGATAGATGTCATATTTGTGTCTGCATATTCTTTGTCATAGCCATTTTCTCTCCAAAGAATCATTAAGTTCTTATAATCATGTCCAAATTGTGAAGCAAGAATATCAATTGACGACAAGTACAAATTTTGCAACAAGGATAATGAAAAAAAGAATATTGTAGAAAGGGACTGCGTTAATAAACATTAAAAAAAAATCTAAAATTATATGCAACCCTTAATAATGTGACACATAATGGGTCTTTAAGAATATATATATTAAACAGGAAATTATATTTTATTCGATATTTGAACCTTAAAAATTCTAGATCTGTTAACCATTTTTGAGAGTACAATTTTGCACATATTCCTTTCTATAAAGTAGTATTCATATTAAAGTGTTACATTAAAAACCTTGAAAGAACTTTTCCATATAGTTTAAGCTCAATTTTTAAGGAATTTTTTTTTTCATCGTTACATCTTTTTTTGCTTAGGCCTTATGGGTATTAACGAGCATATAACTCTTCAAACAAAAAGTGACTTGAAGTGAAGAAGACAATCCCTTTGTAAACAAATAGAACGCAATTCATCTATTTACCCATTCATAAACAATAACCCTTTAGTTGACTGATAAGCTTATATGTTACAGATACAAAGCTTATGGAGGGATTTTTCGACACTGAATACTTTATATCCGGATTCAAGAACTTTAAACCACTGTGGAGAGGATTAGGAAAGAGTCATATATTTTATTTACCATCTGAGAAAACATGGAAGCTGGAGTCACTTTATGCAAAGGAAAAGGTATCATGAACCAACTTTAATAATACATATACAGGTGTCTCACGAAACATGACAGTATGGTGAATAGTTTTAAATGTCTTCTCCATAATTTTCCGTTTTTTGATACTGCAAAGACGATAATAAAAACATCATTTATAAGTCATTTGGCAGTGAAATGGATTTCAAAGCGAAATTTATCAGAGCAGAAGATTTTTTGACAATCAAAATAAACTGCAAAAAGTCTTTAATATATAATACCGTATATTATAAAGAAGGCATTCAAATCTATGATCTTTGATTTGTTTAATATATCATACATCACAAAGAAAAAAAAAATCTTAGATTTTAATCAATATCAGAGATATGAAACAAATTCAAACACTTAAGACAACATATAGATTTGGATAAAAAAAAATTTGAAAGATTTGAAAAAAAATCATGAATTTAACAACATCATAGAATTGAAACAAAAGCATAGGTATTTACTGTAACTCTAAGGAAAAATATTTATTTTTAATCTGCTTTCAGTTTGCTATTCTTGGGGCTGATGACACTGATCCAAACAATTTTTTCCCCCTTGGAAGGAAAACTTGGAAAGTTGCTTCTGGTATTTGCCAATTAGAAGATGGTAGGTACAAAAATGAGGGGCGGGGAGGGATAATACCCCGCCCCCCACACACACAAATTATGCAAGACATCAATTACAACCACTTTTAAATAAAAGCTACTTACTTTGAAAGGAACTGAGTTTATGGTTGTTTTATTCTTGCAACCCGATGTCATGATGTTATATTTCAAAGTATGAATAATATTGGATGAAAGAGTCTTAGTTTGAAATAAGAAAGGTTTACACCATTCAAAGATAAAGGGATTAGAAAATATTAGTTTGTCGCAACTTCGCAAGAACTTCAAATCAAATCATATATTTTCTGTAATAACAAATTGAACAATATATAAAAAATAAAAACATAACTAAAATTACTGCAGCAGGATGGCTCAGCTAGCTTAAAGCTGATTTCACAGAGCAACGCCCCCCCCCCCCCCCCCTGTTGTCTTATTGAAATTATATTCTTAATTTAATTGTTCAAATCAAATTCTACAAGATTTTGTTGAAGTATGAACGGAATATTTTTCATTCATTTTTATACTCATTCAAAATCAAAATAAGCTTAAGAAAATGATAAAGGAAGGTATAAAGGATAACCAAGCAATATATTTAACTAAAACGTTGAAAAGTTGAAAGTTAATAAGAAACTTTCATACTTTAATTTACGAAACTGTGCAGACGATTTATTTAGCTTTTACATCAATAATGACTTTCTTTTTATAATGATATAATTGAATTTCAGGTGCTCCGCATCAGCTGACTTTGACCACGTGTTTTCCAGATAAGTTCACGTGCAACGACGGAAGCTGCGTTAGGGAAGCCATTTTTTAGTCGAAAACCACAAATAATAAATTTCTTTATAGTTCTGGCAAAAGCAAATAATATTCGAATGTTTGTTAAATTAAAAATTAAAGATGTTTGTAAAATAATATGTTCAAAACATTAAATATGGTTTGTTCAGTATTACGCAGCGCTGTAATCTTGCAATTGACTGTAAAGATGGGTCAGATGAAGAAGTAAGTTTAAAATAAAATTCATAAATTCCGTACAGTCGTCTTTGAAGTCTCATCCTTTTTGAGTAACCCTTCAAGATAATTCAAGCGTAAATTTTTTTTTATTAAATTGTTACTTACAAATTACATATTTTGTTTTTAAGTAACTTTTCTTAGGCCGAATTTAAAGAATTTGAGTCGTGGCTTAAATTTAAGACGTGGCTCAAATTTGGTTGTTTCCACTTAAAATTGTTTTCAATGTTTCAAGATTTAAGCCGGCGCTCAATTAAAACCGGTTTTTGGCTGATTTGAGACGCGGATAAAATTCATGAAATTCGGACTCTGGTTACTTCATTAAAAAATAGTGCCTTCAACGAAAGAACTAACTCTGCAGTCAGCAGGCCTTATTGTACGCTATAAAATAGATATATTGGGTCAATTAATGCTGATAATTTTATTTATTTAATTCATTGCCTTGCACTGAAAAGAAATTTTAAAAAAATTGGCAATAAATGATAATTATTTAGGATAGTAAACTGCTGGCGATCAATTATGATTATTTAGGATAGTAAACTGCTGGCGATCAATGATGATTATTTAGGATAGTAAACTGCAAGCGATCAATGATGAGTATTTAGGATAGTAAACTGCTGGCAATCAATGATGATTATTTAGGATAGTAAACAGCTGGCGATCAATAATGATTATTTAGGATAGTAAACTGCTGGCAATCAATGATGATTATTTAATATTGTAAACTCCTTGCGATCAATGATGATTATTTGGGATAGTAAACTGCTGGCGATTAATGATGATTATTCAGGATAGTAAACTGCTGGCGATCAATGATGATTATTTAGGATAGTAAACTGCTGGCAATCAATTATGATTATTTAAGATTGTAAACTGCTGGCGGTCAATGATGATTATTTAGGATAGTAAACTGCTGGCGATCAATGATGATTATTTAGGATAGTAAACTGCTGGCAATGAATGATGGTTATTTAGGACAGTAAACTGTTGGCGATCAATGATGATTATTTAAGATAGTAAACTGCTGGCAATCAATGATGATTATTTAGGATTGTAAACTGCCGGCAATCAATAATGATTATTTAGGATAGTAAACTGCTGGCGATCAATGATGATTGTTTAGGATAGTAAACTGCTGGCGATCAATGATGATTATTTAGGATAGTAAACTGTTGGCAATCAATGATGATTATTTAGGATAGTAAACTGCCGGCAATCAATGATGATTATTTAGGATTGTAAACTGCCGGCAATCAATGATGATTATTTAGGATTATAAACTGCTGGCAATCATAATGATGATTATTTAGGATTTTAAACTGCTGGCGATCATTGATGATTATTTAGGACTTTTAAGCAGCTGGCGATCAGTAATGATTTTTTAGGATTGTAAACTACTGGCGATCAATGATGATTACCGCGGAGAACTGTTTCCTCGAGAAAAAGATAATTTTGCTCTTCGTGTTTTCCTCAATGTTTCAATTCTTTCATTTCCAAAAATAGATTCATTGGAGTTATTTTTTACAGGTCGTTTTTTTGAAACAATCTGAAAATGTAAAAATATATTTTCATGAACAATGGTTAAGTTTGACCCCCCCCCCCCGCAGTCTTTGTATTGGATGAAATTCTTCTTCTTAAAACGTAGAATTGCTAAATCGTTTGTAAGCAAATCCCAACATATCTCTTAAATTTATAGATTCTTCATATATCCACGGGAATGTTTTGAGCTTGGTTTTAAGATTCTAAGTTGAGTAGGTCGACTTAAAAAGCGAAAATTCAGTTTCCCGTAAAATCGTTCAAGCCCTGGCGGTAGTAACTTATAGTAACCTGGGCAGCGCTGAGTTCCCAGGCTAGTTCAAAGTAATCCAACAAACATGAAGCTTAGCAATTGTGCAATGTATACACAGAAAATGGACCCATTTCATTATCAAGCTACGTAAAACTAGTTTAGCCATCTTAAATGTCGTCTTCGTATATCACTCTTTACGGGCTTCCTATGTATTTATTTTTTTTTAAACTGAAAAAATAGAATCAAAGCAAAGCAAAACACATACCTTACATAGAATTTTTAAAGAATTAAAAAAAACATAAAATCGGGCATTATCTTCATCTTTGAAGATACTTTAATAAAAATTTAATATTATTTTTATCATTTGTTTAGCTGATTTTGTTTTGAGCATGAGGTGGCATGATCCTAGATTAAAGTTTACAGATCTAAGAGAGGATACTTACCTAAATAAATTATCCTCAAATACACAAGTTAGTTCAAAATTTGTGTTTACATTTATTATTCAAGTATGATTATATTTTACCCAGAAACGACAATACATATTTTCAGCGTGTTTCTGAGCCCAATACTTAAGACAGCGTATCGCTTTGAGATCCAGTTTTAAAACCCGGGTTTCATGAAAATCAATATTTTATTTAGTTTCTTCATATTCTCCAAAATCTACAGAAATGATAAGACCCCAAAAAGGAAACTCGGGAGTTTCGTTCAATGATACTCTTTTTAAATTTAGCCCTCAGGTCAAAGTTAGCGCTTATCTATACAGTCATAATCAGAAAGACCAGGAATTAATTATCAATTAATCAGACACTTTTAAATCTAAATTTTTTTTTAAAGATAATTGATGAAACGATAACGATAATAAATAGCCCTAGTCTTGCCATTTCCAAAATGTGGTCTGTCTCATGGTTATATAATAGGTCTGTCTTTTTTCAGCAATTAAAATTAAAAGTAAAGTAAATGTAAAGTAGTCCCAATTATCTGTCTTTCTCATTATGACTGTAAAATTATTATCTCTTGTAACCTTAAACAGGCTGGGAGGGGAGGGGGGCGTAAGCATCCAAACTATTAAAGTTATCAGTCTAATTTCTATTAATGGGCTAGCCTTGGAAAATTGGACATGAGCATGCATTTCAACCCTATACATATTCTCTCAGGCCTTTTTCCAGGGGGGGGGGGGCGTGAGACGCTCCCCAGGCTTTACACAGATTTAGACCCCCTAGCCTTTATAGGATTAAGTGAATAAGACAGCTGATTTTTATTTTATAGTCTCTAATTAGTCAAGATCAGATTTTTTTTTGCTTCGGATTGGTTTAATTGATCTGATTGGTGGAGATAACAAAAAGGAATTAACTTAACCCGTCAGACCATCTTCAAAGTATACTTATTAATCCATTCTAAAAGATTTCGCTACCAATATAAAACGTAATATTTAATATAATATGAATTTGCATAATTTATAATTTAAAAATATTAAAAGGTTTGCTCATAAGTTTGCAAATAAATGAGGTTTAGAAAATCAGAATTTGTGGCAAAAAATCAGATTCTTTTTTCAGGCTCGCATCTGGTCTCCTTCTATTGGATATTCTAACGCCAGGGTGATAGGAGGAACAAAGGTACAATTTAGGATTGTTGATTGTTCTGGTTTGTTTTGGAGAGTTTTTGGGCTTTTAAAACTTTTGAAGTTTTTTTCTAAACATTTGCTTTTCTTAAACTATGCCAAAACAAAGAAAAAACTATTGTTTTTTTGGCTAGTTTTCTTTTATATTTTCTCTTAAGACAAAAAATATTAAAAAAGCTAATAGATGTAGAAAGTTTTGGTAAAAGTTTTAAACACGAACCCAAAAGGATAACAAACTCTGTGCAAAAAGCTGTTAAGGGGATATACAGAGATACAGAGAGCTATTCAAATTAAGAATCAATTATCTAGAACAGGCGGACTTTGAAGTTTCGTTACATCTTGGACTAAAGGGGTTTTTCTTTCACAATAACCCTCAGGCATAGTCCCAAAGGAGTTACGCGTAGCTCTCTGTCTGTCTTGTAATTCAACGCCGCATGTGCGTAACTCCTTTGGGCTGGTACCTCAGGGTTAATGTGAACCCCTAAAGCTTGAAAAGTTTCCTATCTGTTATTGTTAATTAATCTATTATGCTAACAATCTCACTTACATTTGGTCGCTGTTTCTAGCTTTAGTTTAAAATTATTGAGAGAGCCTACACATTTTTATCACTGTCGCAGGCAATGATCCTTAAAAACATGATCGATATTTTTCCAGAGAGTCGGTAAAGCAAGATATTATAGTCGGTAAAGCAAGATATTATAGTCGGTAAAGCAAGAAATAATATTCGGTAAAGCAAGATATCATGAACAAGCATTGTACTTAACCCTTGAGTTTAAAAACTATTTAAATAATTGTGTCATTTTTAATAATTTTAATTGAATTTATTAATCTAAAACGCTATTGCGGTTATATAACAATATAATTACAAAGAAAATTTAATATAATCAAATTTTTTTCCTTTAATTTCTTCCTTTTCTTTTAGGTTGATCGTATTACAAGCACGGTGGCTCAAAAGGGAGGAAAAAGAATAGATGATGATATAGAAAGAGCATTTGAGGTAAAGTTATTTGAACTGACTTAAGCAGTGAACACTTGACACAAATTCTAATTTTCTAACTTTCTAATTTTCTAATATCTTAACAACCTTTGATAATTTTTAAATTTAAAATATCAAAATATCTTTCTTCTTCTTTATGAATAAACATTGATTGGTTACGCAGCGCATTCAAACCTCAACTTGTTCAAAAAATGAAAACCTACACGTGTTGATAACTAGTCAGCTTTAAAAGTTGTTCATACATTTTTTAGACAGCCTCTACTTTAAAGCGTCGCAGTGCCTTTGCCTTGTTATACCACACCAACTCAATAACACTTTTGTTATACCACACCAACTCAATAACACTTTTGTTATACCACACCAACTCAATAACACTTTTAGACTGCAGTGTGAATTAAAATGTTAAAAGCGACTGCAGTGTGAATTAAAATGTTAAAAGCAAATGCAGTGTGAATAAAAAAATACAATTTGAGTTTCTCTGCATAAAAATGCAAATTTATTCACTGAAGAATCAAACAGACAAAATTTTAGAAAATTGTTTTGAAGAAAAACGACAATATCTTCCACATAAGATCAAGGTTTAAAGGGTACCGTTGTGAATCGAGAAAGCATCTTTTAAAATGTAGACTTGTTCGAAATTACGTCTGCATTCACTTTAATCAAGAGATTTTAGGTCAACTAGATTACATTCACTCATACATTTTTTATCTTAAACACTTGATTTTAGATTTGTAAGATGTTGCTTGAGTTGAGTGGAATTACGAAGGAAAATGTCGAGCTTGAAATAGATTACGACGGAGTAGAGTACACCGGAAAAAAGGTTTGGAGGATTTTTACAGAAACCTCAATTTCAATTATAATTTTCTTGTTTAAGGTTCTGCTTGAGTATGTAATAGGAGACATGTTGCTAAAAAGCCTCACCAACGAAAGCGACACAAAATATTCAACTCTGAAGGTTTTATTAAACCCCTAAAATTCCTGTTGCACTGCCCCCTTATGTTGACCTATTTATTGATTTAAGGAATAAAAATCATTAATTTTCCAACCCTGACATTTTCATTTCAAAATATCTTTTTATCAAGATATATTTGTGACCAGTTTGTAAAGGGAAAAAGGGAGAAAATACCCCCCCCCTGTCAGCTGATTTCTGTATTTATTTCAGGTTTCTCTTTCGTTTACTCGTAGATGGATTTATCATCTATTCGCAGTGTTCATTCAATCTATTCTTCTACTACTAGTTGCTTACATGACATTCTACTATAGAATAGATAACTTCAAGGTCAGGATCTATTCTTCTACTACTAGTTGCTTACATGACTTTCTACTATAAAATAGATAACTTCAAGGTCAGGATTTATTCTTCTACTACTAGTTGCTTGCATGACATTCTACTATAGAATAGATAACTTCAAGGTCAGGATCTATTCTTCTACTACTAGTTGCTTACATGACATTCTACTATAGAATAGATAACTTCAAGGTCAGGATCTATTCTTCTACTACTAGTTGCTTGCATGACATTCTACTATAAAATAGATAACTTCAATGTCAGGATTTATTCTTCTACTACTAGTTGCTTACATGACATTCTACTATAGAATAGATAACTTCAAGGTCAGGATCTATTCTTCTACTACTAGTTGCTTACATGACATTCTTCTATAGAATAGATAACTTCAAGGTCAGGATCTATTCTTCTACTACTAGTTGCTTACATGACATTCTACTATAGAATAGATAACTTCAAGGTTAGGATCTATTCTTCTATTACTTAGTTGCTTACATGACATTCTACTATAGAATAGATAACTTCAAGGTCAGGATCTATTCTTCTACTTCTAGTTGCTTACATGACATTCTACTATAGAATAGATAACTTCAATGTCAACAACATTGTTTTAACAAATTTTGTATACTAATCTAATGATAGTTTTTATAAAGGTCTTGTGTACAGTTCATGCTCAATTTTATTTTAGCAGTCTGTAAACTAATCATATTTAAATCTGTCTGTTAGATTAACTGTAAAGTACATATTGCTCTGTGCAATAAAGTTTATTTTTTTGTAAAGGTTCGTTAATTTGTTTAACATTCATAACGATATATCTTAAAGAATGTTTAGGACCGTATAATGGTTGCTATTACTTGCATGTTGGTTATTGCTAATGTTCAGTCAGCTATTAATCAAGATATACCTATCACTTCATATGTAAAGGTAAACTTTTGATGGAATTAAGCTATAAAGGTTTAGCTTCTGAATCTTACGTGACAACTTTTGAAGTTTGGAGTTTTACTTGTTTTATAAATTTAAATATCTTAAACAGCAGAATTTTATATTTGCAAAGAAAACGAACACTTGCCACAAACTCTATTCTTATAACCCTTAAATCTTTGCAACCTGGTGAAAATTTCTTATTTGTAACCTTTTCCCAAACGATACATTCTGCAATATGTTAAAACAAAAGTTTGAAATGCAAAGATACAGTGAAACCCTTAATAACGAATCCATCGGAAGAATTTATCAAATGTCGTCTTGACAATTTTTCATTGAGTTTTATACTATATTACGTTAATTTCTGTATTTGCGAAAATAAATAAATAGCCATGAATATGCGGGAATAGTTTTAAAGAGTTCCATATAATCATTTAATTAAAAAATTAAATATCTGCAACATTCCATCATCAGAAAGTGAAGAATACGACATTTGATGAATTCTTTCGATGTATTCGTTATTAAGGGTTTCACTGTAGTAAAAAGCCAATGTTGTTTATTAAATTTAGAATTTCATCTTCAGCCAACTATCAGCTATACGTTATATGAATATTTTAAGTACATTTCTAGTACATTGGAGCGCTTCCAGAATATCTAACCTTAATAAACAACCTTGCGAAAAGTATAGTTGAAATAGGTTCTTTTTGATACATTTTAAAAAGAAGAATTTCAATGACAACTTCTAAAATAAAACAAAGTATTTTCTCGTAAATATTCAATAAAACTTTTTCTTTTAAGTCCTATTCATGAATTTTGATGAGAAAATAAATCAGATAAAAACAAATTCTGAATACATACATAATTTTTTAGAGAAATACATGTAAAAAGTTTTCTGAATTATTTTTTAAAATTTGCAAATATTTTGTAATGCTTTATTTTACCTTTTTCAACACAGAAACTGAAAATAATACTATAAAAGGAGTTTCAGTAAGTCTGAGACAACAGCTTTTTATAATTTAAAAGCAATTAATTTTGAATATATATTTTACAAGAATTTATCATCATTTATTATTGTTTAATTATTAGATGGTTGATTACTTTCTGCTGTATGCATTCAATATTATTATTGTTATTATGATCTATCATACATATATGGTAAATATGCTTTATATCTTGAACAAAATATAATTTAAACACAATTTAAGTTAAACAATGTTTAATTCCTAGCACTTTTGTAAACTTTAATTAGGACAAAATACTAAAAACTACACATTTCTGAAATCATCCGATTTGTGAAAAGGTGAATTCACTTTTTTTGGAACTTAGGTTTTTAGATCAGCGTGATAATGATAAAAGCTTAATTTGAAACCAACATTTTGATAGTTCATGATCGACACATGTTTATTGATACTGTTTTTGAAATTTTCGTTTGAGTTTACGAAATCTCGAAGATATCATTTACTGTCGTGGCTTTATTTCACTGTTTGTATTAAATAATAGACCATTAAAGTTTCAAGGTGTATACAGGTTTGCATTAAATAATAGACCATTAAAGTTTCAAGGTGTATACAGGTTTGCATTAAATAATAGACCATTAAAGTTTCAAGGTGTATACAGGTTTGTATTAAATAATAGACCATTAAAGTTTCAAGGTGTATACAGGTTTGTATTTCTGTTTATATCTGAATAGATTGCTCACATATCTGAAGAATATTTCTGAATAGATTGCTCACATATCTGAAGAATATTTCTGAATAGATTGCTCACATATCTGAAGAATTTTCTCCTAACGAAGACGACTTTGAAATTGAAAAGGTTAACATACTCCACAGGGTAGCCCGCAAAAGATGAGACTGTAAAGACGACCTTTAACTCATATAAAATGACGGTCCAAATTAAGTCTTCTGTCTTGAATATAGTTTGGTTTGGTTTGGTTTGGTTTGGTTTGGTTTGGTTTATTTCATGATTTGGCAAAAAAAAGTTGATACGGTAGCAGAGAACTGTTCAGGAAACAGATAGTATTAATTCCGTACAGTCGTCTCTGTAGTCTTTTCCTTTGTGGGTAATCTTGTATCTATTATATACTTTTCTCCGATCAAGATTTTTTTTTTAAATCAAGAAATGAGCTAATATTTTAGATAAAGAAGCTTGCAGATGACGACATTCAGGATGGAATTCTTGCAAAGTTTTTTAAACAAGTAAAATTTACTCTTTTACATCTAAAAGAAAGGAAAAGAATTTCAGATAATAAATTGCACAAAAAATAAGCATAAAATGTACTTACTGTTTGTCAATTAAACAAATATATATTTCAGGGCAGTTTCGCAAATAAATTAGAAGAAGCCGCAAGAATAAATAAACAGGTTTATTTAACAAACTCATGACTTAGAAGACGACCTTGAATTTGAATTATCCTGTTTTAGGGTCAGATTGCGTTTGTTGTTGGATTTCTTGTGTTTCAACTTGTTTTTTGGGCGATTTCTCTCAGTGAATATTTCTCAGAGTAAGTGTTGCATGTTTTCTTCTCTCTAGAAGTAAATATGATAACATTGAAGACGACATTATATTTAGGAAAGATATTGTGGCATTAACCGCTTTTCAAGAGAAACTGGAAGCTTATCAAATTCAGAACTTTCTTTAAACCTATCTACATTATTGATGTATCGCTGCATAAATGATTAAATCAATTTTATACCTAAACATATAATTATAAAACAGTTATTTAACATTAAGGTTTTTATATTAAATCATGTGATGCTAACTTTAAAGAAAATAAAGGATATTAGAAAAATAAAAGTATTTAAAGACCTATATTTTTTTATTTTAGAATAGATAGAATAAATTAATAGATTTCGAGGTGTTTGTTTTCCTTGCTTAGAAATTTAAATCCCGTACAGTATGTACAAGGTACACTCTAAGAAATTTCAAATTTTCATTTAACAAAATTTGTTGGAGCACCGGCATCAAATTCACCTTAACAGAATTTGACAAATGTTTCTGTTAAGGGAAATTTGATGCCGGTGCTCCAACAAATTTTGTTAGATGAAATCTGAAATTTCTTTGTACAGTATGTACAAGGCTCACTATCTATAATTGCGCAAACTACAGTATAATTGTACAATTGTACAATCATACGTGGTATATTTATATAATTGTAAAGGGTTAATAAGTATATACTACTACATGGTATGTATATTTGTACAAGGTTTAGTATGTATAAGCCACGGCTATAAAACCCAGTAAGTTAAATCTATATTTACGAAAACCAAGTTATAAGCTGAAGCCTTCTTTTAGTCTTGAACTTTGTGTTACTTCAAAACAATGAAAACACAGCTAGTATAATAAAGTAAAAAAAGAAATAAAAAGTTTTGATTTCAATTCAATGTCAATATCTCCTCATTGGAAGTTTGAAAATTTAGAAGTTATTGCCATTGCTCAGATAAATATTTTGAGTCTTTATTGAAATATTGAAATTTACATATTTACATATTTAAAGAGATGCATTCATCTTTATAATAAAAACCAAAGGGATTAGATCCGACCTAATTCTAATATAACCTTTCATTTCAAATTTAAGCTGTAAATCTTGTAGATAATACAAGGGAGAAATAAGCTGTAAACAACTTGTAGATAATACAAGGGAGAAATAAGCTGGACAACTTGTAGATAATACAAGGGAGAAATAAGCTGGACAACTTGTAGATAATACAAGGGAGAAATAAGCTGGAAATCTTGTGGATGCTTAAAGGATAAAATAAACTGTAAAATGGCTAAATTAATAAGATTTCAAGACCTGCCGGATATCTACCATCTTTAATAAGTTAAACGTGTATTTTCATGGTATTGTTTTAATCGTCATGATCTGTAAATTGAAGAGACAACTAAAATTATGTTTACACTCCCTTTATTTCAAAACTAAAATGATGTTTACACTCCCATTATTTCAAAACTAAAATTATGTTAACACTCCCTTTATTTCAAAACTAAATTTATGAAGGAAGATATCCAGGAATATAGGTTAGCTGAGGTGTTGACAATCCAATACTAAGATACGATTGTCCAAACTGTCCGAGTTGTCCGAGTTGTCCAAACTGTCCAAGTTGTCCAAGTTGTCCAAGTTGTCCAATGTGACCAGGAGGCCCAAGCCCGGATAAGAAACCCTGTCTCTGAACCAACTTCAACCTAAATTATTTCAAAATTATTCCATTTCTATTTTTACAAGTTTTTCTTCAAGTAAGTATAGTAATTACTAATTAAGAATGAAGAGGTTAGGAAAATATTTTTAAATTGGTTTAGATCATGCAAAATATAAGCCAAGTTTTGCCATTAGAGACTCTTAATGCCTAGAATATTTCATAAATTTGTGAAACTTTATATAAACGGTATAAAGAGATGACTTTTTGGTCTCAGTTTTTTAAGCACTTGTTGCAAATTGCAAGCGCCCCGCATCTCTTACATTTCAAAAATTATAATTTCTATAATATCAACATATAAATATACTGTGATTCATTAAGCTATGGAAAATTTTAAGAATATTTGAATATACATTCTTTTTTTTTATTATGAGATTCTAGGGTTTTAAAGGGCGTTTTGCGACTCTATTCCCGTAACAAATTTAGCTTTTTACTGTTGGACTCAAAAACCATTTTTTAAACGTACTCAAAGACAAAAGATTTCGCGGATTGTTTAGTTGAAACTGGTTAATTTTTAAAAAATTGTAACAGCTATCCCTAGCTATAAAATCAAAAATAGAAAACATGAGTTCGTAAAGTCGTCCCTCTGTATTTCCTACCTAGCGGTCATCTGTTTCTTCCATTTAGTTCTCCTGTTTTGAAACCAGGTTTTAATCTGAACCTCAGTCAGGTTTAAACTCCGGGATAATTCCATTCTCTTAGATACAGACAGATATTTGTCCGTCTAAAAATAGTAATTTATTATCTACAGGGTGTCCCACGATAGCTCTGGGATTTCCAAAATGTGGTCTGCCTTTTTTGTGCTCTTAATATTACGGGAGATATTTTTTATCTTGTCCCGATTTCGAGATTTTGGTTTTATTTAAAAAAATTGAAATCTGATCGAAATTCTCAATGTCTTTGAAAATATTGGCAGCACAAAAAATACAGACCAAATTTTGGAAATCCCAGAACTAGGAGAATTTTGTGGATATTGTTTCAAGATTTTTAAATTAGTCTTTCTCCTGTTATGTTTGTGGGACACCCTGTAGTAAAACCAGGATAAAGCAAAATAAAAGTCGTCTTTGTTAAAATTTGATTCAGAAACGTTGCATTAATAGGATTTTGTTATTTATAATTGTACAAATGAGAAACTAGCTTTGAACTTATAACGGGATATTTCAATCAAAACAGTTTTAGAAACAGATTAAGCAGATTATTAAAAACTTTTCAACTGATATTATAAATACAATATCATAGATAAAGGTTGAATTGCAAAAAAAATATTTTTTTTGTCAATGGTGGAAAGGAACAAAATGTCGTAGACAAAATTTCAAGTGATTCTTTGGTTCACAACAGGACCCTTAAAGGGAGTGTCCGCGTGAAAGGGGGTACAGGCTTAATGCGATAAAAAAGCGCTTTTGATCAGGCGCGCAACTAGGGGGGGGCCAGGGGGGCCAGGCCCCCCAGCCTGATTAAGGGGGAGGGCATGCCCTCCCTTAAGAAGTCTTGCCCCCCCCTGAAGGGGGGGGGGGGTAAGAAGTGACCAAGTCCACCCTGTTTTGCAATTTAGCGATTCATGAATCCTGACCCTGAGGAAATTTAAGAGCTCTTATCGTAAAATAAAAAAAGATGTTGAACGTTAGTTTATTGAGCTTATAGTTCAATCGATATAGCACTTAATACACCATATACACACACACAGACCCCATTCGTCTACGAGCCTAACTACTGCCGTAGATCAGAACAGGTTGACAAGGTTACAATTGGTGCCTTAATCTTTGTTTTTTTTTTATTATGCTGTTTTTTCCTGGGAAAGAGAAAGGGGGTTTATCAAGTATTTTTTAGATATTTTCACTATCAGTTCTGCCACTTATTATGATATTGCTTTAATACTGTAGTACAACTGTTAAATTAATCCTACATATTCACCCCAAATATTGTGTGATGTGTCATATTAAAAAAAAAATATTTTTCATGTAAAATCATGAATTTTTAATAAAAGGCATTTCTTGTCAGTTTTTGAGTACAATGTACATATTTGATTTATGGATAACTAATGAAAATTTATATATTTATATATAATTTGTATTGAAAATTAATTATTTTTGTGATTTATACCAGAATCAGGGGCGGATGAAGGATTTAAGTGAAGGGGGGGGGGCAAGATTATTAAGGAACAAAAAAATTCATAATTATGAACCAAAAATCGCGGCGCAGGCGAAAATTTTTTTGACTTAAAAGACTCAAAAAGACTGAAAATTAATGACTAAAGACTAAAAAACTAGATTTTTAACTTTTCACACATTATAGTTTATAAAGANGTTAGTTATCAAATATGATAATCAGTTAGAAATTTGCCAGGTTCAGAATTTTCTCTAGATTTGGAACTGAGTTTTTGCCACAAACTCAAATATTCTAATCCCTAAATCTTTGCACCGAGTGGTGTAAACATTTGATATTTCAAACTTGGAATATTTTACCATAAGAATTCAAAGTTTGATATCTACGAGTACTCTATAAACTCAACACAAATAAAATGCAGTTCAGAACTTTTTTTTACATTAAATGTTTACAATACCCTTTAGCCTTGAGAATTGAGAAAGACAAAATTATTCTTTTTAAAACTAACTATAGTATAATAAAATTTCTACAATAACTCTATTGGTTTTCTTATTCCTGTGATACTGATTTTCGCCATTCTTTCTTTCTTTTCATTCTGCGGGGGGGGGGGCGCCCCCCCCTCTCAGGTGCTAGGGGAGGGCGCGCGCCCGGCCGCCCCCCCCCCTAGTTACGCCTCTGCTTCTACCGGTCCTACCATATCCTTGTACTGTACCAGGATTAATTCTGTCCACAATACACAGACTGCTTATCTCCTTCCACAGGGTGGGCTACGTAGGCCTAAGAATTGACCCGGCACGATATGCTACGTTTTTACGACAGGTTTTTAGAGTGCCATTTTACGGCCACTTGATGAATATAATACCCATTCAGGGGTTAAGTTTAACAACTTTTAAAGAAATACTTCAATTTTAAATATGAAACATAACATTTATGAATTCAGTCTTTTTTTGAAGATTTTGTGTTTCGTATCCAAAGGATCCCTAAATATCCCTGAATACAGATGTTTGCAGATTGGCCGTGTACTGTACTTGTACACAATAGACAATGGTTCTGTCCCATGATTGGTTATATTTCAATAGTTTATTAAAAGTACGACTAATTACAAAACTATTTTCCTTGACTGGAATTTACATGTATCTGGTTTGTAGTGACCTCAAAAACAATCTGGAGGAAATTGTCAGAATTAGACACTTCTCAAACTAGAAAAATGACGTCACTTGTCAAATTTGTAACCCTTCGAGAAGATGCATGCATTGTTATTTGCTTGAACCTTATTTCTATGTAACATTGTTTATAATTCACATTTTACAACCTGCAGTACCTTGAACTCTGCTTCAAGCATATCTAGTTGTTTGGCACTATACGCTTGACGGGGTTTCCGGTCTACACCAGGCTTCCGGCTTCTCCGCCCACCAGATTTGGGAGCTGAAACATCAGATTTAGTAGCTGAAATATTAGATTTAGTAGCTGAAATATCAGATTTAGAAGCTGAAATATCAGATATAGGAGCTAAAATATCAGATATAAGCGCTGAAATATCATATTACGGAGTTGAAATACAAGATTTAAAAGCGGAAAGATCAGATTCAGGAGCTGAAATTACAGATGTAGGAGCTGAAATACAAGGTTTAGGAGTTTACATACCAGAATAAGGAGATGAAAAACAAAATTTGAAAGCTGAAATATCAGATTTAGGAGCTGACTTATCTGATGTAGAGCTGAAATACGAGATTTAAGCTGAAATATCAGATTAGGAGCTAAAATGCCAGATTAATGAGTTGAACTACAAGATTTAGGGACTGAATTACCAGATCAAAGAGCTAAACGGCCAGATTTAGAAGCTAAAATACAATATTTAGGAGCTAAAATTTCAGATTTAGTAGCTGAAATATCAGATTTAGAAGCTGAAATATCAGATTGAGTAGCTGAAATATCAGATTTAGGAGCTGATATATCATATTTAGATGCTGAAATATCAGATTTAGTTGCTGAAATACCAGTCTTAGAAGCTGAAATATCAGATTTAGGAGCTGAAATACTAGATTTAAGAGTTGAAGTATAAGATTTAGAAGCTGAATTACCAGAAGTAAAAAATGTTAAAGCTGATTTTTTGGTTAATGAAACAGAACTAATTAGGAATCGAATTATACTAGAATAAAAGAGATAAAATACTAAATTATGAACAGGAACCAAAACAATTGGAAGAACATATCATGGTGTATTAATCAAGGTGTATTATTTATGGTGTGAATAGATCAAACGACTTTTTCATTATTTTTGGACCTACCGAGCCAAAGAATTATAATGTAAAAATAGTTATTTCAGAGGTGTACGCATTTTTAGTACTGCAGTGTACTGTCTCCGGGCTGTAAAGTAAACACAAGACGAATGTCACAGTCTGACATGGGATCCATCTTTTACATAAAGAAATCAATGAAATATTCTGGTCATAGGAAACTATTATGTTAATTATCAAAGTGTTCAAAATTAAAGGCTTTTATCCTTCTCGGATACTAGAAGAACACTGATGCATCTATTTATGTTTACAAAACCGCCCAGAGAGAACTGGTTTCATTATGTACGCAGAGAATACGCAACTGCAATTAACTTTATTTACCTTATTACCTTTTACCGAACAAAACAACACACAACAACCTGTAGGTTTTGCTTTTTTATATTAACTCATTTTTGTTGTCAGCCCACCATGCTGAAATAACTAAACAATCTATAAATTTATTAAATTTAATCTCACCAACCTTGTAAACCAAAAAATAAAGCAGATGGGTTGCTGTGTTCTAAATTATTACAATTATTAAATGTTTTTAAGAAACTTAATATTTTAGATGTTTTTCCAAATGTTTTAGAATGTAATATATCTCAGAAAATGTTTTAAATGCAATATTAAACGATACAAATATTACAAAAGCATGACATTATAAACCATAAAAAACGTTTTTTCTCTATCACTTAACCCTTAATATTGAGAAAAATCTGAAGAATTTTTAAACATTTTCTATAAAATCCTACATAAAAGTATTGCTTCTCATCGATTTTACATAAAATTTAACAACCCCCCCCCNCTTCCTACCCATGTACTTCAAGACTACGAGATACAAAACCTTCAACTGATTAACAATGTGTAAGATATTGTCCTTTTTTAGGTTTTGGGAATGAAATATTCCCCAAACCTCAGAGTATTTGGGAAATTTCCCAAAAAGAAAGGCATGTTGAGAAATTTCATATTAATTAAATAATAAAACACCCTAAGATTCTTTAAGGATTTTGGGGAATTCCCCAGATTCCCAGGAATTTTGGGGAATGAATTTCCAGGTGTTAAGGGAATTTTCCATGGATTCCCAGGTATTTGGGAATCTGGGGAAATTTATTCTTCAATTATAAGAAATTTCTCAAATGCCTAGCTTTTTGGAAAATTTTCTAATTACTCAGAGAATTTTCCAGATTCTCAGGCTTTTGGGGAATTTACCGGATTCCCAGGTATTTGGAGATTTTTAAATGCTAACCAATTTGTTGTACTCCCTCCAAATCGGTCATTTCCATCTTTGCATAAAGGGTCACTTGTAATTACGCTTACAGAACTTTTAAGATTTAGAATAATTGTTTTTCCTTGAGTCCAGGTAGTACTGAGAATAGATGAAGAAGAATGTAGAAGTTCTCCCATCATATCCTAGACATTTATAACTATTAATTAAATTCTAAAAACATTCTTTAAATGGCCTCACTTTTTAACACTCTGCTGCACGTAATTTCGCGTAAGAAAAAATGTAATTACGTTGGAAAGCCTATCTGCAATAATTAAAGATTTTTTATAATATAGTGCAAAACCAAGTAGATGCAATTTTAATTTGTTTTTACATTTTTTTACGAACAATCAATTTGAGATTAATTTCAAAATGGCGTCAATAGAAAAGTACCTGATTATTGTGTAATGGAAAAGTTGGGTGTCGAATAAGAAAATGGGGTCGTGGCTGTATTGGAACTAGTCCTGTTCTTGAGGGCTGCAATTGATGTTCATGCTGCTGTTCGTGTTGAAGCTGCTGGTCATGTTGAAGCTGCAGTTTTTGTTGTAGCTGCTGCTGTTCAACTTGAAGATGCTGTTCCTGCTGAATCTGCTGTTCTTGTAAAAGCTGTTTTTCCAGATCTTCTTGTTTCAGATTCTCCCCAGGCTGATATTGGTCTTCCTCCTGTCGAAGTTTCTGTAATTTCTTTGCATGAATCTGACCTTGATCTTTCTCTCTAAACAAGTCGATATGTTCATTGTTCTCTGGCAAAGATATTTTAGATTGATTTCGATTTAAAAACTTAGTATAGTCATGAGTAGATTTAGGTCTTTTTAGTCTTGAACATTCCAGCCCATCGTTAATCTTGTAGGGTACAGAGCTTCGTCTTATTCGTTTTGTATTTTCACTTTTATTTTCCAAATTACTAAATTTTGTTAGAACACCAAACAGCAAATCTATTCCTTCACTTTTTAAAATATCTTCTTTTTTATCGCTGTTGGCAATAGTCTTTATTTTATTAAATGCTTCTTCCGAATTTCCGCTGTCATCATATTTTTCAGATTTAGTAAAATTTGCTGTTTCAGTTTCCTTATCAATTTTATCAAAGATGGAGGCTATTTCTTTTTCCTCGTCTGTTTCATCAAAACTAGATTCTTCTTTAGCATCATTTATGTTTTCCTCTTCCTCTTTCTTTCAATTTAAAGATTAGAAAACGTAAAAGAATTTTCCGCAAAAAAATAGTATTAACATTCAAAATTCATTAGTAAGTCAATTCTTGAATAATGTTTCAAACAAATAGGTTAGATACATTTTTTTTAATTTAAGAATTAAATATAGACCGATAGGCTTTTTGTTTAATTCTTCTTTTCTAATTAGTTCCTGAAATTTAGATAATAATGACTGTTCTTCATAATCTCTGCCTAAAATAATTTATATAATAAACAGAAAGCAATCTACACAGGGTTAGTTAAAAATGAATTTATAAACAAGATTCATAAATTTGAACTTTTTGATCTCTTTTATTTAAAGGCCCTCTACCCCCCCCCCTAATTAATTTGTTTTGAATTTGATTATTTATCTTGTCGCTTGCGCAACTATCTAAGAATGCCGCGAAGCGGGGAACCACTCACATTTTTCGAAATCCGTTAAAACGTTTTCTAAAAAAATAAAATATTATGAATATAAACTATATACAAATGTGGCAAAAGATAATCGATGACTATAGGTTGTAATATCTGAATGATTTGTTTGAAATTAAATTGATTTTTTACGGTCTAAGTTGAATGTTGCAATTTTCTGGAATTGTATGGGCGCTAAGTTATTCCTTATGATACGTCTTTAACAATTTTCTCCTTATAGACGCAACAGATAGAAGTAAAATTAGTAGCGATCAAAAGCACTTTTTTATAGCATTAAGCCTATAACCCCTTTCATTTTTCGCGAACACTCTCTTTAAAAGCTTAGTCTAACTAAGTATGCATGAGAAAACAATAATTTTCTGACATTTTCTTAATTTCTAATTGTAGAAATAATTATTATGAAAACTCTATATTATTTAAACTTCTACCCAGAGGCGCAACCAGGACTTTTGCTAGGGGGGGGCAATATATTATTTTGTTAGGGTTCGGGGACCTGGGTATTTTCTAAACTGTATTTGTTCCTCCGGACCTGGGTATTTTCTAAACTGTATTTGTTCCTCCGGACCTGGGTATTTTCTAAACTGTATCTGTTCCTTGATCGGCAGGTTTTCTACAAACATATATTCAAGCTCAACATTTCTCAAATTGCAACAATTTTATTTAAAAATTTTTTATAAAAATGACAAACATTCAACAAAAATATGTATTGCAATCATTAAAGACTTTCTCCTTGAATTAACTTATAATTCAATGAGAAGAACTTTTCAATCATCTTAATCATTGATTTTTAAAGTAGCATTTTTGTTCCACTAAGAAATAAATGTCCGTTTTCGCTGATGATTTCGTAGGTCTAGATAAAACTGGGTTTAAACATGCAAAGGAATACCAAATAACAGTAAAAAATAATCTAATGTTTCTGAGAGTAAATGATAAATTTTTTTATTGATCCACCATTGCATGGAAATTGAACCATAGCTGTTTTTCTTTACACTAGTCTAGAATAAATTGACATACGTACAGGGTAAACCACAATAGATAAAACTTCAGAGCCGACTGTACGAAATTTATACTGTCTGTTTCCATGAATTCAGTATTCGTAAACATATTTTGTTTGCCAAATCATTAAATTAGCTATGAAAAGAAAATATTAAAGACAGACAACTTATTTTTAACCTTTGGATCGTCATATTTTAAGGGTTTTCGGTCGTCTTTTAAGTCTTAGACTTTGTGGGTAACCCTGCACTTAAATTTTATAAAGTATGCGAGTAAACTAAAAAAAATACCTGGTGTGGATAAAAGATTATCGATGGAAAAATTATATTTTTTAAATTTGGGTTGCTCCATTTTTGGCAGAATGTTTAACTTTTTCGCACTTTTTTACAAGTTTGTAAATAATTGTCTGAAAGATATTTAATTTATAAAATTATCAGATTATGATTATACTGTGATAACCAGAAAACTGTAGAAAAGAAAGACGACATTAGATCAATATTAAAGTGCATTTTATGAAAATAGATTTACTGGTAAGTTATAAAATCACTTATTAAGTGAAATGGGTCTGTTAACACTGCACATTTGCTGTGCCTCGTGTTCATTGGAATATCTGAAGTCGAAACTTGAGTCTAAAAGTCGACTTCCTATTCCAGAGTTTTCTGGTTATCACTGTAGTAACCCCAAACCTTCACCAGACTATAAATATAACACATTTCGTGTCAAAATCTTGAAGGCTTTAATTCTCTCCTAATTCTTTCAAATATTTGTTCTTTCTTTTTAATAATATTAATTTTTCCTACTCCCCTAGCCCTTTTAAGATTATAAGGAAGGCCTCAAAGCTTTCCCTGTGATATTTAGGATGATGAACATTTCCCTGTATGATAATTGAAGGTCTGCAGTTTGAGTTTAGTGAATTATATTGACGTTATGACTACTGAGCCCAGGAGTGCCAGAATCGATTTTTTCGTATATTTTTGAAATTTTTTTTAATTACCAGGCTTAGTTCGTCAATATAATTTACCAAAGATATACTGCAGTCCTTCAATGATCATATGTAGAAATTTTTATTTTCCTAAGTAACCCAGGGACTTGACTCCTAAATTTAACTTTTTATTAGCTTGAATATAGTTGGATATGCCTTTAGCTTCTTCCGTTGTTGACATGTATGGTACTGTGATAACCAGAAAAGTCTGGACTAGGATGATGACTTTTAAACTTAAATTATGACTTCAGTCCAATAAAACTAAAAACTAAAACTCCAATCAAAGGAATTACCACAAAACTAATTGATTTAGGGGCTTTAGCTGTGTAGAATTTTTCATTTGCACAAACCGACACCATAAAAAGTTGCACGTGGAAACAGAAATTGTGCAGTGTAAAAAGACTCATTTCACTTGATTTGTAATTCAATATGTGGCTAGTAAAATTATTTATTTTATTTAATAAGTGTATATTAAAATTATATAACACCATTAAATACACTTACTTATTAGTAGTGCTATAAAGTCGTCTTCCTATTAGAAGCTTTCTGGTTATGACTGTATTTTATTTTTAAATTGTTTGTATTTGGTTCAGACTCCGTTCTGGACGGAGCTATGGTTTTAGGCTCCGGTTTATACAGAGCTCTGGTTTCAGGCTCTGGTCTGAACGGAGGGAAGAGAATTACTGTAAGTTTAGAATAAATTTCTCATGGTATTCCATCCTCTGAATACATATCCGGTAAATCATAATTATATCCCCTTCCACCCTAGATCTTAGATCATAGATCTTAGATCCTAGATCTTAGATCCTAGATCTTAGATCCTAGATCTTTGATCCTAGATCTTAGATCCTAGATCTTAGATCCTAGATCTTAGATCCTAGATCTTAGATCCTAGATCTTAGATCCTAGATCTTAGATCCTAGATCTTAGATCCTAGATGTTAGATCCTAGATCTTAGATCCAAGATCTTAGATCCTAGATCTTAGTACAGATTGTTCATAAATCCTTCCATGATCTGTTATTTCTTGAATTTTCCTATTTAATAATTGTGTGACCTGCTATTTCTGAACTCTTTCATGATTAGTCATATATATATTTATCCTATTGTGATGGCCTATCATTCATATACATTAAAAATATGTATCATCAAATCCTTTTTACACGTCTAATGTTTATTGATTAGAAAAATAATGTTTTAAAACATCATTTGTTTTCTCTTACATTCCCTTGTTCTGAGAAGAATAGAGAATATATAGAGTCTATATAGTTTAGTAAAAGTATCCCTTTAGAAGTAAATACCCTGTACTGTTCCAATGATTAATGGCGGAATCTCGTGCTTACAAAATGGATCATCTAACAACACAAAAGGTGTTGCCACCATCATAATATAAGATGAATCTTACCCAACCTCATGCCATTGAGACTCCGATCCTCCAATTAGAACGCTTCTCTTCAAATCCTCCAATAGTGTTATTTTATGCTTTCAGATTTCGACCAATGAGAGCAGATGGAGGACAATCCTCAATTTGAGGTTGGCGGATTTTCAACTAGAGTTAGACCGATTTCAAAATCAATAACTAAAGTTTTAAATCATAATTCATTCACTTTGTTTTGAATTTTTCAAAAGTAAGTAAGAGGTTCTTCACATTTTTGACTCTAAGAAAAATGGCTGAAAACCATCTACACATGAGGAATAAGTTTATCTCTTTAAAATCGGCTCAGATTTTTCAATGTAATAGTCCCAGCTCAGTTTGATCATATATGTCTAAAAACCTTGGCAAATGTAGTAAATATGAATTATCAAACTATTTTACCAATGCAAATATTGTTGCTTGAAATATGATTGCTAGAAACTGGCTTTCAATAAAACTTACTATTTTAATGCATAATGCATAATTATTTATATATAAATTTATAACTATATAAATTGCATAATTTATTGCATAATGCATATTAAATACTAATTCTACTTTTCTAGTTAAAAGCTTCCATTTACAAATCTGTTTACAAATTACTGAATGAATAAAAGATTATTTTCTAACTTAATGTTGGTGGCACAAATATGTGCGAAATATTCCTTTAATTCTGTTTATATTTTTTACAAAATGGTTGTGATTTCGATATTAGAAACAATATGTCGTTTCGGATGAAGCCTACAGTACGGGCAGTTTGCTGAGATTGTGTAAGTTTAGCACCTGTTCTCCTGTATATAGTGTATAGATCTAATATATCATTCAAACCATCTCATCTCCTTCAACTATTCTCTAATATCTTCTAACTGTTCACAACATGCAACTAAACTAAATATCTTAGTTTTCACGCCAGTACCCAAACCAAATATAATGGTTTATAAATATTCTTAGTTTTCACGCCAACCCATACCAAACATAATGGTTTAACAATATTTTTAGTTTTAGTCTAAATAAGAAATCTTTCAGGTTTTGGTAAAATACTCATTTAAACCTGAAACTAGAAATACTTAAAAAACTTTAAATCTTTTGCTGAAAAAATAGATTTTGGTGTTAGCAAGGAACAGCTTTAACTGACCAAGGCCTGATGAAACTTTAAAGTCTGCCCAGTCTCAATATCGTTAGAGCATAATTCTAATATATCGCTGCGTCTTGTATCATTCTAGCTTTAGTTTCATAGAAGAGTTATTGGCAAAATACTGCACAATTTTTGCGTGAGAGCGTGGACGTCTTGGTTTCATGCAGTAAGACTGCACAGTAATCTGTATAAACAATTAACAATTTAATCGCCAACTTCTGTTTTACTGGCACAACTATTTGACCTCGTAGTCCTTTAATTTTTATTTTAGACAATGAGGAGAGAATACTTATTTTCGGGTTGTATATCTTTTATTCTCAATAGCTCTTCTAAGAGCTGGGGAAGGCAGGCGGCCACATATTAGCTTTTTTCTCTTCCGGCAGCCGTGAGCCACCACTATTTCCCCTTCCGTACCACCACATGTGACTCTTTCGGGCAAAACTACTTCTTAAATAGTATATTTAGCGCCTTTAAAGTCTGATTTTTAAGAATCCAGCCGCGTCACTCAAAAAAGCACAACTCAAACCAATTTTTCAATTCTATTAATGTTTTGTGTGTTGAATTCTTAAACTGTTTTACAATGAAATTTTTGACAAATTTGACTTAGTATTGCATCTTGAAATATCACAAAGTCTAATGATTATTCAATTACTGACTCATTATCCTAAATCCATCTTAAAATCACTCATTAACCAACTTTGTAATATTTCAAGATGCAATACTCAGTCAAATTTGTCAAAAATTTCATTGTAAAACAGTTTAAGAATTCAACAAGAATTATGGCCACCTGCCTTCCTCCGCTATTCTAGGTTTACAAAATGATTTTATGTTTAAGTTTACAAAATAGATTGCTAGGTTATTTTTCTCCAGAATTGGAGTCTTTGCTACAAACTATGATTTTCTTATCCTTATATAACTATGCAACCCAATATTGTACCTTGGATGTTTAAAATAATGAATACTGTTGGATCAAATAATCTTAGTTTGAAATATCTAAGGTTTACATCAGGTTGCAAAGATTTATTGAAATTTGAGTTTGTGGCCACGGCTATAATTCCTTTCCCCAAAAAATGTTATTACAAATACGAACATTGAATTAAAGATATCTGCAATTGATTCTGCTTCTTAAACGTTATCTATCCAATATTTATAACTTGATCATTTTACATTTTTGGAAATTATAAAACTGGGATGTTAAATAAAGTATTTATGATGGCCCTTCTTTTACTTGATATTACTTTAAAATATTTAAAATGTAGTTTTAAATCTGCTTAAATCATAATTCATACTTCAGTTCTTCTAAATTCTTTAAAGCCGTTATTGTTCATTTCTTTACCTCTATTCTATAGTTTGAGAACTTAAAGAAACAAATACATACAGGATGAGTTGTTCCTTTTTGTGCAAAAAAAGTGTGATTATTGTCGTCCGGTGCATACAGTTGTAACTTTTTTGTGCAACTCTCCTGAATATAGCTTTTTTATTTGGAATTCTAAAATTTGCAAGTGTTTGTTTAAAAACTTTAAAGATATGTAAACAAAAAAAATCAGAAAAAATTAAGGACACTATGAACATTATTGTACTACATTTGTTTAAAGTGAAACCAAATTACAAATTAAATGGGACTTTGTATTACATTTAGCTAGCATATCCTTTCTCTATTTTATATAATTCCATATTTAAAAGAGTTTAGACAATTTCCTCTATTGTTTTGCGGCTCCTGCACAAATAACCTTTAAGAGAAACCACAGCAAAAAAAAATTTCGGATGGAAAACATAGATATCTCAATTATTCTTCATCAGAGGATGGTTTCATGAATACCGTTGTGAATCGGACATTCATCAATCTATAAATGAGGTTTGGTTCAATTACATCTAAACTGTATGCAGTCCCTAAAAATACTGTTTTTATGTTTTATCATCTCTGCAATATGTATGATGTATGCAAACCGATATAAATAAAAAAAACTAATTGTTATTTAGAAAACATACAAATAAAGTTACTGAAAAGGAATTGAGTCTTTGCCACAAACTCGGATTTTTAAAACCCAATTTCTTTAAAACCAAATATCGTAGACCGTAGATATTTAAAACTATGAATTCCGGTGGATCAAACAATGTAAGTTTGAAATATGAAAGGTATGCATCATCTGGTTGTTGAGATAGGAATTATAAAATTGGGATTTGTGGCAAAAACTCAATTCCTTCCTTCAAATTGAATTTTCATTTATTTTGTAGTTTTCTAAGATTTGTTAATAGTATTTTTGCCTTATAAGAACACCACTAATGTTTTTTCTTTAAATGTTTTCTTTTTGTTTAACTTTTGTCGCGTCTGTTCTGATGCACAGTCAATGATAAGATATTAAAAACTATCCTGTGTAAAATTAAAAGTAGTTTCTAAGACATTAACACTGTCCTGTGTATAATTTTAAGTAGTTTCTAAAACATTAAAAACTGTCCTATGTATAATTAAAAGTAGTTTCTAAGATATTAGAAACTGTCCTGTGTAAAATTAAAAGTAGTTTCTAAGACATTTAAACTGTCTTGTCTAAAATTAAAAGTAGTTTCTAAGACATTAAAACTGTCCTGTGTATAATTAAAAGTAGTTTCTAAAACATTAAAAACTGTCCTATGTATAATTAAAAGTAGTTTCTAAGATATTAGAAACTGTCCTGTGTAAAATTAAAAGTAGTTTCTAAGACATTTAAACTGTCTTGTCTAAAATTAAAAGTAGTTTCTAAGACATTAAAACTGTCCTGTGTATAATTAAAAGTAGTTTCTAAAACATTAAAAACTGTCCTATGTATAATTAAAAGTAGTTTCTAAGATATTAGAAACTGTCCTGTGTAAAATCAAAAGTAGCTTCTATGACATAAAAACTGCCCTGTGTAAAATTAAAAGTATAGTTTCTAAGATATTTAAAACTGTCCTGTGTAAAATTAAAAGTTATTTTCTAAGACATTAAAACTATCCTGTGTAAAATTAAAAGTAGTTTCTAATGGGTAAATAATATAAATAATATGTACCCCCTAGGACACTCAAATAGGTGTGAGAACAAAAAGAAAGAAACAACTGTGAGAGAAGTGGAGGAAGGGGGGAAGGGGAGGGGAGGAGTGGGAAAAGGGCGATAAATGTATTGTGTGAAAGATTGCTTTTCAGATGTTTAATCTTTTCTAAACTGCGGGTGGTTAGTGTTAACTGGTTATAACTGTAGACGGGCGGGCAGGGAATGGGGAGATAAGAGGCAGGACCGTTTTAGTTTAAAATCTTGTATGCTATCAAGCAAAACTTCTAGAATTATTTTCCATAACAATTATTGATAAGAAAAAGAAATATTAAAAATCCTTTAAATCCAACCAACCAAGTTTACAGGTTATACCTCTAGGTCAGTGCTTTAATTTGATCACTTATGTTAAAGATAATGTCGTTTTCTGGCTTGAGTATTTGCTTCTGTTAATTTCAATCCTTCGTTTCTAAAGCAAAACAAGCGCAATGAGCGCAAGTCACAATTGTAGAGAAACCAAGAAAACAATGGATATCCAATGCGTTATACTTGATCAGCTAGAGCTTTAGGTTTTAAGGTTACCGTTGTGAAGTAAACGTACATGTGCCACTTTATAAAAGAAGGGTCTTTTTAAGGAACAAAATGTTTATTTTTTATGTATTGAATATTCATAACGTGCATGGTGCGCACGGCGGAATGTTTATCTTTACAGAGACTGTAAGGGTACTTTTGTTTGTTTAAAATGTATATTTTCATTTCCAGTTTCTCTGTGTAAGTGTGGAGAAACTAGCAGAAAAAAAAAACACTTTTCAAGTCAGAAAAATGACGATATCTTCCACATTTGATATAATTAAGGTTTCAAGGGTACCGTTGTAAATCTTTGCATGGCGGGAAACTTAAAATTAGGCTTACAGTCCCTTTAACCATTTTAAATCATAATTTATTCAAAAAGTAAAGAGGAAAGACATGAAAATGAGCATGCAAGGATACGGACAGGAATAGAAAAAAAAGAAAATAATAGAGGAACAAGAAAGTATTTATTGAAAAGAATATGGTAAAGAATATTTTTAAAAAAAGAGAAAATAAATGATGAGGAATAAGAAAGAATATGGTAAGGAATAGAGAAAAGACATGATGAGGAAAAAGAAAGGATATTGTAAGGAATAGAGAAAATAACTGATAAGGAATAAGAAAGAATATTGTAAGGAATAGAGAAAATAACTGATGAGGAATAAGAAAGAATATGGTAAGGAATAGAGAAAATAACTGATGAGGAATAAGAAAGAGTATGGTAAGGAATAGAGAAAAGATATGATGAGGAATAAGAAAGAATATGGTAAGGAATAGAGAAAATAACTGATGAGGAATAAGAAAGAATATAGTAAGGAATAGAGAAAAGACATGATGAGGGAAAAGAAAAAGTATGGTAAGGAATAGAGAAAATAAATGATAAGGAATAAGAAAGAATATGGTAAGGAATAGAGAATAGACATGATAAGGAATAAGAAAGAATATTGTAAGGAATAGAGAAAATAAATGATAAGGAATAAGAATTAAAGAATATGGTAAGGAATAGAGAAAATAACTGATGAGGAATAAGAAAGAATATGGTAAGGAATAGAGAAAATAACTGATGAGGAATAAGAAAGAGTATGGTAAGTAATAGAGAAAATACATGATAAGGAATAAGAAAGGATATTTAAAAGAAAAGAGAAAACAAATGATGAGGAATAAGAACTAATATTGAAAGGAATAGAGAAAAGATATGATAAGGGAAAAAAAGGATATTGAAAGGAATAAAGAAAATAAATGATGAGGAATAAGAAAGGATATTGAAAGGAATAGAGAAAATACATGATGAGGAATAAGACAGGATATTGAAAGGAATAAGAAAATACATGATGAGGAATAAGAACTAATATTGAAAGGAATAGAGAAAAGAAATGATGAGGAATAAGAAAGAATATGGTAAGGAATAGAGAAAAGAAATGATGAGGAATAAGAAAAGATCTTGAAAGGAATAAAGAAAAAAATTATTAGGATTAGAAAGAAAATAAAAAATGAATAAAGAAAAAATATAGAAATTAAAGTTTCATGGGAAGGAGAGGAATGGATATGGGAATTTATCTGAAGGAACATTAAAGGTATAGGAGTATGGTTCAGCTGAAAATGTTAGGGCAAGGAATAGATATGAATAGAAATATAAAAAATATATCTAGTTATTTTAAGAGATATTGAAGAAAGAAGTTTTTGGAATATAAACAATGGATGTGGACAGATGGGGGGCAATTGGGGCTCAGCTACCCAAGTGGATCAGTAAAATCTAATACGGTTTCCACTTCCATAGAGTTGTCAAGCAAAAATGGGTGCTAAGCCCCCCCCTGAAAAGAAAAACGTTAACACCCCTGGACAAATTCCTTTGTACGCCCCTGGATATGGACAGTAATCTGAAGAAGTATATTAAGGAAGAAGTATTTGGATAGAGGAAGGAAAGGATATATGGAATTGGAAAGGAATCTTTAATAATCTAAAGGGATATTGAAGAAATAAATATGGGAGGATATGGTAAGTAGAAGGAATGAATGCATGGGAAGGAATGTATGTAATAAATATAGTAATAACCCTAATTCATATGTCTTGTATATGTTTGTTAATTTCTGAACAGACCTATCGGTCAATACATTTAACCTGTAATATATTAAACCCAAAATATAGTTTAGTTAAACCAGCTTAAAATATACCAATGTTTGGTAAAGAGTATAGAGTTCTACAGCTTTGTGTGTCGAACAACGAACCAACGGAACTATCAAGAACGATCCCATCCAAAGAAATCTATCAAGGGAAAGTATGGGAGGAAAATGGGAAGGAGAATTGGAATCTACAGTCAGGGGCGGATACAGGGGGGTGGCGGGGGGACATTCGCCACCCCCTGACAGATTTCGAGGCAAAAAATGTTCCCAATTTTATAAATCGTATGTGTTTTTCAATTTCAAGATTTTTTTTTTAATGGAAATTTTGACTTTCTTTTCTTCAGTTTAATTTAAAAATCAACGACAACAAGTAAATGTTATTGTTAGCGATAAATTTAGAATTAGAAATTTATAAGAAACTAGACTTAAGTTATAATATTGTGCATATCTAGTAATGTTTCTTAATCAATACTCATTTATCAAAATTGTAATATTGGTCCTAATTTTCATGCATAATTTCTTTTTGTTTTTAAATTGCTAATGTTCCTATTATTGTTCCTGTTCCTAATACTGTGTCCGACCAACCTTAAATCCCTGTCCTAATCCTATATTTTTGTTCCTAATTCCTGAACAATCTTTTTATTGTTCCTAAATCCCTGTCCTAATCCATTATTTTTGTTCCTAATTCCTGAACAATCTTTTTATTGTTCCTAAATCCCTGTCCGAATCCTTTAATTTTGTTCATAATTCCTGAACAATCTTTTAATTGTTCCTAAATCCCTGTCCTAATCCTTTATTTTTGTTCCTAATTCCTGAAAAATCTTTTAATTGTTCCTAAATTCCTGTTCTAATCCGTAAATTTTGTTCCTTAAAGTTAAAAATCTAGTTTTTAGTCTTTAGTCATTAATTTTGACTCTTTTTAAGTCTTTTAAGTCAACAAAAATTTCGTCTGCGGCACGATTTTTTGTTCCTAATTATTATTTTTTTTGTTCCTAAAAAATCTTGCCCCCGCCCCTGTCTACAGTAAATTCAATGGACGGATCTAAGTTAGTCAGTAAGTATTTTTTAATGAAATTTAACGAAACATACAAAATTAAGTGTATAAAGGAGAAAATATTTAAAAACCTCTAATAATAGACGTGGTGGGAATTAAAAATTAAATTTAAAAAAGTAAGGAAAGGAAAGGAGTATTCTTGGATGGGAATGGGCAGTAATCTGAAGGAAAATTGTCCCCCTCCCCCTTCCACTTTGATAAAACTCTGTATGTCTTTACTTCTTTACTCTTGATGGTAAACAACATTAAATGGGAAGTTTAAAAGGTTTAAGGAGTATAAAAAGTCAAAGTATAAATACTAAAAAAATATGAAATTGAAAAAGCTGGTCAGAAATAATAAAAGGAAATTTACTCAACCAATCAAAAAAGGAAAGAAATTGGGAAAGGGAAAATGTTTTACTTTTATATAGATAAAATTACAGAAAAGATAAAAAATAAAATAGAAAGCTATAAAAAAAATAAACAAACAAAACATAATATATCTGTGCAGACGATTATATATATACAGTGTACAGCTTTCCTGTGTATACGTTAACCTGGTAATGCCACCAGGCCTCCTGCTATTGGTTGATAAAGGTATCGTGCTACTCTCCTATTGGTCCAGCAGAGCCGGGATATCTATGTAGTATACGTCACTCTTCCCTTGGTTTCTCTAGTTGAAGCTTGTGTAGAATCAGTGTCTGCTTGAGTTCGTAGCCAAAAACTTAATTTTTTTTCATCTACAAGTAAAATTAAATAATAAGGTATTTTAAATTATTTTAACTTTAATTTTTTTATAAACTTTTGACCAACAGTTATATTATTGCAAATCTAATAATTTAAGTTATAAACAAACAATGCTGATCGTTAAAAATTAGAAAACATTAAGTAATAAGAAACCTTGCTGCAGAATTTAACTTTGTAAACGCTGGCAAATACTACCTTAATAATATGAAGTATAAAATTTTACATAATCTAGGACTACATTTTTAATAAGTTTTCTTTAATAGGTTATACAATCTGCAAATCATGATTGAAAGATCAAGGTTCGGATGGTTGGGCTGCATCCTTATCCTAGTCCTTGCTGCTGGAGCTAGAGCTGAGGAGGATGATATAGTCCTGGATACAGTTGAACCTGATCTTGGGAGCAGTAGGGAGGGTAGTAGAACGGATAGTGAGGTATATATGTATTGTATTAGTAGGGAGGGAAGTAGAACGGATAGTGAGGTATATAATATATATGTATTGTATTAGTAGGGTGGGAAGTAGAAGGGATAGTGAGGTATATAATATATATGTATTGTATTAGTAGGGTGGGAAGTAGAAGGGATAGTGAGGTATATATGTATTGTATTAGTAGCGAGGGAAGTAGAACGGATAGTGAGGTATATAATATATATGTATTGTATTAGTAGGGTGGGAAGTAGAAGGGATAGTGAGGTATATATGTATTGTATTAGTAGGGAGGGAAGTAGAAGGGATAGTGAGGCATATATGTATTGTATTAGTAGGGAGGGAAGTAGAAAGGATAGTGAGGTATATATGTATTGTATTGGGAGGGAAGTAGAACGGATATCGAGGTATATATGTATTGTATTAGTAGGGAGGGAAGTATAACGTATAGCGAGGTATATATGTATTGTATTAGTAGGGAGGGTAGTAGAAGGGTTAGTGAGGTATATATGTATTGTATTAGTAGGGGGGGGAAGTAGAAGGGACAGTAAGGTATATATATGTATTGTATTAGTAGGTAGGGGAGTAGGAACGGATAGTGAGGTATATATGTATTGTATTAGTAGGGAGGGAAGTAGAACGGATAGTGAGGTATATATGTATTGTATTGGGAGGGAAGTAGAACGGATAGCGAGGTATATATGTATTGTATTAGTAGGGAGGGAAGTATAACGGATAGCGAGGTATATATGTATTGTATTAGTAAGGAGGGAAGTAGAACGGATAGTGAGGTATATATGTATTGTATTAATAGGGAGGGAAGTAGAACGGATAGTGAGGTACATATGTATTGTATTAGTAGGGAGCGAAGTAGAACGGATAGTGAGGTATATATGTATTGTATTAGTAGGGAGGGGAGTAGAACGGATAGTGAGGTATATATGTATAAGTAGGGAGGGAAGTAGAACGGTTAGTGAGGTATACATGTATTGTATTAGTAGGGAGGGGAGTAGAAGGGATAGTGAGGTATATATAGGTATTGTATTAGTAGGGAGGGAGTAGAACAGATAGTGAGGTATATATGTATTGTATTAGTAGGGAGGGAAGTAGAACGGATAGTGATGTATATATGTATTGTATTAGTAGGGAGGGGAATAAAACGGATAGTGAGTTATATATTTGTATTGTATTTGTATACTAAACAATTTGGTACGGTTGAAACTCGATATGTGAAACTATTTCAAATATCTAACAAGTTATTATAGGACAGTAAATTGTCATACTTTACTATGTTTTTAACTATTTTGTTTTGAGGTTTACAGTACAACTCCATTTTATTCTAAAAATACTATTGATTGATTCACCAGTAATCAGATATACTATTATGACTTAATTAAATTTTTGGCAAATTCTTCATGAATAATTTCCTTAACATCAGTTTTAAATAATTACTTGATTTTACATAGTCAATAATGTTTCCTTAATTTGATTTCCATGTTTAAATAATAAAAATATATTTTGTTATCAAGGTTCTTGACAGAGAAGAAGAGGCTATAAAGTTGGATGGTATGAGTGTTGCTGAAATGAAACTAATGAGAGACAGCTCGGAAAAACACGCTTTCCAGGTACACCAATTTTACAGCCTCGATTTACAACGGTACCTTTCATCCTTAACCTGAGTATTAATGCGGAAGATATTGTTGTTGTTTCAGCTTAAAGGGTTTTCTTAATCTCCCTCTATTTATGAGGCCCTCTTTTAAAAAGCCACAATTTAAAATGATTATTTTTCGAAGGGAAAATTTAGGATATCTTTTTTCAGATAATGCTTAAACAGTACCCTAGTGAATCCGAAATGAATTTATGTAAGAGCAGAATCACCATAGAGAATAGAATATATAGAGGAATTTACTAGAAAAAAGTGTAAAACGGCCATTTTGTTGTACTGTTTCAGAAAATCCAATTGATACTGTTTTCTCGATATTTTTTATTCTAACTTCAGTTCTTGATTTTTTATTTATGATATCACTTTGCAATGTGCATAGTGCATGTTTATTTAGAAACACTAAATTATTTAGTTTTTAGGTTAGATGCTGAAATTTTAATATTGTTTTGTATAGGCCGAGGTAAACCGAATGATGAAGCTGATCATCAACTCATTGTACAGGAACAAAGAGATCTTCCTCAGGGAGTTGATCTCCAACGCCTCCGATGCTCTAGACAAGGTTCGACTCCTCTCTCTGACGGATAAGAGCATACTGGACTCCACTGCGGAGCTAAGTATAAAGATCAAGGCGGATAAGGATAACCATGTGCTGCATATCACTGATACTGGTATAGGTATGACCAAGCAGGACCTGATCAATAACCTGGGAACAATAGCCAAGTCCGGAACAGCTGATTTCTTAAGTAAACTTCAGGATGCTGCCTCAACCTCTGAATTCAGCGATCTTATTGGTCAGTTTGGTGTCGGCTTCTACTCCGCTTTCCTTGTAGCTGATAAGGTTATTGTTACCACCAAGCATAACGATGACGAGCAGTACGTTTGGGAATCTGACTCCAACAGCTATTCCATTGCAAAGGATCCCCGTGGAGACACTTTGAAAAGAGGAACAACCATCTCTGTCTACCTCAAGGAGGAGGCTTACGACTTCCTGGAGCACGACTCCATCAGGGAGCTCATCAAGAAGTATTCACAATTCATCAACTTCAATATCTATCTGTGGGGATCATCCACAAGCACTGTTGAAGAACCTATTGAGGATGAGGAAGAGGAGGTTGCTGAGGAACCAGAGAAGAAAGCTGAAGATGAAGATGATGTTGTTGTTGAAGAGGAGAAGGAAGAAGCTGAGGCTAAGCCCAAGACCAAGAAGGTTGAGAAGACGACCTGGGACTGGGAGCTGTGTAATGAATCTAAACCTATCTGGACGAGGAAGCCTGAAGAGATCCCCGAGGAGGACTATGATGAGTTCTACAAGGCGATCACCAAGGATAAAAACGGACCCGTCACTCATGTTCACTTCATTGCTGAGGGAGAAGTCACCTTCAAGTCTCTTCTTTTCGTCCCCAACACCCAGCCCAGTGAGGACTTCAACAAGTACGGACAGAAGAAGGAGAACATCAAGCTGTATGTTAGGCGTGTCTTCATTACCGACGATTTCCAAGATATGATGCCTAACTATCTTAGCTTCGTCCGAGGTGTTGTTGATTCCGATGATCTTCCCCTTAATGTGAGCAGAGAGACCCTGCAGCAGCACAAGCTCCTGAAGGTGATCAAGAAAAAGTTGGTGAGGAAGACCCTGGACATGATCAAGAAGATTTCTGAAGAGAAGTATCCCGCTTTCTGGAGTGAGTACTCTACCAACATCAAGCTTGGAGTAATCGAAGATACAGCAAACCGAACACGTCTTGCCAAACTTCTCCGGTTCATCTCATCCAGTGGTCAGCTCACCTCTCTTGCAGAGTACGTGGAGAGGATGAAGGACAAGCAGGAGCACATCTTCTATATGGCAGGAGGCAGCAAGGAGGAGGTCGAGAAGTCTCCCTTCGTTGAGAGGCTATTAAAGAAGGGTTATGAGATCCTCTACCTAACTGAGGCTGTCGACGAGTACGCTATCTCTGCTCTGCCTGAGTTTGAGGGAAAAAAGTTCCAGAATGTTGCAAAGGAAGGATTCAGTATTGACGGAGATACCGAGGCCGCCAAGGCCAGAAAGGCGGAGGTCACCGAGAGGTTTGAGCCTCTGGTTAAGTGGATGGGAGAGGATGCCCTCAAGGATCATATTCTCCGAGCTGAGATCTCAGAAAGATTAGCTGAGTCTCCTTGTGCACTTATCACATCCAAGTAAGTTAAAAACCTGTTTTCCGGAAATTTATTTGAATTTTTCTTTCGGGTTTGGTCTGTAGATTTGGTTTCTTTTATGAAATATTTTCTTCAGGTTTGGATGGACTGCCAACATGCAGCGTATTATCCAGTCCCAGACCCACAGTAAGACTCAGGATATGCAGCGAGACTACTACCTCAACCAAAAGAAGACCCTGGAGATCAACCCCCGCCACCCCTTGATTAAGGAGCTGTTGAGAAGGGTGGAGGATAACCCAGCGGATCCTGTTGCGAAGGATATGGCGCTCATGATGTACAACACTGCCACTCTAAGGTCAATATTTGTAACATATTTGGGTTATTTGTAGTAAACTTCATAGTTTAGAATTTCTTTAAACCCCCTCCCCACTTTTCAAAATTATTTCCCTCTAGATGTGTTTTAGGACTTCATCCTCTAAATGGGGAAAATAAATGATTTTTAGGGTGACGTTTTTTATTTATAATTAAAGAAAATTCCTTTTTTTAAATTTTTACCTTTAGCTTTGGCAATGATTAAAAAGAACCTAGAAACCAACAGAAGTTCTATTTTTAATTGCCACATTAATCCATTACTAATGTCGTTTTTCTTTGCGTCAGTCAACAGTTTTATGTCTGGACTAACAGATTCATATTATTTTTTAACTATGCAAAAAAATGCGTTCAAAACCCTCTCAAAGTTTGATATTCTGACTTGAGATCTTTGAAAAATATGAGAGTTATTCTGAACTATATCCTGGCTCAGAGAAATATTTATTTTGAATGATTTTCTTTAATTTCAGATCTGGATACATGTTGAAGGACACGGTTAACTTCGCAGAGCACATTGAGAAAATGATGAGACAGACCCTCGGAGTATCAGAAGACGAAACTGTTGAGGATGAGGAGGATCTCCCCGAGGAGGATCCTGTTGATGATCAGGACGATGAGGATGAGGAGATAGATGACGAGGAAGAGGAGGAGGTTGGAGATGAGGCGCATGATGAATTATAGATCTCTAGAACTATTGACGCTTTAGTTTGCGTTCTTGACGCACAAAATGTTCCAGCGTCTTGTTGACGCACAAATGTGATTTACATGTTAATACACCCAGCAAAGTTGAGTTAAATTGTTATTATGATGAACGGATGTGAAATATGGATGAATTGTGAATTTTTTAATAAATATGTAAACAAATTTAATATCCCTGAGTTGGAAATATTTCTAGTTAAAGGTATTTTCTAGCTTAATTATAAATTACTCTTATTTGTGTTTACAAATATGTATTGCAATTTTGGGAGAAATATTTACAAATAGCCTAAAGCTTATTTACGCTCTTGACTTCTACTGTCGTAGGTTAGGCGCGTCATCTTTACAAACGGGGTCATTTATAGGCCTGTGACGAGGGGGGGGGGTGCAAGGGGACAAGTACATCCCCCTTTCTCTTCAAATTCAATTAGTACCCATGCACATGGGGGGTCCAGTGCCCCTTTTAAAAAGCTTTAAAAAAGTGCACACCTAGGCTGAATCTCCGCTACGCCCCTGCAAAAATATTTTTCAAGCAACCTCTGTTTTCCAATATTGTAAATTTAAACTAAATAATTTTCCAAGTGCCATATTATGCAAAACATCAAATTCAGGTAACGCTGAATATCCACTTTAGGCTTAAATTACTAGTATTGTTGACAAATTAGACAATTTCCTACATAACATATAATTAAAGCTAAAATTACTCGATTTTATAGCAAAATTTTGAAAAGTTTCCTTGTAGGAGGGCTAGCCGCTCTGCCCCTTTTTTCCGGCCAATTGATGCAATTTTAATTTGTAGAAATCTGTTGTTGATTTTTCATCTACAAGGTTCCAATAAACATGGGAATTAAGTGACGAATTCGATATCGTCATTTCAAATAATCTTTAATTTAGTATAGTGATACTTACGATATTCACAATTTGTTTGTTTATGTTTTGACTGCATACGCGGTTACATTATATGTACTCATCTTTACAGCCATTTACCGTTTTCATAAAATAAATTCTTGCAGACATAATAATATAATGTCTAATTTAATATCGGGTATTACAATGCTAATTCATAACAAAGACGATAACGAATTCTAAATTCCCAGGTTTCTTGGGACAACTTGTAGATGAAAAATCTACATAAGATTTCTACAAATTTAAATATACAATTGTAGTTAAAATTAATTACTAAATTTTATTATTGCCGTTTTAAAGATGTAAGAAAATTGAAAGTCGGAAATTTATTAGATAATAGCAAAATCTTTAGATAATAGAATCTATAATATTTCAAACTTATGGTAACATGATCTATCAGAATTCAAACGTAGTTTGACATATCTATGGTCTGTAGGTCGATAAAAACATAGGGTTGCAGAAATACAGGATTACCCAAAATGGATGAGACTGAAAAAGACGACCTTAAATGTTTTCAAGGTTAAACTCAGTATTATGCCATGAATATAGTTTTTTTGCAGTCTTTTTAATGTTTAGGCGAAGAAAGAAAATAGTTAAAGTTTCAAGGAATCATTTGCATCATAAAAAAATAAAAATAAACAATAAATTTCGTACTGCGTACAGTCGTCTCTGAAGTCTCATCCTTTGTGGGTAAACCAGGAGAAAAAAAATCAATTCCTCTGTATTATTGTATTAGGTATAATTCTGCTACGATATGCAGAAATATGCGAATAGAAACCCTATTTTAAATCCTAAAATTCAGAGTTTTTAGAACAATGTCGTCTTATTTAGTTTGTACCTCTATTCTAAAGATTTATGACAGAGATATTGTTTTCCCGCATTAATTCAAAAACATTTCAATGCAAGATTTTTTAAACACCACCCAGAAACCTAAAGGTTACGTACACACGAATATTCGAGATTCTAGTTTAAATATTTGATTAAAATGTTGGTGATCAGAAGACGACTTTTGTTACATTTCTATAACATTGGTTCACTCAAACATTAAAATAATAAAATCTCCGAAGTTCAGCTGAGATCCGTGAACACTAAGCAAAAATTCACCTATAGTTTGTAGAATCAGTCTTCAAAGCAATTGCAAGCTTTTTTCGCGAAATCAAATTTTCTCGTCCCTATATCTTTGCACCTTGTGGTGTAAACCTTTGGTATTTCAAACTCAGATTAATAAAATCAAACATATTTCTTAGTTTGAAACATCAAATTGGGGTTCAAAGATGGGGTTTATAAAAACAAAGTTTTTGACAATAGATTCCTTTTGTTTATTGTTAATTTATTAGACGCATAATGAGAACTGGCGCTACTACGGTGCTCAGGCAAATTTTGTAAATTGAACATCAAAAAGTGTTCTGGATACAAAGTGACCCACTAGGCATGAAAATACATCTTTATTTTATTCTGATTCCTGATTGCTTCTCCGATGACATCACTTACATCAAGAACTGTAATCTTCTCACTAAATAAAGGTATATAGTTTATACTATTGTGGGGTAAACTACTGTATACGTATTGCGTCTTCTGTGTTCTCTCAGCTGGGAGAGAAAGGGCTGGGCGTCGTTCCTGGGGAACAATAGTTCTTTCACAGGAACGAACAGAACGGAACGATTTTTAAAAAGTAGGAGCACGCCCAGCCTTAGGTAGAAAGGGAGAAAGAAAAGGTTTTCGGGATTAAATATTTTTAAGTCGATTGAGACAATTAATTTTAGATTTGTAGATAGTAGGACTGAAGATAAATATAGCTACTGAAAACTCGAAATATAGCAATTAATTCATAAATAATTTGATTGAAAAGTTAGACAAGTTATTATTAATATGCTCACAAAACTGAAAATTGGTCTTAGAGAGAAAAAAAGTTTTAAATTTTAATATACCGACTTCTAAAAGTTAATTTAGAAACCAAAAAATAAGGAAAAAAGACCATAGGAACTCTGTTTTTGCCACAAACTCAATCCAATGGATGTCGTAGATCTTTAATATTTCAAACTATAATATTTGAAAAAAGTTCCTTTATTAAATATTTTATAAAAACTCTCTGTATTTATGCGATTAAAAAATGCTACTTAAGCTTTAGGCCGACAAAGGACGTTAAAGAAGTTGAGTCTTTGCCACAAACTAAACCTTTAATATTTAGAATATATCAGGTTTATGATGTTGGGTTGCAGAGATATAGGGATTAGAATATCAGAGTTGCATGCAAAGACTGAATTCATTCAGAATTCCGATTTTTTCGATCCATTTGATTCCGAAAAATATCGTTTGCAGTCTTTTTTGAAGCTGTTACAAATGAAAAACCAGTTTTTTAAAAGAAATTTACATAATTGTAATTTTATATTTAAATTAATCTGGAAAATTTAAATTCTTCGTTTCGTAAGTTTCAAGTTGAAACTTACAACCTTTTTTTAAAAAAGTTATTTTAGATTTACATTTTTAAAACTTTATATTATTTGATCCAACAGAATTGATAGTTTGAAATATCTAAGGTCTACGCCAGTGCAGGGAAGGATATTTCATTGTCCCCCCCCCCCCCATTCCTTTTAATATGCTAAAACCACCTTAGATGTCCGTAGTCCTCTGTAACTGTATTGGAAACAACCATCCTCTTCAGCTGAGGGTGCTGGAATAGTTCCCCGGGAACCTTAACCAAACACAAATCAGTTAAATAAATTTGCGCTACGTCGCTGAGCTACCAACTGTCGGTTCAAAGAACCACTGATGCAAAGTTAAAGATTAAGGAAGGATTTGAATCGATGATTTATATTTGAACCGGCGGTATGCAGTTCAAGGATCCTTCATATTTATTAAATTCGGTCCCATTTAGTTTTATATGAAAAATAAAGAATTTCAAATTGATCAACTTAACATAATTAAGTTTTCCTTTGAACAACTGGTTACTTGAAATAATTATATTTGATTTATTTGATTAGTTAGTTGATTTGATTCATAAATTTGATTTTTGTTTAATGATTAAGTGATTAACTAACCTGAGATAATACTGCATGTGTGACCAGAATATAGATACTCGCTGCTCCACCAACACTATACAGAGAGAACCAGTTAAAATAACAGTGTAGGAACATTGACAGGGTGTCTCAAAATAATGAAATATCAACCTTATCTACCATATCGACTTACTTGACCAGATGGTTTAGAGCATTGAGTAGTGTATAACACGTATCTACCATATCATCAACCAGAATCACAGTTTTATTCTTTACATCTCCAGATATAATATGCTCAGAGTTCAACCTAACGAAAAAAAAACAACAATAACGTTTGCTAATCAATTTTATTGTTTTTTAGCATTATTATTATTATCCTTATTATATTTATTATTATCATGAGACTATAAGAAAAGGCGGAATCTGGGTTTAGAACATAGAGACGGGAGGAAAAACAAATCAGTTGGGGAAGAACCCTCTTCAAGAGAGGAAAGAGCAAATCCAACACCAACTCCCCATGGTGTTATGACGGACGACCTGAGTCCTGGGAAGCAGTAAATCTCAGGGACGGAACTTCAGATGAGCAAGGATCGCCTGAAACTGCAGAACCTGTGGTTCTGAGGAAACTGTAGTCTGTAGTTATTTGTTTAACTTGTATAATAAAAGTGTTTAACTCTTTAATGTTCTTTTGTTAGGGGGGAGACTTGATGACAACTAGAATATTGATACCCACCTTTGTTAGGGGAGACTTGATGACAACTAGAATATTGATACCCACCTTTGTTAGGGGGAGACTTGATGACAACTAGAATATTGATACCCACCTTTGTTAGGGGGAGACTTGATGACAACTAGAATATTGATACCCACCTTTGGGTGGTTCATTTCATATGTAATATTATTATTATTAATGTTAATATTTTTATTATTATTATTATCAATATTATTATTAATATTATATCATTATTATTATCATGAATACTATTATCATAGTTTCTACAACCTGTCTCTGTGTATTAGAGCCATAGGTAGTCTAAAGGCAAATACTATTATATTATACCATTAATTGTTTAATTTGTTTTAGAAAACTTCTATTTAAAAAGGGCAAAAAAAGAAATTAAAAGTATTTTCCTTAATCTCTCCGCCAGCATTCCTGCTCTTCTAGTTCCACCCTCATCCGGAGAACATACAACACTGCTCTCCCAACCAGAAACATTCTCTTTAACCCAACTAAAATATCCTCTTTAACCCAACTAAAATACACTCTTTAACCCAACTAAAATACACTCTTTAACCCAACTAAAATACTCTCTTTAACCCAACTAAAATACTCTCTTTAACCCAACTAAAATACTCTCTTTAACCCAACTAAAATACTCTCTTTAACCCAACTAAAATACTCTCTATAACCCAACTAAAATATTCTGTTTAACCCAACTAAAATACTCTCTTTAACCCAACTAAAATACTCTCTTTAACCCAACTAAAATATCCTCTTTAACCCAACTAAAATATTCTCTTTAACCCAACTAAAATACTCTCTTTAACCCAACTAAAATATCCTCTTTAACCCAACTAAAATATTCTCTTTAACCCAACTAAAATACACTCTTTAACCCAACTAAAATACACTCTTTAACCCAACTAAAATACTTTCTTTAACCCAACTAAAATACTCTTTTCAACCCAACTATGATAATCTCTTTAACCCAACTATAAAAATCTCTTTAACCCAATTAAAATTCTCTCTTTAACCCAACTAAAATAATCTCTTTAACCCAACTAAAATATTCTCTTTAACTAAACATTTTTTCCGGCCTAGAAGCCCCATTTATTAAACACAAAGTATATAAAAGGACATTTTTCGCGTAATCTCTGACGTATCAAAATAAAAAGGATTCCTGTTTTTTATTTATTCATTTTTAAAACTTTAAAAATGTATCAAAAGGTTAAAAAATAACTCTTTTTAACCTTATTATTCAGGGGGGGGGATATGGGAACAAATTTTCCCCAATGAGAAATAGAAATAAAATATCAATCTAATAACAATCTAATCTGGAGCGTTAAAGTCTCCTGGGGCTGACTTGTGAAAAAATAAGAAAAAGTTTATTGAAACAGTTGTGTTTTACTTAAAGAGTGAATATTTTATAATATAACTACTTTTAGTCCCAAAACAAGGTTCATATATTCTATTTTTCATGTTAGCTCTTTAGAGGGTGAACAGTTTATAAATTCCTCATTTCTGAAATGTTTGGCTTTAGGCAAAGCTTCCATCAAATTTCGCAAAACATCTATTAGAATTTATGATTTAATTTTTATTGCTAAAAAACATGGGGATGACCCACAAAACCAACAAAATAGTCCATTCCAGTTTTGTTAATTTTTTTCTCATAAGTCTCCTCCCCCCCCTTGAAGAATTACTAAAGCTTACCATTCGAAGAGAAACCTGGTGGTTAAGCAGTCTACTGGGATAGAGAAGAATGCTTCAGTCTGGGGGGAATGGATATCAACGGTTATAACCTGAATTAAATCATTTTAAAAGAAGAGCTAATGGATTTTAAAACTTTAGTTTTTGACCGATCCGATGTATCTTGGTAAACGCATCCAAATCAAATCTTGAGCCATTTAAAACCTAACTAGAGCAGCCAACCTGCTCTGACAGAGAAATTCTGAATTTTTGGAATTTATTTATTTTATTTTGGAATTTTTGTACGTAAAAATAAATATTTTTAAGGCATATTCAAGGTCTAAAACCAAAATGTTAAGAAGTTGAATATAATTTTGCATGCGCATTGTTCCTTTATATATACAGCTAATTCCACAAATTTCTTAAATCCATTCATAGATATCAATTATTTTCAATCCAATCCAATATTCTTTCACACAAATTCACACCATCATTATTTCTTCATCTCTGTCCATCTAATTAAATCAAAATTCATTTATGCATTTTGTCTGTATCTTCAACAATTACGTTTTCAATATTTACTATGCTTCATACACTTACCATTATACCTGTTCTAAGACTGTCAAAGTAGAACTTCTATTTTATCCAAAAATCGAGAATTTATTGGCCTTGATTCTAATGAAAACATCATTTTACTCCAAAATGATAGAAATTTTAAAATATTGTAGTTACCAAAATGTTTGCATTTAATTCTAACAATTTTCTTGAAAATGATAAAATATTTTTAAATTCTAACTTAAAAATGCATTTTTGTGCAGTTGGGGTTTTGTGAAGAAAAATTAGTTGGCATCAAACTTTTCAACTCAAAAAATTACTATTTTTTAAGTAAAGAAAAATCCGAAAAATACGTAAATATTTGTAAAATAAAAACCTAAAAAAATTTACGAAAATGCACGTATTTTTAAGGTGTGCCTCAAACTTTTCAACTCTAAAAAATACAATTTTTAAAAAAAGAAAAAAAGAAAAAATACGTAAAAATATAAACCTAAAAGCTTAGAAAAATTAATTGATATAAATTCGAAAATATACGTATTTCTAGGTTTATATAAAACTTCAAAACTGTTTAAAAAAAGTTAACTAAAGAGAAAAACGAAAAATGCGTAAAAGTGCGTAAAATAAAAGCCTAAAAACGAATGAAATGAACAAAAATATACGTATTTTTAGGATTGCATCAAAACTCTAAATAAAAATACAATTTTTTAGTAATGAAAAAAAAACGAAAAAATACGTTAAAATGCATAAAATAAAACATAAAAACCTAAAAAAAAAAAACTTGGTAAAAAGCATTCTTCGTAAAAATACGTTTCAGGAAAACCTAAGCTCTTAAAGAAATCGCTTGGTATGATAAATACGTAAAATTACGTAAAAATACGTAAATGTACCCACAGTTCTTTACCAAAAAGTTGAATACGAATTTTTACGTAATTAAATATACCTAAAAATACGTATACCTATATAGAGACTTCAGTATTTTTAGGTGTTCAGGTTAGTAGGGAATTGTTACTGGAAAAAAGAAGCTAGAGGTTTCCTAACAGCATAGTTTAAACAAAGGTAAGCAGTTGAGCAAATACTATTTTCAATTATTGTTTATTAATAAATTCTAACCTGGCTGACACCAGCTGTTTCAAGTATACCGGCGATTATTTTGGCGGGAATCGGCATACGTCGATCCGGCTGCTTATGATCTCCTCTGGATGATAAACAATTTAAACATTAAAACAAAATTAAAAAATAATTAGAACACATTTTAAAATCCAAATGAACATTAGCTCTTGGGAATTTTTTTCTCTAAAAATAATTTATCGTTTATATTTTGTTTTCTCTCGATGACTGTTATAGTATTATACATTGGTTCACGATAAAAAACTCTTTAAAGAAGTTTAAATTTGTTTTATTATACTTTTTTCAGCGAGTTATTTTACCATTTGGTAACCTGAGAGTCAGAGGGACGTATCCATGAATTTAACCGGGGGGGGGGGGGGGCCTCTTTTTTTCTTTCCTGGGGGGCTCAACGTACCTTTTGGAGACTGTAAACCCAGGGAGGGAGGCTTTGCCTAACTAACCAATTGGCGATGATGGATAAATATTTCTTTTTCTTTCTATTTGAACATGACAACTTGATAATTATATTTCTAGAGTTTCTAAAATTTTGAATTTTCTACCGCAAGTAGAAAACAGTTATTATAGTTTTCCATCTTTTAAATTTTAAAATACGCTATAAATGTATATTTATATTCTAACCTGGCATAGGGAAGCATTGGTAAAACTGCTGTTATTCTACGCGCCCCAGCAAGTTTACACGCCTAGAAATATTTCTTATATATTTATTCATATTTCATATTTTTATTCAACTATAAAGCATGAGATATTACAAATAAGAAAACACAATTTACTATGCAGTTTGGACCCGCCTAACCAGAGTAGGTTGTTTAGAGTGGTTGGCCCTAAGTTAGTTAACAATACTAAATATAATTGGTTTTTGGATAGGAAATGAGTTATTGCTGAGATTGTCAGGTGATCTGTGGCAGGGTGAGATTAGAGGGATTAATGTAGAGATAAATTAAAATACAGGGTGTTAAAGATGGTGGATACACAAACACAAATAAGCTAATAAAGTTACATTTTTAGTTTTTTTCATAAAATTTATTCACACTAGGTTTTTCGCATTTAAACTTCTCATAATTCTCAAGATAAATATTGAATACTCTTTGGTTCAATATCAGATTTAGTTTCTTTAAGGTCACGTTTTATTTGGATAAAAATACTGTAAATATGAACTTACGCAATAAAATCTGTTCGCAATAATATATACTTTTGCTACACTAAAAATATTTATTTCTAAAAACGTAAACCTATCTAAATTAGAATTTGTAAACCAAATTATGAACATTTCGTTCACATTAAGATCGCATTACATTAAGACATTACTACTCCATAAGATGATTCGATTATACCTCTAAACTATGTACTTGAATAAAGAATAGGAGTCCCATAAGATAATTATTAGTATCTCTACTACAAGACTATACCTGTATGAAGAATAGGAGTCCCATAAGATGATTATTAGTATCTCTACTACAAGACTATACCTGTATAAAGAGTAGGAGTCCCATAAGATGATTATTAGTATCTCTACTACAAGACTATACCTGTATAAAGAGTAGGAGTCCCATAAGATGATTATTAGTATCTCTACCACTAGACTGAACTACATAAACGTTCTTCCCTCTCACAGAATCCTGGATCTCAACCTCACTCTCACCTATATAGGAAGTCCATTGAAGTACAGATAGTACAGGGAGTACAGTAAGTACAGGGATTACAAGGAGTACATGGTGTACAGAGAGAACAGGGAAAACAGGAAGTGCAGAGGTTACAGAGAGTACAAGGAGGAAATGAAGTGCAGGGAGTACATAAAGAACAGGGATTAAAGGAAGTACTGCGAGTACAGGAAGTGCAGAGGGCTCGGAGAGTACAGGGAGTACAGAGATAACAGGAAGTACATCGAGCAAAGAATGTACAGAGAGTACAGACGGTACACAGAATACACTACAGAGAGTACAGAGGGTGCACTACAGAGAGTACAGAGCGTACACTACAGAGAGTATAGAGGATACACTACAAAGAGTACAGGAAGTGTAGGAAGTACAGGAAGTACAGAGGGTACTGAGAGTGCAGAGTGTACAGAGAATTACAGGGAATACAGAGGTTCAATAGAGTATAGAGGAAGTATAATAGGATGTATTGGCAGAACAGGGAGTGCAATAGTGAAAAGGGAGTAAAAATCAAAATATCATTATAGTAACTTATTTTAGGATACGATCAAAAATGGTTTTAAGAAATAAGTCTTTGCAATCAGACAAAAGGTTTTTTAAAAATTCAAAATGTTTTTGAGGATCGTTATATTTCCCTGAAGCTGGACTAGCCATGGCTACAAATAAGAACTCACTGTATTCGTGAATGTGTGATAAACCCGAAAAGTTTTGTAAAAGGGAGAGAAAAGCTTATATATACCATTTGTGCAAATATTAAAATCAGCAGAACTAAGCTTGACTCCGCAATATTTTGCAATTTTTCTGCTCAGGCCAGGATTAGATAATCCGCTGAATACCTAGAAAGAAATGCTATTATTAAATTATAAAAACAGTCTGCAGGTTCAGATAGACGACTGCGAAACCCAAGTTATGGTTTTAAATACTCAAATTAAGATGAAACAAGGTGTTTTTGCAGTGTCTCATTTTTTTATCTACTAGTAATAAATGAAAGCGAATTGCCTTAAAAGAATATGAAATATCGCTTGAATGTTGTCTTCTTATTCCACGGTTTTTGGGTCTCTCTGTGTGAAAAAAACGAATGAAATCGAAATAATACTAGAACGGGGAAAAAGAGAATTATTGATGGTTCAGCGACCTCTCCAATTCATTAAATTCCATCCCAGGACAACACTAAGATAAGACTAGGACAAGGACTAGGACAAGGATTAGGATAAGGACTAGGACTAGGACCAGGACAAGGACATGGCCAGGACCAGGACTAGGACCAGGACCAGGACTAGGACCAGGACTAGGACCAGGACCAGGACTAGGACCAGGACCAGGACTAGGACCAGGATTAGGACTAGGTCTAGAACCAGGACTAGTACCAGGACTAGATCAAGGACTGGGACCAAGACTAGAAAAAGGACTGGGACCAGGACCAGGTTATACCTTCATATCATGATTTGAAACTGGATTTGTCATCTTGCCCTGTTTCAATTCCCTTTTACCTAAAGAAAGACAAATCATGAATAGACAATTAATAGGTGATTTAAATACCTCCTACATATCATAAAATAATAACAAAATCTAAAAAAGATTAATGCAATTTCATGACTACAAGATTGAGAGGGTTACCTACAGAAGATGAGTCTTTAATAACGACCTAAAACTCTTAAAATATGCCATTATAATGCAATGGTTAATTATTTAATATGTATTCAGTAAAGTGTTTTATCGGTGTATCGAATGATATGAAAAAATGCTGCAGCAGCAGGGACCCAGAAATGTGAATAAACATAAATTTGTACTGTCGTATTTATATGATTCTTTTATAAAATGCATTTAAAATAGGTTTTAAATACTTTCTTTTTAAATTCAACAATTGGTTTCATTTGTACATTTTCAGGCTTCCTTTTTACATAGTATAATTGTTATGTTTAGAATTAAAATTTTGAAGAAACCGGAGCGTACTGCGCAACTTAATAAAAATGCCGCGTGTCAATCTCATTTTCGGAAAAACTAATATTTGTTTTGAAAACATTTAAATAAAAGTATAATGAATATAACAAATCTCTAAAGTTTATTTCTGTTATATTTCAAATACTCTACAAAAAAAAATCGGTTAGAGTTGGCGATTTGACGATACCGATCTTTAGCTGTCATTTTTCGTTAAGAAATTACAGGGACAGCTGTTAATGTACATTTGAATTTCCGAGCCGGGTCAACCTTTCCGTTCCCAGTTTGTACTGTACCTAGCTCTATGGACAGGACTAGCCGGTGAAACAAGGTTGACGCGGTCGACAGACTTTATGCTTCATATAGGTTAAATAAACTTTTACTAAAGGGGCAGAGGTGCGTGTAGCATAATTTCAAGATATTGTAGTTTATTTCTAGGTTTAAAAGGGATTTTATCATGATAATTTCCATTCGTTTTCCTGCAGTAGAAATACACAAGTCACTTTTGTATTAAAAATAGTGAGCTTTCAAAATTATAATCATTGATATCTAATTCATACTTTTCAGACAAAGGTTATAAGGGTAACATTGTGAATCGGGCATTGCCATCTTTGCATGAAGGGTCACTTGAAACTAGGCTACAGTCCCTTTAATCTGGAATTTTACCAAACCTTCTACAGAACCTTGAGACGATAAAACCCACATTTCACACGTGACACATGTGCTGCTAGATTTATCTAATCTTTTTAATTAAATATAGAACTTTAGTTTCACAAACACTTCTCATCTTTCAAAAATTCTAAATCTGAAAGAGATTTTTAATTAGTTTTTAAACTAAGTTAATTTGATACTTATAAAACTGCATTTGATGAATTACATGAAAATATAGAAATAATAACCCCTAAACCCTGACATTATATATTACCAATCAATACTTTGCTGCTCCTAAGTTTTTAATTTTAGATTTTTTTTGTGTGAAGGAAATTTTTTTCACACGCATTCAATCATAGATTTTATTAAGCATTATTTCTTTGGAATCAAGAAAAATATGCAAATTTTTTTAATACTAGGCTTTTGGCCTAGTATTAAATTAATTAATATTCTATTTAAATTGTGTTCTTTTTGTTTACATTTTAAAACAAAGAAGAAAAAAATTTTGCGGATTTTAAAAAAATTCGCGGATTTTTCAAGAATTCAAATTTTTTACAAAATTAAAAACCTTTAAAACACATTTTTTTAAATTTTTATAATTCATAAACCTTCCCTGTGATCATGTGATGTCCCACAAAAAATTTGGGCCCGATCGGTTCAGCCGTTTTTACGTTTATTGGATACAAACAAGCAGACACCCAAACTGACAAGCAGACAGACAAGCCAAATTTATATTCAATACTAGCCTTATATTGTGAACATGTTCTCTTTGTGTACATCATAAAACAAAACAAAAATAATTCGCGGATTTTCACAAAAAAATTCGTGGATTTTCAAAATTTTAAAAAATTTAATGAAGATCGAATTTTGACAAATATTTAAAATTTTGATCATTCATAAACCTTCCCTGGGGTCCCTAGATGTCCCACAAAAAATTTGGGCCCGATTGGTTCAGCCGTTTTGACGTTTATTGAATACAAACAAACAAACAGACAAACAAACAGACAAGCCAAATTTATATATAGATTAATGGGCTAACAAACAAATTGAGTAACATTTTTTAACACACAAACAAATAAACACAAAGGCATCCAACCCAAATATATAAACAGAAAAAAAGATAAATGTACACCGGGCCAGAGATATTAAAAAACTAAGCTATTTAAGGTTTACTGAGTCATTCATAAGGATTCATGCACGGAGGATCAATAATTTTGATTACAGAACATAATTTCAGCAGTCACGTTGTTTAGATTATTTAGAGTAGGTTTTCAAATTAACAATACTAAATCAAACACGACTGTACAGTGTACGTCCTGTATACATGGGTACCCAAAAAAGATGAGACTGAAGTTGGTAATCAAATATGTATATACTGTAGGGTAAAGTACTGTGAAATTTGTTTTCATACTCTTTTGACCCACTATAGCTTAAACTCTGATCTAATATGAAAGGAAGAATTGATCTATACAATGTAAGATTTAAAAGATCTAAAATGTGTAAAATTATTTCTAAATGCTTAAAATTATATATAACATTAAAAAACATGATTTTCTTAAAGAAAATGGTTTTTGCCGCAAACTCAGATGTTCTATTCCCTAGCTTTGCAACCTGATGGTGTAACTGTAATTGGAAACCTTTGAAATTTCAAACTTAGATTATTTGATACAACAGAATTTATTGTCTGAAATGTCAAAGGTCTACGGACTACGAAACTGGTTTGCAAAGATATCTGAGTTCATGGAAAAGTCTCTATCCCTAAAACAGTCCTACAGCCTGCATGTCTTCTTTATTGTGTCTTTAATTAACTAAATTCGTAGTTTTCTCTATCAACTGAAGAATTATATTGCCAATATAATAATGGACAATATAATGTATAAACATACCTGAAAAATATGATTTACTCGTTCAAACTGTTATAGCATTTTGGTCTAAAAAAGGTTTGACAGGGTTTACAACACAAATTTTTACTAATTATTAGATTTCACAAAACGATTCTCCAAAATCTAAAAAATCCATTCATGAAACTGACATTTATAATAGACAAATTATATTATTCTTAAGTTATAGACGATAAATAGTGCATATACATGAAAAAATACATTTAATGTGAATATCAACTTTTGCATTTTTGGAATTTTAATGATTCTAAGAATGTTTAGTCATATGAGCTTATACTTTTAAATAACATGTTTCTTAAGCCTGATATATATGAACAAATATTTTTTTGTTATTCTTTTATTCTCGGAACATACATAAGTTTAGAAAAAATATTTTAAGTTTGATGAGCTAGATAAACAGAACAGAAAAGGGTATTTCCAAAAATGAAATAAAAAACTCTGCGAAACTTTAATAACATCACCATCAGGTTTCAAAAATAAGAGGTGGCAAGCACTTAATTTCTTTAAAAAATAAGGCCAAAATTAGATGGAAACTACGTAAAAATGAAAAAAAAAATGAAAAATATTTGATTTTATTAACCACTGAAACCATGATTCAAGCAGAGAATTCAGGATGAATAGTTAGAAAAGTAATTTGAAAATTTGTAGCTATGCTAAGCTACTCCTAGGATTTGAGTGGAAATTGATCTAAAATCAGGAAACCTTCACGGAATAAAATTTTCTCTATATCTCGAAGGTTCTAGCCTTTTTAGATTGTATGTTGTCCCTCAGTAAAGCTTGGGATAAAATTTAATCCAAAAAGGCTCAAATTGAACCTTCTCAATAAAGAGAAAATTTCTGTACGAAAACTTTACAACACTGCGAACCAAAATTATAGTGTTATAAATAGTTACTAGATTTCTTGATCCTATAGTTAAACCTACTTCAGGTTCAGGTCAGCTGTATATAGAATATACATCCTTATATTATCAGAAATCAGAGCTTTTGTTTGGTTAATTAAGCACGTCAAGATATAGAAAACTCCACATAAGATTGAAATCTTATATTCTTTTATCATAAATCCTCTAATTGAGAAGAACGAAATTGTTTTGAATTGACAATATGTAGCCAAATATACATNAATTTTACCTTCTCCTCTTGGTGTAATGTCAATTGAATTTTACCTTCTCCTCTTGGCGTAATGTCAATTAAATTTTACCTTCTCCTCTTGGAGAATGTCAGTTGAATTTTACCTTCTCCTCTTGGCGTAATGTTAATTCAATTTTACCTTCTCCTCTTGGCGTAATGTCAATTGAATTTTACCTTCTCCTCTTGGCGTAATGTCAATTGAATTTTACCTTCTCTTGGCGTAATGTTAATTGAATTTTACCTTCTCCTCTTGGTGTAATTTCAATTGAATTTTACCTTCTCCTCTTGGCGTAATGTCAATTGAATTTTACCTTCTCCTCTTGGCGTAATGTCAATTGAATTTTACCTTCTCCTCTTGGCTAATGTCAATTGAATTTTACCTTCTTCTCTTGGCGAATGTCAATTGAATTTTACCTTCTCCTCTTGGCGAATGTCAATTGAATTTTACCTTCTCCTCTTGGAGAATGTCAGTTGAATTTTACCTTCTCCTCTTGGCGTAATGTAAATTTAATTTTACCTTCTCCTCTTGGCGTAATGTCAATTGAATTTTACCTTCTCTTGGCGTAATGTTAATTGAATTTTACCTTCTCCTCTTGGTGTAATATTAATTGAATTTAACTTGTCCTCCTGGCTAGTTTGTAGTGACGGAGTAAAGATTAATTTAATTCCTATGTGTTTTGAAAATAGGCATTTGATCTATTCCCATTTACCTATATAGAATATGTACATTTCCAATTGCTGTATGCACGCCTTGTAAAGCCTATTTAAATGTATATGCATGGATCCTTGGTATAACTTCAGTAAGACCTAAACCAACCAAGGACACTGATGTAGACATATTTTGATTTCTTTTCTTAATAGATGACACTTATGTAAGTAATTAAATGCAATCATTATAAAAATTGTTCTAATCAATGTTATATTATTGCTATATACTTCAATCTATTTCAGTAAAACCACACTCTCTTCTTCCCTTCCATCTTTTGTTAAACTGTGACAAATCTACCAAGTATCCCCATCTGAATAAAGAATCAAAGAAAAAACAGTTTATATAGAGAGAATAGTTTGAAACCTGTCATCAAAAGAATATCAATATACTATGTGGTATCCCACGTTGGTCATACCCTGCAGGGATAAATTCAACCAAGGGATCACGAATTTATCCTAAAACTTAGAAATCCCTAATTAGATATCAAGATCAAGCGTTCAAGATTAACGATACTTAAAACAAATGTTCCAAACAGCATTTATCAACAAAATAACGAATCATTGTCGGGTTTTCGTAGGATGAAAAGAACTTGCGACGTTATCATATTCGCGGATTTCCTTAATTCATGGTGATATTCCCGGTGTTACAAAGCAAATCTTTGCATTGTATTCAAATTGTAACCTTAATTTGAAATACCAAAATTAATGATCTAGAAAAAAACATCTTTTTTTATATGAAAAAAATGGTGAACTATTTTCATATTTGTTTATTAACAAATACCGTCTAATTATTATTCTAAACAAAGTCTAAAATTGAAAAACAACAATAAACCAGTTTAAATCAATAATCATGAAATTATGTTTCACAAAGCTAACAGACTGAGTCCAAAGAGTATACTGTCTGCTTGACTAGCTAGAGGGGTCAACGTGTTTTAGCCTCGATATCAGGTTACTAGTCGACTATACTCTAAACACACATCTCTAATCGATCCAAAATATTAAAACAAAGAATTTTTTTCTTAAAATTCTGGAGTATTGCTTTATTTTTATAATATCTTATGTGCAGCTGTAAATATTAAAACTTGTTTTATATTGCATACCTCTATGTAAGCAATAATAATGAAATTATATCACAAGTTTCAAGATTAAAAATGTTGAATTAAATATGCGCGTAATTTGAATAAAACGAGGATCTGATTGACCGCGAGTAAAAATGATTGATTAAGAGTTAGAAAACTGCTTTCTCTCCTCCGCCCACAATACAAAAAGTTGGCAACAGCACAACATTTGAAAAAGTAGTTCCGCAAACAAATTACACAAAGCGGAGGGAAGAGATTTAAAAAACAAGTTGTAGAGGGGGGTGAGGGGGGGGGCTAATATAAAAGTGTAGAATTTTCTAAATCCTTTTTTGAATTAATAGATATGAATGCTTTTTTATCGAAATTTTGTTTTGGCAAGAAATCAAAAATTTATTAATCATGAAATGCTACAAATATCATTTTCTGATTTCGGTCTCCTTTGTCTTAATCTTTCTAATCTCCTGAAAAACAATATTGATTGAAGAGAGATAAGAGTATTCTTGATTTTGAAAGGTAATTTTGATACAAATTTTTCATATATTTAATTTAATTTAAAATAATTGGTTGTTATGCTCATTACAAATGCTTTAGTCGCCATTAAATGGAATGCAGATGTAATGTATTATGTAAAGTGATATTAAATTTTAAAAATGGGGTATACCCGATTCACAACGGTACCGTTGAAACCTTTAGCTGTTTAATAATGTGGAAGATTAAATCGTCTTTCTTCCTTTAATAGTATTTGAGTGCTGGTTCCAATTTTGCAGAGAATTCAAAATTGAAAATAATCAGTTTTCAAAAACATAAACAAAGATATCTCATTCATAATCAATTGTATAATGATTTTAAGGCTACCGCTGTGAATTGTAGATAAACTGAGAAGAAGAATACTGACTCTAGCTGCTACCCTGAACCTAACCAGGGGATTCCGTCGCAGCATTAACTAAAATCAATTAAACATCATTCAAATCAATGAATTTTAGATCAATTAAACATCATTCAAATCAATGAATTTTAGATCAATTAAACATCATTCAAATCAATGAATTTTAGATCAATTAAATATAATTTAAAGGATCTAATTCTAGATGATTATACATTATTTAAATCTAGCAATATTAGATCATTTAAACATCATTCAAATCAATCAATTTTAAATCATTTAAAATCATTCAAATTAATTAATATTAGATCAATTAACCCTATGAAGGCTGGGGGTCTGAACCTATGTATAGCCCAGCTGGGGGGGGGTCCCTAGAAAAAGGCCTTAGAGTATATAAGTATAGGGTTGAAATGCATGTTCATAGTCCAATTTTTCAAGGCCAACTCATTGAAAAAATTAGACCGATTACTTTGGGTGCTAGGGAGGGTTTAAAAAATGCCTATAAAAGGGTCAAAAAGGCTTTTCAAAAATAATTTTTTTTAGATCTGTAGCTTTATTTTTTCCGCCCTGTACCCTACCCTATAAATAAAAAAAAATATTTTTTAATAAAGAATCCTTTAAATTACTATTCAATAAAAGTCACAAAATTTCACTGTGATATGTGTCAAAAATGAGAGTGCTATGAAAAAAAACGCCTGTTTAGAGTTGAACAACATTCAAATCAATCAATTTTAGATCAATTAAACCACATTCAAATGAATCAATTTTCGATCCTTTAAAAATCATTCAAATTAACAAATTTTAGATCAATTAAACAACATTCAAATCAATCAATTTTAGATCAATTAAACAACATTCAAATTAATTATGGTATCCAGGTCTCCTGTTCTACTATATCCAGTTTCTAACCTGTTATCCAGGTCTCCTGTTCTACCATATCCAGGTTCTTACACGGTATCATGGTCTTCTGTTCTACTATATACTGGTTCTTACCTGGTATCAAGGTCTCCTTTTCTACTGTTTCCAGGTTCTAACTTGGTATCCAGGTCTTTTTTTCTACTATATCAATTTTCTAACCTGGTATGTATACAGGTCTCCTGTATTATATCAAGGTTTTGACCAGGGATGTATCCAGGTCTCTTATTCTACTGTATCCTGGTTCTAACCTGGGATATATCCAGATCTCCAGTTCTACTGTAATCTGGTTCTAACCTGGGATGTAACCAGGTCTCCTGTTCTACTATATCCAGGTTCTAACCTGGGATGTATCCAGGTCTCTTGTTCTACTGTACCCTGGTTCTAACCTGGGATGTATCCAGGGCTCTTGTTCTACTGTATCCTTGTTCTAACCTGGGATGTATCCAGGTCTCTTGTTCTACTGTATCCTGGTTCTTACCTGGGATGCATCCAGCTCTCCTGTTCTACTATATCTAGGTTCTAACCTGGGATGTATCCAGGTCTCTTGTTCTATACTGTATCCTGATTCTGACCTGTCATGTATCCAGGACTCCTGTTCTACTGTATCCTAGTTATAACTTGGGATGCATCCAGGTCTCCTGTTCTACTATATCTAGGTTCTAACCTGGAATGTATCCAGGCCTCTTGTTCTATACTGTATCCCGATTCTGACCTGGAATGTATCATGGTTTCCTGTTCTTCTGTATCCTGGTTCTAATCTGGGATGTATTCAGGTCAGGCCTGTTCTAGTATATCCAGGTTCTAACCTGGGATGTATCCAGGTCTCAATTGTTCTACAGTATCCTGGTTCTAACCTGTTATGTATCCAGGTCTCCTGTTCTACTATTACTAGGTTCTAACCTGGGATATATCCAGGTCTCCTGTCCTATTATATCTAGGTTCTAACCTGGGATGTATCAAGGTCTCTTGCCCTACTGATCCTGGTTCTAACCTGGGATGTATACAGGTCTCCTGTTCCACTATATCCAGGTTCTAACCTGGGATGTATTCAGGATTCCTGTTCTTCTGTATTCTGGTTCAAACCTGGGATATATCCAGGACTCCTGTTCTATTATATCTAGGTTCTAACCTAGGATGTATAAAGGTCTCTTGTTCTACTGTATCCTGGTTCTAACCTGGGATGTATTCAGGCTTCCTGTTCTATTATATCCAGGTTCTAACCTGGGATGTATCCAGGTCTTTTGTTCTACTATATTCAGGTTCTAGCCCAGGATGTATAAAGGTCTCCTGTTCTACTGTATCGTGGTTCTAACCTGGGATGTATCCAGTTATCCTGTTCTATTATATTCAGGTTCTAACCTGGGATGTATCCAGGTCTTTTGTTCTACTATATTCAGGTTCTGACCTGGGATGTATCAAGGTCTCTTGTTCTACTGTATTCAGGTTCTAACCTGTGATGTATCCAGGTCTCTTGTACTGATGTATCCTAGTTCTAACCTGGGATGTTTTCAGGTCTCCTGTACAACTGTAATCTGGTTCTAACCTGGGATGTATCCAGGTCTCCTGTTCTGCTGGGAAGGTTAAAGAGAAGGTTTCGTTTCTCTTGAATCCTTGGATCAGCTATGCAGTACATACTTAATGAACCGTCAACACCACCTAGAAACATTATCTTTTATTTTAAAAAGTTTATTAAGAATTTCTGAACTTTATCAAAGTAGATGAATGATAACGAATTTTAATCTAAAAGTTTGAAGGTTTGAAATTTAAATAAAAGTATATTTCTAAAAAAGAAGTATTTTTCGGAGATTAAAGGAGGGTTCACCTTTTACAGTTAAATGTGATTTAAAATCTTGCTTAATATTGTTTTATAGCATGCAATAGATATATTAGATAAATATATCTGTATAAAAATCTAACCTTATATATAACGACCCACTGAAAAAGAAGTAGGGGTTGTGTTACATATTAGATATAAAGGGTTATCCACTTCAAGGACGACTTTTCGGAATGAACTGCATCAATTTAAAAAAAAAAATTTAAATATCATATATTGTCTACATATATAAAGTTGTAATCTCTGTTTTTCTGTCTGTTTGTTTGTTTGTCCGATCATAACTCAGGAACCCCTGGACCGATTTGCATCAAATATTGGTTAACTCGGGAGACCTACAGGAATTTTCTTGGTTTTGAGATTCTAAGTTGAGAGGGTAGAAAAGTTAGTTTCCCGGTAAAAATCGTATTAGTGCGGGTAAACGGCGGGAATAACTCTGAGTACCCTGTTCAACGCTGGGTTCCCAAGCTAGTATATAATAATTTATATATATATATATAACCTGCTAGTAAAGACCATGAGGTTGACGCTATGGCTAGAATATCCCCTGCTATGCACAAGTTACTGATCATTACTCCTTCCAGGGTTCGAAACAATCTGATAGTCTTCCTAAATTAAACCTTTTATTTGTTATTGTTTCTTTTTTACCCTTTTAAAATAAAAAGATTTCTTTTACTAAAAAACTTTTTTTCGTTTAAAATTCTCAAATGTCGCTGCTGTAAAGCTTCTGACGTTAATTTTGTTAAAAGAATAACTTCAGGACTCGAACGCTCCAAATTATTCTTAAAATTTTTCAGTTGTACCACCCCCCCCCCCCCCCTCCTCCCCTTAACTATATGAATGAAACAAATATGAAAATATATTCCAAAGATTATTTTAAAAGAAAGTTTAAATTATAGTTTACTCTTAAATTTTAAGATGCTTTAACAGTTAAAAACGGTAAATCACAGGAACCATTCAACTCTAGCACAAGCAGTAGTTTTTTTTTAATCTTAAAAGGGTCAAATCTCTAATATTTTGTTGCACGTCTGTGCTGTAAAAATTTATAAGCAACTTTTAAGAAAAGTTAATTCCGCAAATTGATCATTTCCGACAAAAAGAAGATATCTCCATCATCAAATAAAACTCATGCGTTGTTGTGGCAGAATGGTTTGTGGCATTTTTATATTTAGGTCTTACTTTAAATAATTCTAACAATCCCTTGAGAAATGAAATGATTACCTTCCACTGTGATAATACCAAACATATTCTTCATTCTCTGTAAACCCTGGAAATAATTCAGATCGAGGCTCATCTCTTTTCATAAATGGTAAATGATAAATTTTTTGGTCCATTTTAAAATTTTAGAACGGCGAATTTGGGAATTAATACATCATCCAAATCCAATCAATCTATATTAAGTATAAAAAGAAATTTATCAGTATAAAATGATTTTATTATTAATTACTTTCACTACTAAGCTGGCTGTAGTTAAACCTTTGTACAGGGTTTCCCATAAAGGATGAGACTGTAAAGACGACCTAAAACACTTAAAATATAGCGATTCTAGAGTTCAATACAGTTTTCTGCCTTATAGGGACTGAAAAGGAAAAATGAAAGGGGGTATAGGATGAAACCTGAGAAGCTCAGGCGTTGAACGATACATATAAGACATCTATCTGATGTTCCTGTCTCGAGAAATTGATATAAAACTGTGTCAAAATTGTACGAAAATCTATATATATGAAACTTTGTATAAAAGTACTAGGTTTAAACGACTATGTCCCATAGAAACCTGAGAATCTCAGGTTTGTTCCATTAATAATTTTTTAATTTTTGTTTACATTTTTAATGGATATAATTCATAATAAAAATTTACGAGTCAGTATTACGTCACAAGAACTCCCGCCAATGAGACTATATGAAATAATATTATCAATTATATTTATTAAAAATGCAAAATAAAAATTGAACAAGTATAAAAGGAACAAGATTCTCAGGTTTCGGTGGCATATCGTCGTTTTCAGATTGGTTTCGTATTTGTGGAATATGATATGTTTTATACTACACATTTTTATACAAAATTGCATATATATGAATTTTCGTATAAATTTTATTTCAATTTCTTGAGACAGAAAAATCAGATAGATGTTTTATATGTATCGTTCAAAGCCTTCAAGATGGCTTATTTAATGATTTGGAAAAGAAAAAACTTAAGTTTGCAGTTGCAAAGAATCGTGAACATAAGAAAGCAGACAGAATTAATTCCGTACAGTCGTCTCTGAAGTCTCATCCTTTGTGGGTAACTCTGAATAGACCTACGATGATAATGATTTCCTCACCAGCATTTCTTCTAAAAACACCCTCGTTCACTTGCTCTATGTAGGTAGCAGATATATTCCCTGATTTCAAATCTAAAAATACTATTTTTACACTTTTAATACTTGTCATTTGGAAGTAATATTTTGCTTGGTCAAATTTGATTTAAACAAGCTTTTTCTGATCCAAATTAAATACACAAAATATCAATAATTGTCTCTTTGCAAATTGATAAGTTTTAACTTTGGGTCCTCAGTATTTCTGCCTGAGAAAGAAATGGTGAATTAAACAGTTTTCAAGTTAGAAAAACAAAGATATCTTCATACCATAAATAAAGTTATCAATGGGTCTAACACTTTTTAAATGAAATGTCAGTTGAATTTACAACAATAATTTCTTTAATTTAGACAAATTTTGAAAAAATCTATTGAATATTTTATGTTATATAAATAAAGAACTATTTAGTCTTTATTTTCTTTTTTCCTACTTTTACTAAAAGGTTAAACATTTATAGTGAACTTATAATTCAACCATAGTCATTCTTACAAAAATATCAAATATATATTGGTATCGACTCAAATCCCTCAAGACTTATAAAACATTATGAGAACTTGCTACGTAAGAATAAAAATATATATTACAAAGAAAAGAGATAAATTAAGTTACACGCAAGCTAAAAACAGGGGGGTGAAACAATTTACCTATGAGATAAAGACCCCCTCTGGCGGGGGCACCAAGTCCATAGTTCTGATCTTTAGTTTTCTCTCCACTCCATTTTAAAATCGACCTGGAAAAAAAAATCAAATGCCTTTGAAAGTTATGCATAAGATTTTAAGACTGCGTCAACTTTGGAGTGTCTCAACGACTTGGGTTTTAACTTTACCTCACCAACTCCCTTATATTTTTGTAGCCTTGGACATGGGCAGTTTAAAACTGCAATGTGTCTGTTTCTAGTTTCAACTTAAAAGAGTAATTGGCAACATCCTGATTGCTTTTTGAGTTTGAGCTTGCATATTTTGGTTTCCGGTGAAAATATGTTTCATAATCTATTTTGAAAACTTATAGTCAGAGGTTTATAAAAAAAGGAAATGAGTTTTTTTTCCACAAACTCAAATTTTTATATCTTTGAAACACGATATCGTAGATCTATGAATTCAGTTAGATCGAATAGTGTAAGTTTGAATCATCAAAGGTCACCATCAGGTTAAGCGAAGATTAGGAATTCCAGCAAACGAAAATTTTTGCAAAAAATGCGAATATTTTCGTACGTATTACACCGTACACGTACATTTTTCGCGAAAATTAATTATAAGCGAAAAATTGTGAAATTGATGCGAAATGTTCATGAAAACAAAAGCTCAGCATTAGAGTTTTATTGTATCACAATTATTAATTTCTCTTTCTATACTTTAATTGATGTTTCGCGAAATTTTCGTTGTTCTTATTTCGCGAATTTTTTTCGCGAAACATATTAAAACAAACGAAAATTTAGTGAAACGATTTTCCTTTTCGCTAGAAACCTTTGCAAAGATATAGTAATGGGAAAAATGCTTATGTGTTTATAAAGGCTGCGTTATAAACCCATAGATAAAACTATACCTAGAGAATTTCTTTTCTCTGAGATTAATAAGATTTGCCTTCTCCGAGTCTATAAGAGCTACGTGAAACTGATTAAACCCAACTAGTCTGTAAACGTCCCGGAGCTGGGGGTACCGGAGTTGTATCCTAGTAAAATAGAAAAAATTAAATTATTTATAGTCCAACAAAGGACGTATAGAGGTGGTAGGAAATGGGCTGTGCCTTCCCCTAGACCTGTAAAGGGGGGGAGGTGTAGCCCCTCCCCCCCTAGAACTAAGAGCCATCAAACTTTTCAAATCTTAAACTGAAGAGTGAAGAACATTAAAAAAAGTTTGCTGTTCTGAATTGAGTTCACAGAATTTCATTCTGGGTTGAGTTCACAGAATTTGTTTTTCAAAAATTTCTTTTTCTATCTCTAATATAACTGAACACTAACAGAACCTATAATATATATATATGTATATTTTTTAAACATGTTTTTTCTGCTAGTTTTGTTTGAAGGAGAGATAATGTAGTATTTGCAAGGTAACTATCTTATACTTATGTCTGATATCCGAAAAGCCATTGAGTCCAACCGCAACCAGTGCAGTGCAGGGGGCCGAACTAAGAAAACTCTTGGTTTTCTTGAATTTAGTGGAAACCATTATCTAACTTACAAAGCGACTTTCGATTACGACTTTTGAGATTAAACATAAATTATTCTCTTTTTATCTATTTTACTAATTGTCGACATATGCGTTTTTGATGAAAAAGTAAAGGAAGAAAAAAAGAAGTTTAAAGATTGTTGAATTAATTAAAGACCAAACGCGGTTGAATTAAAACAATTGAAGAAACTAAGTTAGTGACCAGGTTTGGCATGAAAAATTTTAGAGAGCTTACAGCATTAAAACTGGCACATTTATTCTTTTCTCATGAGTTTTCAAATATGTTGCGATAGAATAAGTCTATAAAATATCTTTATCATTCATATGTGATAAGTGATCTAAAGAATTTTTCGGTATTGAACAGTGGTCTTCCTTCTTAAGCATATATCTACCGATTAATCTGAGTAGCCCCACCCCCAATCAAAAATATATATCCAAGTGAGAAAATAGAATTAGTCTGAAATTCATAGAACTAAAATATCAAAAAATTGCAGTAATTCCCCTGTAAAGGCCCCCTATGAAGAAGGAAGGTGATATTATTGTATTTGAAGAGTACTTATTATGTTTATAGCTTAACTATAAAGTTCATCCATTACTTAAATAGTCTTATTATTATGAATTAGTATGAATTTTAGTAGGTTTAAACTACTTTCAAATTGAAAAACCCAAAAAAGCCCAAAAAAAAATAAATCCCTTTGGGCTGGGTTTTTGGGAAAACATTTTTTTCCAACGGTTAGTCCAGGGTGACACACGTTTAATTTTGTTCGAACGTCACAGCTTGCTGGCACAAGGCCCGAAATGTTTAACACACATACATTCCAACATTCTCTTTAAAAAATAGCCATGAACCTGAATAGATATGTTCCTTTATAAAGATGATAGATAGATAACTGTTCCTTCCTTGCAGTATCATCATAACCCAGTAGGACCAGATAGTAATTGTCAGGGGTTACACAAACCTAAATAGGGGCATATACAGGAAATCTTTCCAGGGGGAAGGGGTGCTTGAAATTGTTTTTATTTTCTGTAGGCACAGTACCCGATTGCAATGGATCTTGAGCTAAAACCCCTGGAAAAATTTATTTCTCTGATCTAAGGGGAGCTGAGCCCCAATAGCCCCCCCCCCTACACCTCTGGATATAAATTTATTTTCTTCTCTATTAGTCTATGGGGAAAATCCCTCCCCCCCAAAAAAAATATCCGGTTTTTGGTCGATCTTAAACAGTTAAACAACTTAAACAACAAAGACGACCTTTGAAATATTATTGAAATAGGTTTCTAATCAAGATTCAGCGAGGACAGGGTGGCTGCTGTCATGGTTTTGAAAGAAATTCCTCCCAGGGTTTTGAAGTGCTCCCCAGGATTTTAGAGTTGCTCCCAGGGTTTTGGAATAAAATGTGAAAATATATCCGACCTTTAATAAGGGTACTTTAAACGAAAACTGAAAAATGGCTCCACAACCCCTTTTTTCAGTTATTTTGTTCAATTATTTTGTTCAATTATTTTGTTCAGTTATTTTGTACAATTATTTTGTTCAGTTATTTTCATCAGTTATTTTGTTCAATTATTTTGTTCAGTTATTTTGTTCAGCTATTTTTGTTCAGTTATTTTGTTCAGTTATTTAGTTCACTTATTTTGTTCAGTTATTTAGTTCAGTTATTTTGTTCAGTTATTTTGTTGAGTTATTTAGTTCAGTTATTTTGTTCAATTATTTTGTTCAGTTATTTTGTTCAATTATTTTGTTCAGTTATTTTGTTCAATTGTTTTGTTCAGGTATTTTGATCAGTTATTTTGTTCAGCTATTTTTGTTCAGTTATTTTGTTCAGTTATTTTGTTCAGTTATTTTGTTCAGTTATTTTGTTCAGCTATTTAGTTCAGATATTTGCGGGGAAAAAATCGCAAATTACCGTCCAAGTAGTAATTCATATAGTTTTGATTAACCAAACTAAAGACATTTGTTTTTCCTTATACATTAAAGATTATTGGTTAATGAAAAAATATCTTTTTTTAGCCAGATACATAAAGGTTTCATTTGAGTTGATCTAATACATCTTTATAAGGATAATTTATAAAGATGTAGAGATCTATTACCAGCTAAAATGAAACCTTTATGTATTTCGCTGAAAAAAAAATATTTTTTTTTTACATTAACCAATGTATAAGGTTAAACAGAATTGTTGTCAGTTTGGCTAATCAAAACTATATGATCGCCAAAGGCTACTTGGACAGAAATTTGCGATTTTTTCCTTGCAAATATGTAAACAAAGAGAGTAAAAAAGGGGTCGTAGAGCCCTTTTTTCAATTTTAGGGTTTAAAGTACCCTTTATAAAGGACTTTTCAAAAAAGGTCGGATAAAGGAGTTGATAAAGGATGTAAATGCCTGAAAAGATCAAGAAAAGTTGAAAAACTTCAGTTTTCCTAAAACTTAAATTCGAAAGTAAATGCCCTGGAAGCTTGAATTGTTTCTTATTGCTGTACAATGGTTCATTAGAAATTAGAATCATTAAGGAGTTGAGTTTTTGCAACAAACTCTGATTTTCTAATCTCTATATCTTTGAAACCCAATGTCGTAGACCTTAGATATTTTAAACTATTAATACTTAAAGATAAAATAAGCTTAGTTTGAAATATCAAAGGTTTGCACCATCAGGTTGCAAAGATATTGGGATCAGAAGATTTGATTTTGTGGCAAAAACTCAATTCCTTTTCACATTTTACTCCAAAACCCTGGGAACAACTCTAAAGTCCTGGGATCAATTCCAAATCTTGAGAGCATAATATTACTCTAACCTGTCTAAACTTCTTGATATATGTTTGTATATCGTAGATAAGGTTTAAAGTAGAAACCTCTCTGCAGGATATGTAAACCTGATTTTCCAAAGGTCTAAACATAAGCTACAAGATATTACACATATAGTGCAGTTAGTGAACTCTTCATATTGAGATTAAAAAATAAAATTTCCAACGATAATATTCATTTTTAGTAAGCATCAAGTATAATTAATTTAGACGAATATCTAAACCATAGATTAAATAAAATAACAGATAAGACATTAGTTGTCGTCTTTTTAGAGAGAGAGTCTGTTATACACAGACTACGCGTACGCGTAACTCCTTTGAGCTTCTGCCTACTTATAAATCTTGAAAAGACACATGCATCTTGTGTCCTATCTGTTACTTGAATTGATCTATGGTCTGATACAACTGAAAAGGCACTATATCTGTTATACGATCATGATCACGTGACTGTAGAAAATTTATCTGCATGCATAGTGATTTCTTCAAATAATGTTGACTACTGAAGATTGTCGTGAAACGGGAACATTTTGTTTCGTAAAATTCTTTTTTGAAAAAAAAACTGAAATACATTGACCTGGCAGTGATTATTCTTAAATCCATGGAATTAAAGAACATTTGTTCTATTCCAGGCTCCTCAGTAGCTGATACTACAGCTCTAGATAATTAAAGCAAATCTTAACAGGGAATGTACTTTTAAGATGCTCAAATTACAAATATACTCTTTAAACCTTTATCAACAATAATTCTTGTCTTAACTTCGAGTCATCCGGCGCTTTATTTGTAGCATATAGCAATAAGAATATCCACGCCATCCGTGCTTGTACAATAGTTTAAAGGATACTTTTGGGAATTAGACATGTCAGTCTACAGAAATTAAAACCTCACCAGACTTCTTTAAAAGAAGGTTTAGGGGCGTTTAGGATCAAATATTATTATCTGTTTTATTTCTGTATATTATTTGATAAATTGTTTTTTCTTAAATTGCTTCCTTTTCTATTTCACGAATATGGAATACGTTTTCTAATTCACAAATATGGAATACATTTCTATTTTACGAATATGGAATACGTTTTCTAATTTCACGAATATGGAATGCGTTTTCTATTTCACGAATATGGAATACGTTTTCTTTTTATTTAATTTTTTGAACATGTATGATAAAAGCAGACTTATCGGGTCCGTCCTAGTATTCAATTTTAGGATAGGCTAGGGGGCCGAGCGGTGCGGCTAGGATAGGCTAGGGAGCCGAGCGCTGTGGTTAGGACATGCTATGGGGTTGAGCGCCGAGACTAGGGCAGACGAGGGGGCCGGGCGCTGCGGCCACATGATCAATTATTCAAAATGTACAAAAAATTGATAGGGGGAAGGGGGGAGTATAAAAATCGTTCTCTAGGAAATTACCTACTTATCCGGTTACATACTAGAAACAATTTCTCAATATCTTTTTCCTTTAATGAAGCTATAATATCAGACTTCAAGCTTATTTGCAATTTACTTTAGTCTCATGTGACCTGTATCAGTTATAAAATCATTATATGTTTGATTCTGAACAGAAATATATTTAATTTCAAATAATGATTATTATGATATAATTATTATGTTTGATTCTGAGCAGAAATATATTTTCAAATTGGAACATTATTGTTGACAGGGTTACCCATAAAGAATGAAACGTTAATGACGAACTTATGTAAGAAAGAAAAACTTAACAGAATCCGAACAGTCGTATCTGAAATGTGAACAGAATCCGAACAGTCGTATCTGAAATCTCATTCTTTGTGGAGAATAGATCATGTCGAGAAAATCTAATTTTGTCAAATTAAAAATATGAAAATTTCCAACCTGTTGGTTAAGCTCCAGATGTACAGTTTATCCGACTCTGATACAGCTNTATACAGTGATCTTCGTATACATTAATACATTGATTTTTTATACAGTGATCTTCGTATACATTAATACATTGATTTTTTATACAGTGATCTTCGTATACATTAATACATTGATTTTTTATACAGTGATCTTCGTATACATTAATACATTGATTTTTTATACAGTGATCTTCGTATACATTAATACATTGATTTTTTATACAGTGATCTTCGTATACATTAATACATTGATTTTTTATACAGTGATCTTCGTATACATTAATACATTGATTTTTTATACAGTGATCTTCGTATACATTAATACATTGATTTTTTATACAGTGATCTTCGTATACATTAATACATTGATTTTTTATACAGTGATCTTCGTATACATTAATACATTGATTTTTTATACAGTGATCTTCGTATACATTAATACATTGATTTTTTATACAGTGATCTTCGTAAACATTAATACATTGATTTTTTCTCCAATTTTTCAGACAGCATTAGAAACACATATAGGTTGTCAATTACAGTTTATCTTTGTTAACTTGTAAACTTGTAATTTAAAAAAAAAGCTTGTTTTAAAATGAAATTAAATCAAAATGCTTGACATAAAAACTATAAAACTTTAAAAGCAGAACAAACTTGTTCAAAAGAAACCAAAAGGTGTACACAAAATAACAGGTTTCCAAAGACAAAGTTGTAGACATAAAAACGAAAAGGAAAAAAAATATGATCCCCATTTTGCCATGAACAGAGCTTGTTTGAAATTTTTTTTTAAATATTATAAATATTAATTTGTTCGGCTAGGATAAAAGATCCGTAAAAATAAAAAAATTTGAAAAAAAGTGAAGGAACTAAACACACACAAACTGCATCATATAGCTGTAAACCTTTAATATTTTAAACTAAGTGAAGGAACTAAACACACACAAACTGCATAATATAGCTGTAGACCTTTAATATTTTAAACTAAGACTATGACGAAATGATAAATCATCATCTGGTTGCAATGTTGTAGGGACTAGAAAATTAGAGTTTGTGACGAGTGTTTAGACCCTTGTGTGTTAACCAACCTTTGAAATATTAGTTGTTAGTTCTCCAGTTTTTAGATTCCATATTCCAACATTACTCCGGGTCATGGAAACAGCCAACCCTACAATATTCCAACATTACTCCGGGTCATGGAAACTGCCAAATCTACAATATTCCAACATTACTTCGGGCCATGGAAACAGCCAACTCTACAATATTCCAACATTACTCCGGGTCATGGAAACTGCCAAATAAAAATAATGCCAAAGAATGTGTTCAAAGGAATTGAGTCTTTGCCACAAACTAAAATTTTCAAATTCCTATATCTTTGAAACCTGAAAGTACAAACCTTTAATATTTAAACTTTTATTATTTAATCTATCAGTATTCATAATTTGAAATATCTAAAGTCTACAACATTAGTTTGCAAAGAAATAGAAATTAGAAAATTAGAATTTGTAGCAAAGACTCAGTTCCTTTTTGATAAGATTTTTTAAAACCTTGGAAAATTGAGGCTATTTAAAAGAAATATTTTTGTTTTGAATTTCATCAATTCGAGACACGTGAAAATTTACAAACAATTAACCTGCACTTTCTCCCACCTCCAGTTTTTCTATTTGATTTTCATGTTTCTGAATATGATAAACCTGCTCTACAATATTAGACATTGACCAAACCTGGAAATATTCATCATTTTGTCATTTAAACAAAAAATGAAAAAAATATTTGAAATTTTTAACCTTAATTGTTCGATCCATTGAAGAAGATACAGCGCAGTTCCAATCTCCTTCGAAAAGATTTTTAAATTAGAAATAATTTATAAAATGCTAAATTGGTTTTTGATACCCATGAAAGAGATTGAAAAATATTGGAAAGTCAAAAAGAAAATAATTTAAATTAAAAATAATTAATATGTTAACCTTCTGTAAGTGAGGACATGTGAATGATCCGTCCATAATGGGCCTAATAAATAATAAATGATGTTTTGAAAATGTATTATTACCGAAGACATCGTAAGAATGTCTATTTTTGTCATCGTGGATTTTTTGCGGGGAAAGGGTAGAGTCAAAGCTTTCATTGATTTAGGAAAAAATAGCTTAAAATTCAGAATAAAAAATATTGCTAATTGCATTTAAAATGCACAGGACTAAAATGATGAGGGTTAGAATATTTATCTTTCGATTATAACGGGGCTCTTGTAACAACCAAATTTATCTACAGTTGTCGACGGTCGACGTTTATATCAATACAATTACGACGACTTTTCTATTCAAGTTTTGATTTCCAACAAACTTGTTTCAGATAAAAAGTTTGCAAGTAAACAAATAAAACCTGTTTATTGACAGCTTCTCTTTGTGATAATGTTTAAGGTATCCTAGCTGTTTGAAATTAGAAATCAAAAATTGAAATCGAAAATAGTCTTCATTGTATTGATCGTGTACACGACTCTTCAAGAATATTCAGAATTGTCAAAGAAAGCAGCACTATAGTTTCAGTAGAAGTAAATATTTCCATTTACTGTTAGCGCCGATTAAAAGATTCACAACTCTGATTGGATAATGAGATAGAAATATAGATGTTACCACCATACTATTTCTATTGGTTCAGAATACACAACAAATACATGACTGAACCCTGATTGGATCATGCGCTAATGGACTCGGCATACAGGAGTGGCAGTGTTGGTTGTTTACCCTGTTTACACATTCAAGGAATAGGGAAAACGGAAACGACACGATTACCCACAAAGAATTAGACTAAAAAGACGACCCATAACTATTTAAAAATTACAATCTAAATTTTTAATTTGCTGCCTTCAATACAGTATCTTGAAGGTTCACTTGATGGTTTGGTAAAGAAACAGTATCTTGATGGTTCACTTGATGGGTTGGTAAAGAATCAGTATCTTTATGGTTCACTTGATGGTTTGGTAAAGAATCAGTATCTTCACTTGATGGTTTGGTAAAGAATCAGTGTCTTGATGGTTCACTTGATGGTTTGGTAAAGAAACAGTATCTTTATGGTTCACTTGATGGTTTGGTAAAGAATCAGTATCTTTATGGTTCACTTGATGGTTTGGTAAAGAAACAGTATCTTGATGGTTCACTTGATGGGTTGGTAAAGAATCAGTATCTTTATGGTTCACTTGATGGTTTGGTAAAGAATCAGTATCATGATGGTTCACTTGATGGTTTGGTAAAGAATCAGTATCATGATGGTTCACTTGATGGTTTGGTAAAGAATAGTATCTTGATGGTTCACTTGATGGTTTGGTAAAGAATCAGTATCTTGATGATTCACTTGATGGTTTGGTAAAGAATCAGTATCTTTATGGTTCACTTGATGGTTTGGTAAAGAATCAGTATCATGATGGTTCACTTGATGGTTTGGTAAAGAATCATTATCTTGATGGTTCACTTGATGGTTTGGTAAAGAATCAGTGTCTTGATGGTTCACTTGATGGTTTGGTAAAGAAACAGTATCTTTATGGTTCACTTGATGGTTTGGTAAAGAAACAGTATCTTTATGGTTCACTTGATGGTTTGGTAAAGAATCAGTATCTTAATGGTTCACTTGATGGTTGGTAAAGAATCAGTATCTTTATGGTTCACTTGATGGTTTGATAAAGAAACAGTATCTTTATGGTTCACTTGATGGTTTGGTAAAGAATCAGTATCTTGATGGTTCACTTGATGGGTTGGTAAAGAAACAGTATTGTTTTCAAATTTTTGGAATTGCATTTATGTAAGAAAAAGAATTATGTACAGTAACCCTATAGTTTTATTGTAAAAAATAACAAAAATATTGTAAACAATAACACACATATTGTAAACAATAACAAACATATTGTAAACAATAATACATATTGTAAACAAGGCTCGTTATTTTAGATTTGTGTTGTTTACAAGAAACTAGATCTAAAAAGAACATGAACAAACCCTTCTTTTATTTAGTTTTCAGTTACAAATGCTGGTAGTTTTGAGGTTTTTGAACCTCCATGGTTATTTGCCTGTAAGAAGCTCCACATTAATCCGAGATGATTTGCCCATTTACAAATTGTAAGCTCGATATGTTTGCTTTATTACGTTAAACATTAAAAACACTTTATTCATTGCCAAAAAGATATTAACCAAAATCGTTTTAGTTATTTTTGCTTCATTTCGTAAGATAAATGCAAACTAGTAGAAAATAGGGTATACTACAGTGATAACCAAAACACTCAGATAGGAAGTCGACTTTAGGACTCAAGCTATTTTTTTAATATTCCAATGAACTTGAGGCACAGCAATTGTGCAACGTAAACAGATCCATTTTTCTTAATAAGTGATTAATTAACTTACTAGTTATTAGTTAAGCTATTTACTTTGTATCAGCATCTAATGCAGGTCAGTATTGCAAACAATGTTGTCTTCTTATTCTACAGTTTTCTGCTTATCCCTGTATGTGTTAAACCTCTGGACTTTTTTAGAGCACAAAAATCATTGAATGTGAAAAAATCAAATCAAATCGATGTTAGTCTCTGTAACTGTAACTGTAACAAAAAATATTGTAAATCGTCATAGTTTTTTTACAATTAATTTTCAAATTAAATTTTTTTATTTTTTTAAAAAGAGAAGTGAATTTGTTTTGTGACAGTTATTATTCATATTTATATTCTTACAGGTTGGAAAAATAAAAGTCACTGCTAAACAGGGGTTTGAAAATTCTGAAGATCCATTGTTAGAATTCCACATTATTAATGAAAAATGGGATAAGAAAGGTTAGGCAAGGAATGGATATTTTCGACAAAATAATTCTTGATTCTTGTAAGTTCATATAGGACAGTGCTTCAGAGTATGGTTTCGTCTACAGCAATATTTTCCTCGCAGCTGGCAGAGTATAAACTGGCAACATAGTATGGTGCACAGTTTATATGAATTCTAATGTGAATGTTTCAATTTTCCTTGTTTCTGGCAAGAGGGATGGGAAAGGGAAGCATAGAGAAACCTCACGTTCTTTACACTTTTATTTCCTTTTTTTCAAGTAGAGTGTACTGCCAGGTTCTGTTCAGCCCAGCAAGACCTAATTGTTCTTTCTCTGCAAGCTAGATGTACACTACAAATCGTCATGGTGTGGCGGAAGACGATCCAAGTTTAAACCGGATGGAGAGACGCGGCAAGAGGGAGTCAGATCTGCCACGTCACCATGAATAGACATATTATTTTTATTTCTAAAATTGATAAAGTAAATTTAGTCAGTAATAAAGTATTTATTTAAACCCAGCGTTTATCCTTCCGAGCGTAGCTAAATTGGTGACCCCTAGTTCGAAACTATAGGCAAGGATGGAAATGACAAGGAGTAAGTTTCACTTGCCCTGTCCAGTGTACTAAATAGCGTAAATAGACTGTTTTCCCGTGCCATTATAGACTTTTATAGCTACACGCTCGTCAAGTGAATCGTTCGAAATGCCTAAGGACAGTGATAACGTCCAAGCACGAGCTGAACCCAGCTCGCTGGATTTATTAAACTCTGTATCAGTGAAGGTTCCAGCCTTTTTGCCAGATTGGTTTCTTAAAAAAATTAGCAATAAATTTGTATTCTAAAAAAATGGGAAAACTATTAAAAACGATCGTTATACAATGTTTGTTTTTGTTTCGTCTTTTTGCAAATTTCTTTCTGTCAGGGACAAAATTGGGCAAAGTGTAATTCAACCAAATATTCATAAAAAATTTTTTTTTTTTTTAAACAAACCCAAGGATGTAATGCAAGGAAAGTTATTTAAGAAGTGTACAAATCTTTTGTACTGCAGTGTACTGTCTCTGGGCGGTAATGTAAACATAAGACGGATGTCAAAGCCTGACATGATGGCATCCATCTTTCACATAAAAAATCAATGAAATATTCTAGTCATAGGAAACTATTATGTGAATTATCAAAATTATCAAAATTTAATGCTTTTAACCTCCTCGGATACTAAACGAACACTGATGCATGTATTCTTGTTTACCGCCCAAAGAGAACTGGTTTCAATGTGTACGCAGAGTATACACGACCGCAATTAACTTTCCTAGCATTACACCCTTGAAACAAACCAAGGCACATCAAAAATGGTTTACCTTGAAATATTTAATCAGTGTTTCCGAGTGGACATCCCATATGAACATGTACTCACGTACACCAGCTATAGCCTTATCTTTCTCCTGTACAGTTTACAATTTGCACTGTACAGTATAATGATTGTATCCAAACAATTAAAAAGATTATTATTTCAATTTAAAAATAATATTTATATGATAAATAATATTATATTTTATGTATTAAGGGTGAAATTATTTCAATAAACATGTCAAATCCTTTGAAACATCTGAGTAGAAGTCAAGACATTTTTTTTTTAAACAAGACAATCTTGATGTAACCTCATGTAAACGTACCTTGTTAATAATACATGAATTAGATCCTGCTGGTCTTGAAATAACATTTCTGAACTCTGTTGGTAGATTTAGTTTAGTCAGGGTAGATATTCCATTTGGCCTGAATACATTTTTTTAACCTTTTAATAAAATATTAATAAAAATTGTAAAAAAAAAATTTTATAGAGTTCCAGTTTTCCCCTTTTTTTAAATTTTCCACTTGGAACAATTAAGGAGTATGGAATGGAGAAAGATTATGCATGCATTTTTAAATTTAGTTGTTTGCCAATATTTTTGCATCTTAAAAAAAGTGTGTTTGTTTGGCGTTATTCAGCCTACTTTTTTTACAGTTCAATGCATACAATAACTTATTCTGAATATTCAAATGGAGTACTGTCTGCAAAGCAGGAACAATAATATGGTATGGCGGGCCGGGTCGATTCCTTCTCTCTTTTATTCCATACTCCTTGGTAAATAATTCTCTGTGTCTAAACGATTTGCATTACATTACCAAAAGTGGCTAAATGATAATCATATACACTGAATACACTATGCAGCCAAATTTAAAAGCTATTCTCAAAATGTTAGCGGCAAAATATTAAACCTACCATGATGGCTAAATTAACCAAAAGATGTTCCAGTGAAAATATATATCCCTAATATAGAGGTAAAATTATGAAACTATTCTATAAACAAAATTATACCCTAACCTACTCAAAATTATGAACAACGAGGTTATAGTATATAGAGCGATGATAATCATTTACTTATTGTACAGGCCATGTACTCCACTTACAAAGGTCAATCTGTATATTACAGTACTCGGGGGTGATTTCTGAAATACTTAGTTATGAGATTTTGTTTTCCATTTAACTATTGAAATCCACTTCTCCTTTATCGTGTGCAGGATTCCATTTTCGCAGGCAGACGTAATATTACAGTCTTTTACAGAGCAATATTTCATCAATAACAAACCGTTCTGAGAAAACTGAGTAAAATTCAAGATACTCAACCTCCCCACACACTTGTACTCCGAAAGCGTACTGCATATTTGATGTTTGTACTGTATGATTAGGCCATGATCTCTTAAAATCCTTGATCAGTAAACTGTCCGAAGTATACAATTGGGCTAATACAAACAGACAGGTAGTCTAAGATCCAGGCCCCCAGATTATGAAGCTATTCTAGTGGCAAAATGACAGTTCTACTCTAGCATCAAAAATGGTGAACCTATCCCAGTAAAAACTGATAACTCTACGCTATCAGAAAAATGGTACTCTAGCAGCAAAATTATAATCATACTCCTGCAGCCAAATGATTAGGCTATTCTGGGCCAAACTCAGAGTTGAATGACGACATTTTATGTCCCAAGTTATAAAGCTATTAGCAGGAAAATGATAAACCTACTCTACCGGCCAAATTATAAAGCTATTAGCGGGAAAATGATAAACCTACTCTACCGGCCAAATTATAAAGCTATTAGCGGGAAAATGATAAACCTACTCTACCAGCCAAATTATAAAGCTATTAGCAGGAAAATAATAAACCTACTCTACCGGCCAAATTATAAAGCTATTAGCGGGAAAATGATAAACCTACTCTACCGGCCAAATTATAAAGTTATTAGCAGGAAAATAATAAACCTACTCTACCGGCAAAATTATAAAGATATTAGCGGGAAAATAGTAAACCTACTCTAGCAGCCAAATTATAAAGATATTATCGGGAAAATAATAAACCTACTCTAGCGGCCAAATTATAAAGATATTAGCGGGAAAATAATAAACCTACTCTAGCGGCCAAATTATAAAGCTATTAGCAGGAAAATAATAAACCTACTCTACCGGCCAAATTATAAAGCTATTAGCAGGAAAATAATAAACCTACTCTACCGGCCAAATTATAAAGTTATTAGCAGGAAAATAATAAACCTACTCTAGCGGCCAAATTATAAAGCTATTAGCAGGAAAATAATAAACCTACTCTACCGGCCAAATTATAAAGCTATTAGCAGGAAAATAATAAACCTACTCTACCGGCCAAATTATAAAGTTATTAGCAGGAAAATAATAAACCTACTCTAGCGGCCAAATTATAAAGCTATTAGAAGGGAAATAATAAACCTACTCTAGCGGCCAAATTATAAAGCTATTAGCAGGAAAATAATAAACCTACTCTAGCGGCCAAATTATAAAGCTATTAGCAGGAAAATAATAAACCTACCCCAGCGGCCAAATGATGAACCCCTCTACAACGCTACCAATAAGGTTCTCTTTATCATTGGTTAAGCTAAGTTGATATAGATCAGGAGCAGAGCTGGAAATCAAACCTGGAGTAATAAAAACTAAATTTAATTAACATAATATTTGATTCTTCTAAATTTAGTAAATTATGCAAAATATGTTTTGATTTAAAAAATATCAACGGGGAAATTTTTTTCCCCATGCATTAAAATAAAAGATAATTAATTTATTTATTTAATTCAATTGAACGGTTGTTTTGCCATGACAAAATTCTAATCTACAAAACATAATAGATTGACCTAGCTTGGTCCAATTTCCAGCTTGAAGCCCATGCTTGACAATGCTCATTGTTTTGCCCTTTCCATCTAAAAAATAATACAAAAATAAGACAATTAATTTGTTACTTTAAAAAATATTCTTTTTTTGAAAAGTTTTAAATTTTGGGCAGAACATTGAACGTAAAAATATTGCAAGATGAATTGAGATACATATCATCTAACTGAAAAATTTATTAATTTTAATCTATACAAATTGTCAGGATAAATAAACTAAGGTTTAAATGGTACCACTGTCAATCGGAAATGCCAACCTTAACCGGAGGGTCTCTTGACACTACGTCTACAGTCTACAGTGATAACCAGAAATAGTAAGACGACTTTTAGAATTAAGTTTTAACTTTAAAAATCCTATGAGCATGAGACACGGCAATTCTGCACTGTGTAAACAGACCCATTTCACTTAATAAGTCTTTTTAAGTGTCTAGTAAAACTATTTGCTTTATAACAATATCAAATAGACTCAAGAATTGCTATAATGTCCTCTTCCTACTCCATTGTTTTCTGGTTATCAATGTATTTAAAAGAATAATATGGACATTTCTTCCATCAAAAAAGTATATTGAAAAAATCTGCATTTTTGTAACTACTGTGACCTAAGCCTGAAGGTAATGTTGTGTATACTGCTTGTATTCCCTCCTGGTTAATATCCAGACAGTAGCACTGCAGGCTGGTTAAAATATCAGATTTGTTTCTGTTCTCACTGTGAAGAATCTCAACTCTTCTGCTCAACAAACCTTTTTTCAAGTAAATGAGACTTTCAAGGGACAATTTTCGCTGTTACCCATTGATCTTTAAACTAATATTTTTTCTTTGTAAATCGTGTTTCGCAGATTTTGCTGGCAAAATTTTTGTCTTCAACCATCCTTAAACCGTTTTACCTTTTATTGGGTACAAAAAAACAAGCAGACATTTACAAAGTATACATACATAACATACATTAGATGCCTTACCACTTGTTTAAGATTTTAACATTCCTGGACATTATATAGATGTTGCGTCAATAAACCAAACTATATTCCGATTAGAAATCGAATGCAAAGAAAAAGAAAAAGTTGAAAACAAAATTTTGATTTTTTTAAACTAAAACCAAGCTGCTGAGCTGTTAAACAAAATTAAACGATACATATCAAGAAACGAAGAGAAAATGAAAGTTGAAACCCCAAATTATCCAAAAATAGGTTTCTGTCAAAAAGTAAAACTTTATTTGAGAAAATCGCTGTTTTTTAAAAATTGTCAACAATAATTTCTAAATAATGAAAAAAGGAAAAATGCGATTATTTAAATTTTGCAGAAAACCTGATACTCTCATAATTGTCAAAACACCTGATTTTACTAAATTTAACGATACATATTGAAGCAATTAAGAATGAAAAAAGACATAAGTAAGAAAAAAATCAAACTTTTAAAAAGGATTCCTATCAATGAATTCCTCATCTCCCGACCAGAAAACTGCAATATAATGTTCTACATCCAGGAATATCATCTCTAGAATCTGAGGCAGAGCAACAGCAAAATATTCTTCTTCAATACTCTTTCCCTAAAAATATTTTTTTTTTCTTAAATAAGAAATTTAAGTGCCATGGTACCCTTTAGCTATAAAGTGATTACATTTAGTTAATTTTCTTTATTTTCTCTTTTACATGAAGATTTGCACAAGCCACTTTCAAAGAGTAATCAAAATTTTGTTTTTATCAGGTTTTAAGATCAGATGTTTTTTAAATTGAATGTTTCATAATTATTTTATATTTTATTTTTTTTAACACAATTTTCATTAATACTTCTGATGAGTTGATGAAAGATTAAGATTTAAATGTATTTATCGTTCACTCTTCTGTCAATCGATGAGATTAAATCAATCCCTGAGATTAAATTCAAAATCTGAAGGTGCCCATTCAGTTTCACATTGACCTTAGCCGTAAAAGACCGGTGGGGGGGGGGGCTGTAATGAAAAAATATTATTTATTGGATTTATTCTTCTCTAATTTTAAGCGCTTTACAAAAGAAATCCTAATCAGAGACAATCCCTTTTTAATGAATTACCTTTAAACTGAATCTCCTCCAGTAATGGCTGTTGTAAACTACAATAGTATTCTCTACTATAAACAGTCCAACTATCTCATCAGACCGGTCTAATGGTCCTTCTATTATCATACACTGTCCGAGCATTACATCTAATACAACAACCTGAAGTACATTACATCTAGTACAACAACCTGAAGTACATTACATCTAGTACAACAACCTGAAGTACATTACATCTAGTACAACAACCTGAAGTACATTACATCCAGTACAGCAACGTAAAGTACATTACATTTAGTACAACAACTTGAAGTACATTACATCTAGTACAACAAACTGAAGTACATTACATCTAGTACAGCAAACTGAAGTACATTACATCTAGTAAAACAACCTGAAGTATATTACATCCAGTACAACAACCTGAAGTACATTACATCTAGTACAACAACCTGAAGTACATTACATCCAGTACAACAACCTGAAGTACATTACATCTATAGTACAACAACCTGAAGTACATTACATCCAGTACAGCAACCTAAAGTACATTAAATTTAGTACAACAACTTAAAGTACATTACATCGAGTACAACAAACTGAAGTATATTACATCTAGTACAACAACCTGGAGTACATTACATCTAGTACAAAATATTGAATCAAAAAATCTATATCCTTGGATTCCTTCCCCCGCCACGGTAAATAAGGGATTCCATGGTTAAAAGTCAGTTAGGCTTACTTTGGAACTCATTTTCATCCGAAAACTGGGGATTTTTCGTATTTGCATATATCTTATTTTGATTGTTTTTTTTAAAGGATTTTGAATGAAAGATCAAAATTTATGCGCACCATATATCTATGATGCGGACAGGATGTATTTTGTTTATAGTTTTAAGTTTTAAGTGCTCCCCAGCTCCCACCTGGACTTTTTCTGAAAAATATATAACCTTGTTTTTACAAATTCTTGAAGTTAGGAGAGTGGTGGGAGGTAGGTTTGAAGTCCATTCACAAAGTTTTCAGAAAAAAATTCCCCGTTACCTGATTAATACTTGTATAAGCAGCAGCATATCTGTTGTCTTTACTGAATAAAGTATTTTATAAACAAACTAAAGTTGTAACAAATTTATGATATCTTCATTATTGTCAATATTTGTACTATTCATCATCTGTTTTATTTTCATTATTATTATTATCATCTTTTGTTGTTATTATTTAAATATTTTAATTAAATTTTTTCTGTGAATTAATATAATTTATTCTCACTTAACAGTTTATTCATATTTCTCTTTAATGTATCTATTCTTTAGATTCATACTATTCATTTTAACTTAAAGGGAGTGTTAAAAAAATCAAAGGGTTTCAGGTTGATTTCGACACATTAGGATGGATCAATGCCATAATGGACGTTTCTAACGAGAAAATTGTGAAAATCCGTTTCCCAGAATTACAATAACGGAAAGCTTTTTTTACATCAAATCATACATCTTTTACATCAGGTATGAATTAAACTTCTAAAATTGAAACTTTTTAATAAATGCAATTTTATTATATTTTTAAAAGAAAGTTGTGGATTTATGTATAATCTTAAGTTTTTTAATATAGTTAGTTAAATTAATGTAATGGACACTGGACAGGTGTATCAAATAATAGCCAATTGTTTGTACAATTTACGAACTTTACTTTTAAATTTGAAATAGTATGCGTTCGTTCCATAAAACATTTCTTTTCGTTGGAAAACTAATTGAAAAATCAGGGAGTTTTTCGTTTTTTACATTTTCAATCTCTGAATATGTGGATTGTGAATACATTCATGATCTAGATCCTAGATCCCTCTTATACCTGAGAGCTAGACCGATCATTAATCCTTGAATCCATGATCCCTTATAAATACCTCACTAGATCCTAGATCCTTTACCTGAGATTAGTCCTTGCATTAAAGGGAGTGACCGGCAATGTATGGTAGTTGTTCTGAGAATGTAGTATTGTAGAGAAATTGTTTAGGATTCATTTGAGACATATAAAACGTTTTAATGATGTATAATTACTAAACTTGAGCGTAAAGTCAACGTTCAAAATCATCCATTTGGGTGTTACGCATAGAGAATCAATATTTTAAAAATTATTAAACAACAACGACAAAAATCTAAATTCTACAGAAAACTAATTAAACATATTTTCTCAATAAATCAATGTTATAATCAACTATTTCTTTTTCATCATCATATTAAATTTCTTATTCTTTCTAAAACAATTATAAGTGTTGTCTTTTCAATAAAAATTCTAGGAAATCTACAGAAGATGTTTGGGAACAATGAGACATTACAGAAACCTTTAATTGAAAAAGATTACTTATTCTCTCAACCTGTTCCTAAACAACTAATTTGTTTACTGTCGAATTTTGACAACATTTTTCGTCGTCGTTATTGAATTTTATTTAAACGATTATCAAAACCATCCCTCAAAAATATACAATCTATGTGGATTTTAAAGATTGTTGCGCTCTTGCTGAACAAATATGCAACGTAAAAACGTCTTATAGTTCTAAAATGATTCCTAAAAATTTCTCCACAATACTACATTCATAGTTCAACTACCATACATTGCCGGTCACTCCCTTTAATTCCTCAATGAAGATCAACATCCATACAGACCTCACTAGATCCTAGATCCTTTCCCTGAGAGCAAGGCCGAGCATTAATCCCTCAATATGTGGATTCATGATCCCTACACAGTACACACCTCATTGGATCCTAGATCCTTTACCTGAGAGCAAGACCAAGCATTAATCCCTCAATATGTGGATCCACATCCCTACAGACCTCACTGGATCCCAGATCCCAGGTTAGAAACTTGTTTGACACAGAGATTACATATCTAAACAATTTCGTTATTTAGTTTTTAAAAAATCTTTCTGACTAGTAGTGTAGAACCGTAGAACCCGTAATCTAACTTAAATTATTTTCTCAAGCAATAGATAAGTTTTAAATGTGTTATTAATATGGTTTTTCATATTTTGTTTGATTTAAACTTGAACCAGCACAAAAGAGCAGTGGTTCAGATAAGTCTCGTATTCAATTGAGTTGGTTCCTAACTCCTATAGGTTGCAAATATGTAAGGATTAGAAAATAAGATGAATGAGAAGAGAAATCAGTTCCTTTGGAATTTAATTCTCAAATTTTTCTAAATAATACGAGTTGGTTAACATGTATTCATACATTCTGTTTTGAAAATGTTATACTAGGCTTTTAGCGCTTAAATGTTGCTTTTCAAGCTTCTCTTCTTCTTTAGAGTTGCAAAACTCAAAATCTTACGGATTTTTCTGTTAACATTGATCAACTTCTAAAATTTTACTAATTCTAGATTCTTCTAGAAAAAATTTTTCAATTTTGACCTTCTACGGGCCCGCAAAGTTTTAACGTTTTTTTATATAAATAGACAGACAAACAGAAAAGAAAGATTGTTCATATTGTTTACCTGCAGTCTGATGTAAGAGAATATCCAAAGATTGCAAACTGATGTCCTTCAAGAGAAAACTTCATAGGACCCCCGGGGGATAGAAGACAATGCCGGATTGGAACTAACATCAACAAAATAATCAAACAAAAACATTTTCATTAAAGAAGAGTAATTTCAAAGGTGCCTGATTTACAACGGTACCCTTTAAACCTTTAAAAGATTACCGAGGGCAGAGACGTCTGTATGTGTATCTTTTTTCCGAAGAACTGGAGTGTTATAAGATAGCATACAGCTGAAGTTTAATATATTGTTCGAAAACTCCCAATATTCTATGTCCACTGTCCAGTACGGTTGGCAGAAATTTTAATGCAAACATTTATTTCCTGTGACTTCTATAGAGAGTAAATATTTATATTTTAAAAAACAAAAGACCTTGAAAAAAAGTGTTTAACAATTACTAGTCCGTCTTTCTTGATTAGTCGAAGGTTCGAAGGTTACTGTAGTGAATCGACACGACACTAATTTATAATTAATTACCTAGAGCTAGTATTGTAAATCGTTTTTGATAGCTTTCAGAAAAAAAAATAATAAACTTCGAAGCTTTCAAAACTGCAATTATGTTAAACTTTGATTTCATTACACTTTGACATAAAAAAATAAAAAGTCCTAAAACGATCCGATAAACGATTGTTACAACACGTTTGTTTCTTTGTCGTTCTTCAGTCGTTTTTTGTATAGTGCTGCTGTTAGGGCTAACATTTCACCTAGTGCAAGATAAAGTAATATTTAAAATACACAATTTAGAATACATTTCTTTTTGTTACACTATGCTAAATTTTGACCATGAAAAAAAAATGTAAACAAAAAACGACCTAAAAACTAACAACCCGAAGGCACATCACTACCTAAAGCATTGCGAAGCGGGGTAATTTGATTACCTAAATTGTTCTGAAGCGGGCTAATCTAATTACCTAGAGCATTGCGAATCTAATTACCTAGAGCATTGTGAATCTAATTACCTAGAGCATTGTGAATCTAATTACCTAGCTAGAGCATTGCGAATCTAATTACCTAGAGCATTGCGAATCTGATTACCTAGAGCATTGTGAATCTAATTACCTAGAGCATTGCGAATCTAATTACCTAGAGCATTATGAATCTAATTACCTAGAGCATTGTGAATCTGATTACCTAGAGCATTGTAAATCTAATTACCTAGAGCAATGTGAATCTAATTACCTAGAGCATTGTGAATCTAATTAATTAGAGCATTGTGAATCTGATTACCTAGAGCATTGTGAATCTGATTACCTAGAGCATTGCGAATCTAATTACCTAGAGCATTGTGAATCTAATTACCTAGAGCATTGTGAATCTAATTACCTAGAGCATTGTGAAGCGGGCTAATCTTGTCACATTGTCTAATCAACTCCTTAATGTCAGGGAAGTTCCATATTTCAGGCAGTAATCTTCCGATAAGCTGGGAGGCAAGGTTGTCAGGAATCTAAACATAAAAAAGGGAATGTTCACATATTAGATAACAGGATCAGCAGAGTGCAGATACCACCAGAAAACAATCGATAAAAACAAATATTGTTATATTAAATTTTCTTTTTTGAAAATTTATCAGCAATATTAAATCTTCTTAGATTATAAAATTAGAATTAACCAGATTTTGTTAACTGACACTCTTCATAAAATATAGAAAATTTCCGAAATCAGATTCATGCCTTTAAAATATAATCTTGAATCATAATTTCAAAGGCGTTAAAAAAAGGAGGTCTGTAGTCTGTTCCCCTACAATCAGCACCTTCCTCTTAATCCCGTTAAGTTAGGCCCCCTCCCTATAGCTCGCTAGCACTTCTATGGTGTGGCCGGGTGGCGGGTGGCGGGGGGCGGGTTGTAATTTGTTTAAGCTTTTATTTACCTTGGATAATATATTTCCCCCCAACTTGAGGGCATCAGCTACAAGCAGAACCTGCCTTTTAGAATCAGCATCTTCTAGAGCATCTAGAGTATCCTGCACATTGGGGTTTTAATCGTTTTTATAAAAACTAACGAACTTTTCTTAGTTTAAAAAAAGGTCAAACCTTACGAACGAACTTTTTATCGTTTTCACCCTTTGAAAACGAAAAACAAAACGACGATATTAAAAAATTGTCAATTTACATTTCAATTTTATAAGATTTTTTTAAAATTCGGCAGTAATAGATGTGCTTGAATGGTGATTTTAACGTTTGTGACCAATCATCCAACTTAAAAAAATAACAAATTACGTTCATGATCATTAACGATCATCTGAAACGATTTGGTTTATATTTTTCACGTCGTTAACGAAACGATCAGTTCGGTTTTTTAGAAAAGTAAAAGCGACTCATATCCCTACCTGGAAATCTGATAAAAGAAACTCTAAGGGGAACGCTGATAGTTTGCCATGAAGCCACTCATAATTAAAAAGCACTTGAGTGAACAAATCCTCAAACCTTTTTGCTTTTATCAAGTGATGAGGTAGCTCGGAGAATTTTCTAAGATTGAATCTTGAAATAACTCCGTCCAGGTTGGTATAAAATAACGGCTGAGGAGAAACTCTTCTGTCTGCTTCGGACGATTGTTCTTTAATAAAAAGCCTTTGTCTTTGAACTTGAGTGTAGGGGAAAGGTTTTTTCTTTCCTAAGCTCCATGTTCCAAGAAAGAAATCTAACAAAACAATAAAATTTATAAATAAGATGAAAAATATTGTTTTCAAAGAGGTTTTTTCCGTGAAAAATTTTAAATTATGTTGTTAAACATCTTTAATGCATATAAGAATAATATCAACATATAATTTTTTGGGGGCCTCATTTTTTTCTTAATTCTAAAAATTGCAATTTTACTTTTTAAAGAGATTGTTGACCTTATTTAAAGGGACCCTTCATGAATATAGTCGCAAATTCGAATTATTTCAAAGCTTTGCTGATCAAGGCTGAATGAGATATCATTTCCTCTTTAAAAATTGATTATTTTCAAGTTACTCTATAAGGAGAGAGCAACAATAAGAATTAAACAGTTTTTGAGCCTGAAAAGTGAGGATTATTGTTTAAATTTAGATTTAAAAAGCACTTTTAAAAATAGAACATGCCAGCCACTCTTAAAATAAAAGTTTAAATGAAATAATAACAACAGTCCCTTTAACTAGATAATAAACTAACCAGATAACATGTTGTAGTAGTGGTTCACAACCTTGGGATATTTAAAGTATCTGTTCAGAGCAGCATCCTTAAAGGGCTTGTGCGCCCAATTTAAGACACAAACTCCATCTGCTAGAAACTCGGAGAGGAATTCTCCAAGATCTCGCCTGATTTTTAACCATAATATTGTTGGAAGACGTCGGTTTGCAGGTATCTAAATTTGCAAGGTTAAAATTAATATTTCCAACAATTTTCTGTTTTAAAAAGTTTTTATTTTCAAAATTTACTTGCCCTTTAAGATCCCATAAACTTTTAATATTTTTAATGAACTATAAAGTTTAACTTCCATAAATTCAAAAGTGAAAATTATTTCAATTTTGAAGTACTTTATTTATTTATTAATTTATTGTCTGAGACTGAAAAATGGGTACCTGGTGTGCATAAATACTATTGAGCACAATATCATCTAAAGATAGAATATCTTCTAGTTCTGATTCAGATAATCCATATTTAGCAGCTGATATATATGCCAAGGAGTGCTCTACTAGGGTACAATTGTACTTGGTCTCTAAAGAAGTAAATAGCTGTGCTATACTAGTGGGAACTGTACTACAGATGAAAGTATTCTCCTTCGGAGTGTAACTTCGCCACTTTAACACTTCAGCAAAGGCGATCTTACAGAAGAGAGGGGTGGGGCACGAAGCTGCAGCATTCATTACTACGCGCCACTGATAATTAGATAGTTTCTTCCTCGCTATTTCGTTCCATTTTTGGAACAGGATTTCTGGGAAATTATCGGAAAAATTACTGATATGGAGAATATTTTCCCCAGCAGCCCCTGAAAATAAAATTTAAATATTTTTATGGTAAAATTCAATCCAACATATTATACTAGACTTAAGGGACTGTGTCACTGTAAACCGTAATTTTAAGTGAACCTCCAAGAAAAGATGACAATGATCGATTCACAACCGACTCAAACCCTTTCTTAGATCAATAATGTTTAGATATTAAAACCTGTAATAATCGATTATTTTTCGACGCATTTGTGTACAGTGTATATTTCATAATATTGCGTATTTGTTTTATATACAATGCACTTAAACACGGATTAGTTTGTCCGAGGTGTCTTTGCTTTCGATGTTCCTAATGATTCCACGTGAGAGAGACACCTAGCGTTGTTTCAAGTGCATTGTATAAAAAAAAACATAATACATAATACAACTGTATTAGAATGCGTCGAAAAATAATCGTTGACTATAGGTTTTAATATCTAAATGATTTGTTTGATATTAAATTAATTTTTTTTCAGTCCCAGTCGTATGTTACAACTTTCTCATTTTGTATGGATTAGTAAGATTAGTAGCGATCAAAAGCGATTTTTTTCGCCGTAAGCCTATACCCCTTTTATTTTTCGCGAAAAGTCCCTTTAAGAAAAGAATGAGATCAAGTATTGACCTCAATATCCACAATACAAGAGTTCCCAGCTCTGTTTAAACTTATATCTTAAATTTTGTCAAATATATCTATTTTCAGAAAACAAATCCTTGAACCCATTTGAAGTTAATTTAAGTTTAAGATTGAAAATTTAAAATCTGACTAACCTAATGCAGTAATAAACTTTTGTTCTTCTTTAGCTCTAGCTCCGTTGTTTTCCTCTTGAAGGAACGAAATTATAATTTTACAATATTTTGGCAAAGGATTAGGTATCCAGGAGGCACCGTTGTTATGCTCATCAATGAACAGGGTTTCAAAGGAGTCGAGAAATATAATTATAGGATTTCTCACTGAAGCATAGTTGAGAAGGCTTTTAAAATAAGTTTTCAGCGGGATGATTTCCTGTGGTATGTCGTCGTAGGACAGATCAAAATTGTATGATATCTGCTTGCACAGGGTTGTTAGCAGGTTTTTCACTGAACTGCTTAAAGGAGATATACCCAATATTCGAACCATTATTAGAGGTCTATCACATCCAATCCAGTTCTACAAAAAAGTAGTTTGGTGTAGATGGGCTTAAGCTTTATACAGGAAATTTTTATATTTAAACTTTTGATTGAAATTTTATATTCAAAAATTTACTTATTTAAGATTTCCTAGCTTGAAAATTTGTCACTTTGTGAAATTTATATTGGGTAGTTATTATTTGCGATATTCCTAATTCAAAAAAAATAAAATCCATAAAAATTTGTACATTAAGAAAATTGTTTTTTTTTTATTGAGACTGTTATGCTTTGGAAGTTCTAAACTTGGAATTATTTTTTTGTGAAATCCTTCATTTGGAATCATGGCATGAGTTTGTATTTTTGTGAAATCCTTCATTTGGAATCATGGCATGAGTTTGTATTTTTGTGAAATCCTTCATTTGGAATCATGGCATGAGTTTGTATTTTTGTAAAATCCTTCATTTGGAATCATGGCATGAGTTTGTATTTTTGGGAAATTGTTGGAAAATCATTTATTTGGAAAATTACTGAGAAGGAATATTTTGGGTTTGGAAAATGATAGAAATGTTTTAATTAAGAAGTTGGATTGGGTAAGTCCTTGGCATGATTATTTCTCACGTCGAGAAAAGTAAATTGGACATGAGATATAAATCTTGTTTTAAATCATCACTTCTCTTATTAAAGACCTGCATAGTATGTAACCAAAAAAATAGTTTTTCTCATATTTATGCGTTAAATTAAAAAAGGAACAAAGAGGTCACAAATACGTACCAGTAAAGTAACTGAGGATTTGCCACAAACTCAAGATTTTGAATCCCTACATTTTTTTTAACCAGACGGTCAAACCTTATATATTTTGAATTTTGCTCATTTGATCTAACATAATTCAAAGTTTGCAATATTAAAGATTGAAATAATATAGGGATTAGAAAATTAGAGTTTGTTCTTCTCCTTCAATCTAGTGAACCGTGTTCTATGAATACTAACCTTAACTCCATGAACTGCTTGAGAAACAAGATATGTTTTTCCACTTCCAGATGCACCATACACAACCATACTAGATCCAGAGTCACCTAATTTCAAGATTAGTAAATTGTATTTATATATTTACTTTGTCTGTCTGTCTGTTTTTTTAACCAATAAACGTCAAAACGGCTGAACCGATCCGGCCCAAATTTTGTGTGGGACCTCAGATGACCCCGGGGAAGGTTCCTGGATGCTGAAAACAAAAAAATGTGTCTAAAATGTTTTGATTTTTGTTAAATTTTGAACATTTTTTGTTATTGTTTTATCGAGAGAAGATCCGTACAGACAGAGCTGCACTATTAAAAGTTGAAGTAGAAGATGGCTAAAAGCCTAGTAATATATATTTCGTTGAACCATGTAAGTGTATTATTGAACCATTTCTGTTATGTGTCTGTAGAAGGTAGAGTAGCGTGTTGTTGCTCTTTAAACCCTTGACTGATCAGGGATGACAGACTGATTTGTATGTATCTGCAGAAATACATGTAATTGCGAAAAACTTTTATGCAAGCTGTTTTATATTTGAAAATTATTAACATTAACTTTCTAGAAGTTGCAAAACATAATAATTGTTACCAGTGGCGTAAATAAGGGGGGTTATTGGGGTTATTTAAAACCAATAATTTGATATACATCATGATATTTTTCTAGGGGGGGGTAAAAAAATTTCTAGGGGGGGGTAAAAAAAAATTCGGCGCGCTTCGCGCGCCAAATTAAAAATATTTACCCCCCCTACAGAATCCTTATTTACGCCCCTGATTGTTACCATTAAAAAGTGGTTTGAAATGAAGTAAATCTATGGCCTGACAACTGCATGGGAGTAAATCTACAGAGTAAAGGAAAAAATGTATTTACGAGTAAAACATTTACAAATAAATGGATAGCCGGAGCTCTCTGACAGACTCTCTGCCTTTCATTCGCCTCGTACGAAGAGTTAATCTTCCGTCTTCCGACTCTTGGTGATAACTAACTTTCATTTCGGATTTAGCAGAGGCCGATCCTAGTTTTCCCAACCTCATGTCAAGTCGTGTCTCATGCCTATTGGCGTGAATTTAGATTGAATTCCTGGTCCAACGGTGGCTTTGATTTTCCATGTGTTTAAACATGTTTTCTAACGGCTAAATCTCCCTACACGATAGATGAGATGATTTGTTATCTGTCCCACTGCTATTGTTGACTACAGTTTATTTAAAAGTAAACCTTTCTCCATGCTTACAATATGTTTATCTAAATTTTAAAAGCCGCATTGGACATTTTAGATGATCCGGAAATTTCGATAAAATGTAAAGTTAGCTGTGTAGCTAGATTCACACTGTACGCCTAGTGTACACTCTCCACTGCTGTAATTTTCCGGTAATTTGAACAATATTTTAAGAGACAAACACACAGATTACTCTGCAATCAGTGAGCAGACAACGGTTTACAGGGTACCCTTGTGAACTAGGCATACCCCTTCTTAAAAATGAGGTTCACTTAAAATTACGCCTACAGTTCCTTTGAGTTAAAGAGAGGGGATTCAACGAAATCTAAATTGTTTAACTGCTTCTCGCTGTAAATCAATAAATTCCCAAGAGCTTATTTTCAAATAAACATGTAGATTAATTTTTATTAGAGCAAATAACATACCTGTAATATATTTCTTGATATTATCCAATTCTGTTTCTCTAGGAACACTCCACAACAAAGAGTTCTTTAGTTTCCATAAATGAGTCTGAAGTTCTTTAGTTAACACACCCTGAATTTTGCATCAATGGGGGTATGGACTTATTTCAAGCCAAATTCTAATTTAAAACATTTATCTCCGTATCATTGAGGGTAATATCGTTATTTTTTGCAGTTAAAGTTATTGTTTTATCTTAAGTTTTTCTAAAAGAGATTTAGAGAAACCATTGAAAGTTGGGTATATCACTCTTTAAATAGCTAGAGGGTCACTTGAAATTAGGTTGCCGGAAATAATAAACTATTTTACCCGCAAAAAAAATGTGCTATTGGAAAAGTTTGTATCTGTAACAATTAAAGGGACTGTGAACTTAATTTCAACCGAAATGCTATTTAAAAGAGTCTAATTCACAATTAGAATGTTACCCTGTAGACATTTATACATAGTATCAATTTTCAGTAGGAAAAAAAGGATAACTCCATAATTGTTTTCAGTGTAGTGGTACATGTGCGAAGTTGACGGTCATAATAAACGATTGCACACAATAAAAATAAGTTTTCATTTGGAAACATCTTATTATACCTGTTCTGTGTTATCTAGTTTTGTTATTCCTCTCTCAATCTGCTTGACGACCCCTCTGTATAGATCCTTGACAAACTGATTTAGATAAGGTTGATGGGTCTCAGCACTTATACCACTAGTTCCGATCCAGTCTAGTTCATACCTATAGCACAATTGATAGTTATTGTACATTTTTGTATGGTAGTTTAGAGCAAAAGAATTGTTTGTGTATAATTCTAACAAAAATAGTAATTACTTCTCTTTGTTTTAGTATCTTAATTCATTTCAAAACTTTTATGTTTTTACCTAAAAATATTTTTTGAATACAGAATATTGGGAAGAGTAGTATCCCTGAGTTGGGTTATATAATCAGCTGCTATTCTTTCTGGATTCCCTTCAGCACCTGACAATTTAAACTATTATCACTATTTTTCAATCATTCTGGGTTGTAAATCGTTTCCTAGATTTTATAAAACCAAGATATCTATATATGTATATCTACATAAAAATTTAGCTTGGGTGTCTGTCTGTTTGTTTGTGTCCAATAAACGTCAAAACGGCTGAATCGATCGGGCCCAAATTTTGTGTGGGGCCTCACGTGACCCCAAGGATGGTTTATGAATGATCAAATTAAAAGTTTTTTAATTTTGTAAAATTTTGAAAATGCGCAAAACAATATTCTTAAATTTGCAAACTTTTTTTTAATACTGTACAAATATGCTCACAGATACAGCTACAATTAAAAGTTAAAATAGAAGATGGGCCTAAAAGCCTGGAATGTTAAAGTTTGGTTTTATTGAACTTATTTATTAAACTTTATTAATCTTTCTCCTAAAAAAAGAGAAGGATTCAAAACCGATTCAAGAACGAGATTGTTAAAACACGTTTGTTTTTGCAAAGTTGTATAGGATCGTTTTTGGGTCTTTCTTTTTCTTCATATATCTTCTGTCTGGGTCAAAGGTTGACAATGACATACATATGGAAAGAATGGCAAATGTTTAAAATAAAAAATTGAGAAAATCTCTAATTTAAAATCTGCCAGAAAAAGATAAAAGATTGAATCTATACTTTCATGCAGTTTTCGGCGCATATATCTACACAATAAAGAGGCGACTTTCTTATAATTAATTAAAAGGGTGTAAACAATCAAAACTTCAATAAAAAAGTCGTCTTCATTATATTGATGCAATCGCCTACTACGGTACTAAAATTCAAAGACCAAAAAAATTATAAATTTCAAATACAAAAGGTCTTCTCATAATAGGAATACCTGAAAATGGGTTCAAAAGTTCTAAGTTATGAAGGATTTTTTATTTACGGTAATATGATATCCGGGGCATTCGCGCCCATCTTCTTTTTCAACTTTTAATTGTTACTCAATCTTTAAGCATTTTCTTTTCGATAAAACAATTTACAGTTTTTAATTTCGGAAATTTTCAAAATTTATGAAAGTTCAAATTATTGGAGACAATTTTAGCTAATTCTTAGTATACATAAACCCTCCTATGGTGTCATGTGAAGTCCCACACAAAATTTGAACCCGATCGGTTCCGCAATTTTGACGTTTAATGGAAACAAGCCTACAGTCAAATAAACAGACAAGTATATACAGTGAAACCCTTCATAACGAATACATCGGAAGAATTTATCAAATGTCGTCTTGACAATTTTTCAATGAGTTTTATACTATATTACGTAAATTTCAGTATTTGCGAAAATAGATAAATAGCCATGAATATGCGGGAACAGTTTTAAAGAGTTCCATATAATCATTTAATCAAAAAAAACTAAATATCTGCAACATTCCATTATCAGAAAGTGAAGAATACGACATTTGATGAATCCTTTCGATGTATTCGTTATTAAGGGTTTCACTGTATATATAGATTACCTATATCTAGAAAATGGTGTGCTCTGGACCCCTCGGCAAAACTGATATTCTTGATAACCCGGGAGAAGGTGAGACAATGAGATTTACTGTCTTCATGTCCAGCAATCCCTTGACAAATCTCACGTTCAACTACAGACATCTTTAAATTCATATTCTCCTAAACAAACAAATTAGATGGATCGTATGCAATCTGAATAAATAATTGATTATATTTGGCTCTTCGTTGGTTGGTTAATTTTGTTCTCCGAGTTTTAAAACTAATTTTAAAAACAAGAAAATCTGTAAAATTAGTTTTTTTATTACATATTCGCAATGAAAGCAACTTACAGACAAAAGTCACGCAGCACCCCATAAGCCTTGTTATTATACATTTCATCGACAAAATCAATTTTTTCTATGAAAATAATTCAAAATTTGTTTAATATTTTTTCTGTTTATATCAATATTGTTTTGATTACTCGCCTCTTTTGATATTTGTTTTGTTGTAAATAGGTGATCAGCGACCTGAGAAAACACCTAAAATTTAATTTTTAAATTATTTAAACAAAATAAAAAAACTGCAACTTTTTATAAAGACGCGTTATACTGCATTAAACGGATTAGAGAAAAATTATCTATTTCAAATGTAAATTTTCGAAAATATTCAAAATTATGTTTACAATTTGGCGGAGGCTAGTAGTTTGGCCGGCCTATCAATTTGAAAGGTCGATGGATAAAAATATTTTTTTTTTAAATAAAAAACTCACAAAACAAATATTTAAAAATATCCGTAAACAGTGCGAACGACGAGATAATATAGTAGCCATAGAGTTTCAAAATAGTTGTGTATTAAACGAATCTTCATCATAATATATTCGTTAAAAACTGAATTATGATTTTACTTGTTGCAATTCTTTAAGAATCCTGAACCATTGTTGTTGATCAGCTGCTTGTAAAGATGGAATCTAAATAGAACTAATTTAGTCTCAAAGAAAAGTTTTTAGATCATTAATTTTTCAGAGAAATAGTTCTTGGTAGTCTCAAGTTTAATATTCACCCGGATAGTTTACTTATTAAAAATACTCATACAGGGTGTCTCAATAAATATGGAAAATTAAATCGTCTATGTTTAGAATACCTACTATTTATGGTCGTAATAAAGTTACGTCTGAGAGATGTATTTATGATATGAAAAAAATATCGTTTTTGATTTTGAAAAACGAATTGTATGATGAGTTTTTTAATGTTTCGTAAGATAAACAGTGAAGAGGGACAACTATACTTTATTGAGCTCGGTTTTCAAATAATTTGAAGGAGGAGTTTTGAACGTCGAATTTGCGCTCAAACTCAGGATTTACAGATCTTTAAAAAGTTTAATATGTCTCAAATGAATCCGAAAGAAGTTTTCCACAACACTGCATTCTCAGTTCAACTACCTTACTCCCTTTAATACTTTTCCATATAAAACAAATCCGCCGCGCCGGTAAAAAAATCAAAGAAGAAGAAAATCTGAAAATATCAGTTGAATCGGTCAAATTCTACCTGTTTATTAATAAAGTTTGATAGAATTGAGCTGATGGGCTGTAGCAGCATTTGGTTTGGTAAACAGTTTGTGTCTTTTCTGTAGAAACCAAGCAATAAAAATCAATCTTTCACTTTTTTCAATGATTATCAAAAATTACTAAAAATGTTGAAAAGAATAATGAAATAGTTTTTTATCCATTTTGGGACCGAATTTAATAAATTGAAGAGCTCGGTGAACTACCAACCGCGCCCTGGTTCAAATTTTTATTTATTGAATCCAATCCTCCAATCCAATCCAGTGACCTGGCTGAAATTCAATAAATGAGGTCCCTGAGGCCAATTTAAGAATTTGAGCCGCGGCCTAAATTTAAGGCGCGTCTCAATTGTTGGTTCCGCTTAAAATCGTATTCAATGTTTCAAGATTTAAGCCGGCTCACAATTGAAACCGGTTTTTGGGGAATTTAAGACGCGGCTCAAATTCATTAAATTTGGACTCTGTACACAAATTAAACTGTTATTAAATATTAACTTTATTTGTTTCCTGTTCATTAATCTCAAAAATTCCCTTTATTTTCAAAAATATATTTTATTTATCTTTCCTATACCAAGTTTGCAGAAGAACCCCGCCGCTGATTATATTCAAACTTTCTAAAAAAAAAATGTTAATGAATGATGTTAAAAGTTTATTTAAATTTTTAATATTCTTATTCATAAAGTAAGATTGGAGTTTATTACTTTTAAACGGAATTAATATTTATATTGAAAAGATGTTTTTTTAATCAAAAATTATAAACCCTTGATTGCGTTTCTTTTATATATTCTCTCAAAAGTATAAGATTAGGCGAAAAACTAGATTTTTGACTAAAACTTTTTTGTGAAGCAATAATCTTCACGATCGAATTATAGTTCAAAATTAGCCCAAAAAGATAAAATTCTAAATATTTGCTCTTTTCATAAGCAACATAATAATGATATTTTTAAAATGAAACTGAACTCTTATTATTATTACCTACCGGATTAACCGGATGTTAAACAAAATATATCTGCAGCCCAATAGCTCGTTTTCGAGTCTTGCTAACCGACCCCCCCCCCCTAAACACTTTGATGCTTAAAAAATTATAAAATAGGATTCCAAATTCTATTTATAAATCTATCAAAGGTGATTTTAAAAGTCATTAAATTTCAAAAATTTTTCTATTTTATCTTACCTATTGAGCCTAGAATTAGATTAAAAAGTTGAACTGGTATTGCGCTAGGTAAAGGCCTAAATAAATAAAAGAGATAATAATACAAATTATCCCAGATTTAGGATTTTTTGTTACAAAATAACGAAATTATTCCTCTCTTCTATTGATCGACGGTCCCAGAGATCAAGATTCAGTTCTGAATATAGAATTAAGCTTTCGTAGCAACTTCCATAAAAACTTCCAACCTCAGAAAACATTCAATTAATGATACGACGGAATACTCAAGATGTTTTATAAATTTTGTCAATCAAAACAAAAATAATCATTTATTATTAATATATTTCTATCATGATAAACCTGTATCCATATGTCTATCATGACATACCTGCATCCATATGTCTATCATGATATACCTGTATCCATATGTCTATCATGATATACCTGTATCCATTTTTCTATTATGATATACCTGTATCCATATGTCTATCATGATATACCTGTATCCATATTTCTATACATGATATACCTGTATCCATATGTCTATCATGATATACCTGTATCCATTTTTCTATTATGATATACCTGTATCCATATTTCTAAACATGATATACCTGTATCCATATTTTTATCATGATATACCTGTATCCATATTTCTATCATGATAAACCTGTATCCATATTTCTATCATGATATACCTGTATCCATATGTCTATCATGATATACCTGTATCCATATTTCTATACATGATATACCTGTATCCATATGTCTATCATGATATACCTGTATCCATATGTCTATCATGACAAACCTGCATCCATATGTCTATCATGATATATCTGTATCCATATTTCTATACATAATATACCTGTATCCATATGTCTATCATGATATGCCTGTATCCATATTTTTATCATGATATACCTGTATCCATATTTCTATCATGATAAACCTGTATCCATATTTCTTTCATGATATACCTGTATCCATATTTCTATCATGATAAACCTGTATCCATATTTATATCATGATATACCTGTATTCATATTTTTTTCATGATATACCTGTAGCCATATGTCTATCATGATATACCTGTATCCATATTTCTATCATGATATATCTGTATCCATATTTCTATCATGATATACCTGTAGCCATATTTCTGTCATGATATACCTGTAGCCATATTTCTGTCATGATATACCTGTATCCATATTTCTGTCATGATATACCTGTATCCATATTTCTGTCCAAGCAAAAGAATGAATGAGGGTCCAAGAGAATTAATCTTGCAGTTTTTCACTTCCTTGATATGAAAATATACAGTATATATATCTATGTCAAAGATATTTTTTCTGATTATTGTCATACAGTCAAGGTATGAGCTTACGAGGAGGTTTAGAACTAATTATATGGGAAACGTTGTTTGTTTACATAATACATTGACGTGTATAGACAGATTTATTGTAAAAAAAAATATTTAACATATTTATTTAGGGAAGGCCAAGTGGCCTTAAACCCCATTCTCAATTAGCAAGCCTCTTTTCTTAACTACAGAATATTCTCGGCCGAGGTACAAAGCTAAGAAATAGGAATAACAAAGACTAGCTATAATATGTCAAGTACTTATCCAGTTTAATATCCACTCCACTTAGCGATCGGAGCCCTTTCTGGAAGAGTCCTGTCCCTGCTCCCTGAGCAGAGCTGTTAACAGGGGACAACTCCGCATTCTGCATGCAGCAGTGCACACTAAATGCGATGCATCCTAAGGAATTCCGCTGGACTGGGAAACAGTATAGCACATGGACAAATGGAGTGATTTTAACGAAACATCCCTGATACGCCACTCCTACAAACCCTTATCCTCATCTCCACTCTCCTCTACCTAAACAGTATACACCTAACCTTCTCACAAGAAGCGAAATGAGACTTGAGGACATTTCTCTGTTGGATCCTACATCAAAATTACCTTCGCGTGGGTCACTTGATTATCTTTCGTTGAAAAGCAACCATCCTTGTACAGGAAAGTAAAAATGTGTGGTTCATAGCAGTGAAGCTATTGCTCCCTCACTGCAAATAGAAATTAACTTGAAGTTCTAGGAGGGGTGACATAGCAAATGCAAGCAGACAGAATGTGCAGAGCTGAGGCTGCTATTACAATTCAAAAAAAAACATTTTTTTTAAACGTAGAGGGGGACATCCATACAATGAATGGTTGATCGTGCACTGTCTTAAAATGGCACAAAAACAGCGACTCGTAAATAGGGTTGTTAATCTTTTTTTGAAAACGATCGTTAAACAATCGTTTTTTTAGTTTTTCAACCATTTTGAACTTTTAGAAAAAGAATAACGATCGTTTTTGAAAACGGTCGTTTTTATAAAAACGGTTTGCGACCTTTTTTTATACTATTGTTTATTATTGAAAAATCGCTTTTAAAAAAATCGTTTTTGAGAAAAAAATTTTATGACAATTATGTTAACGATCGTTAAAGAAGGTTCCTCGTTAACGAAACGACGAACGATCATTTCTTTTTCGATTGTTCGTCGTCGTTTCATAACGAAACTATCGTTTTCAAAAAATGAAAACGTTAACATCCCTACAGTCGTAAACATTCTTTCAAAAGCAGCGCCATAAATGGACGGACAAAGCAAGAAAAAGAGAAACTGCGGACGCGCAGATTGAGAAAGGAGAAAAAAGATGAACATTTGAAATTATAAACTATGCCTCATACCATTTTATTTTATAAATATTATAAAAAATGAAATATGAAAAGTTTGAAAAAATAAACAAGTCTAATCATAATCATACATTTATATTTGTGCATATTGTTTGTGGCTTGCTTTTAGTATAAACCACAAAAGGATTCAGTATCATTAAAATCCTCGGCAATTTATAAATCCAATTTAAAAATTCTTAAAAATTGTTAAATAGAAGATTTAATAATGGAAATAGCTTTAAGGAGAAGAAATATTTTACGTCAGGTTCTGTTAACAATTGGAGTTGCAACAGGTGACAAACGTTTTTTTAAAGATTTGAGTATTATCCCCAAACTCAAATTTTGTAATTTCTATATGTTCACAACCTGATGGTGTTAGCCTTTGATATTTCGAACGTAGATTATTTGATCCTACATAATGCATAGTTTGCAAAGATATAAGGATTAGAAAATCAGAGTTTATGACAAAAAGTTATCGTTATATGCATGGATCATGATTATTACCAAGAAAAGAGCATTTTTAACATTTTTACTATCCAAAACTGTTCGTTCCATGGTGTATATCATCTTTACAATTTCTTAAAGAACAATTTTAACTACATTACTTAACATTCCATATGATATGATGGTTAACGGAAATCTTGTTCATAACCTGCAGATAGCTTTCTTTAGATTGAAAAAGAATTTGTGATTTTCAGCGGTTTTTGGTCTTTTTACTGGTGAAAGTCATGTCAGCAGCTAAAAATGAAATGCAGTAGAACTTGTTAGCTTATCTTTGCAACTTGGTAATGTAAACCTTCGATTTTTCAAATTTTATTTTATTTGATCTAACATCTATTCATATATATAGATTTACTTTGCTTGTTTGTTTTAGTGTTTGTTTGTAACCGATAAACGTCAAAACGGCACAATCAGTAGGGCCCGAATTTGTTATGGGACCTTATGTGACCCATAGGAAGATTGTTGGTTAGAATAAAAATATTTGCCTTGAAAAATTCCGATTTTTCAAATTCCACAATAAAAGAGCAACAATTAAAAGTTAAACTCGGGGATTAGTGCGAGGAAGTCTAGTACTTTATAGTTTATGTAAAGATATAGGGATTAGAAATCCGAGTTTGTGGCAATGACTCAATTCATTTACGAATTAGGTTCTTTGAACATGGGTCTTGCTCTGGGATGGTGTAGTCCAGCACTATCAGATCTACTATCTGTAGATTCAAAACCTTGTGATAGAATAACTCTGGCGCAATCTGGATGGGTTGGGAGTCTTCTATCCCTTGGTAAGATTTAACAAATAAAACTGTTTTAATGAGAGTAAAGCTGGACGGTATGCGTATTTTCAAGTTACCCTACATGGTACCCTGTAGCTAACTCATTTCTGATCATGTCTAATCATGTCTAATCATGTCTGATCATGTCTGATCATGTCTGATCATATCTGATCATGTCTGATCGTTTCTAATCATGTCTAATCATTATCAAAATTAGAACTTGTTGAGTCATGAAAACGACAGAATCTTTGATCAGATTAAGGTGTCAATGGTATCTTTGTAAATCAGGCATTGTCATCTTTGTCATGGGGGTTTACTTGAAAATACGCTTCCAGTCCATAGATGAAACCACATCTGGAAAAATTGTATTGAAAACTATTATTTTAGCTACTCGACGTAATTCTATAACAATGAGAGAGTATTTTAAAAACGCTACCAATCAAAGTGATCGGAGCAATGCCTTTCTCAACTCAGAGAAGTCCAATATTTGTGCATTTAGTATTTACACTCGAACAAACAAGCGTTATCGTACAGGGTTATCGTACAGGGTTATCGCACAGGGTTATCGTACAGGGTTATCGTACAGGGTTATCGTACAGGGTCATCGTACAGGGTTATCGTACAGGGTTACCGTACAGGGTTATCGTACAGGGTTACCGTACAGGGTTATCGTACAGGGTTACCGTACAGGGCGATCTTCAAATAATGAGACTTCAAGGACAACTGAAAGCTCTAAAACTACAATTGTTTGATGGAAGAACGGGTATTTTAAAACAATTTTATCGAAAAAAAATCTTTTTCGCTCACAAATTCCTTGTTTTAATGTTGCATTTTAGTTTTTCTTCTACGCATTCCAATTCCACACCTTCACCTATATCATCTATTTAAAATTTTGGTCTTATTTTTCTACACTGTGCATGTTGTATTAAAAAGTACAATAATATACTCTGTGTAAAAATCATGTATACAAAGTAGGTTGCAAATTTAAAAAAAAAAAATATATATATAGTTTGAAAAAGGAGGATGTAAAAATATATAGTTTGTAAAAGGAGGATGTTAAAAAATACATTGTTTGTAAAAGGAGGATGTAAAAAATGTATAATTTGTAAAAGGAGGATGTAAAAAATATATAGTTTGTAAAAGGAGGATGTAAAAAATATATAGTTTGTAAAAGGAGGATGTAAAAAATATATATAGTTTGTAAAAGGAGGATGTGAAAAATATATATATATAGTTTGTAAAAGGAGGATGTAAAATATATATATATATTTTGTAAAAGGAGGATGTAAAAAATGTAGGATTGATTCAAAAACTAAAAAAGATTTTATCAGTTAATTTTAAAATTGAAATTCATGACACATGATTAGATACTAAATGTTATGCAGGTGCTATGCTGCAAGTGCCTATCTTTGGAATTATGATGGAAAAACTTGGAAGAAAAAGATTTCTAATGATCACAGCAGTTCCTATTGGAGTTGGATGGATGCTTATATCTTTTGGGACTACACTTCTACAAATATATATTTCAAGAATTCTCATCGGATTTTCGGCCGGTATGTTAGTTACTAAATACTTTAAAATTAAAACAAATCTGTAAACCTGATTTACCAAAACGCGCAATGCCTGCAGGCTTCAGGCATCATGAATCAGGCATTCAAAACTTTGAGGTCACTTACAATATTATAGCGAAGTAGGCATTTAAGAACATTAGGCATTGGTATCTATTTATTATAATTTAGGCATATATTCTGTGTTGGTATCTATTTATTATAATTTAGGCAAATATTCTGTGTTGGTATCTATTTATTATAATTTAGGCATATATTCTGTGTTGGTATCTATTTATTATAATTTTGGCATATATTCTGTGTTGGTATCCAGAGGC